TTCTAGACCTACAAGAAGTCATTGCACGGAATGTACTCTTGTACTGTGTCTTCAGTGGTTCGCTGCTGATGTACATAGCAATTTTTTAAATTGCATAAGTGTCTAGCCGAGTTGGTTCTTGTGTGCGCGATGCGGTTGCGGTGTCAGCCGATACTCTAGAGAAAGCTAGCTGGTTGTAAAGGTGTAGGCTGACGTGCAGCGCTGCCTGAGCACTGGTTATCTTTCTCCACACTACCTTTGTCACTATTGAGGAGATTCTGTCTCCGAGGAAATACTGGCGTCAAAAGGTAAAACCAACAGATTCCTTTATCTCTCTGGGCGTTTAGTTCCCAGATGGGACCCCATTTCTTTCTAGACCTACAAGGGGACATTGCACGGAATGCACCTTTGTACATTGCAAGTATTTATACTTGCGCCAAGTGTCTAGCCGAGCTAGTTTGTCGTGCGTTTGATGCAGTTGCGGTTGCCAATTCGTACTTCAGAGAAAGATGGTTAGTTGAGAGGGTGTAGGCTGACGTGCAGCGCTGCCTGATCACTAGCTGTCGATCTCCGCACCACCCTTAACATGGAGGAAGATAAGTTCCTGTGAAGTGTTATTGTTCAAAGGGTAAACTAGTTCATTTTCCCTCCCCGCTGTCAGATCAGGTCTTCGTCCTGGGGAGGATGGATCTACTTTTATAAGTAGAGAACTAAGAATCTGACATTATTTTTTTTTCTCGTTTTTTTTTGCTAATAAATATAATATATTCTTTAGCCTTGACTTTAATTTTTTTTATTAATAAAAACCAAATCTTTTTAAACCATTCCAATTGAGCTCTATTTTAACAATGATTGTAATAAGCATTTCCCTATTAATAAAAGCTAGATATGTATGTAATAATTTAATTGATTAAAAAGACATTAAGATGAATATGAGATGTGAGTACGGTGAGACAGGAGAGAGTTGATTTGATTGAAGTGAAAGAGAGAAGAAGAGTGAGAGTGATTATATTTAAAGATATTAAGGAAACTTTGATGGTTGAGTATTTGTGTTGGGTGAAGTTTGTTTGGTGTAGAAGTGGTTATTTAAAGATATACTAGAAGGTGGAAGCTTTGAAAATTATGTCTGATGGGATGGGGGGCATTGGGATCGAAGAAGGTGTTGGAAGTATAAGCATATGAATGTTGTGTGTGTGCGAGAGTTGAAAGCCAGATTTGAGAATGGTGATATATGAGACCTTGGGCTTAGAGGAATATAATGTACGGTTTTGGAGTGTCGAAGTTTTATTATATGGCTATGATTTTGAGCTGTATCTTGTAGTGGTAATAAAAAAAAAAGATATGTTATGGTTGTTGGTATCAATTCTGATAGTATTTTGAAGTTGATGTTAGTAGTGTCAAAAAAAAAAGCGATATGTTATGGTTGCTGGTGTTAGTTTTGATAGCATTCTGAAGTTGGTGCCGATTCCAGTAGATTTGTAAAGTCAATGTATGCATGGAGGTTTGACTGAGGATTCCCGAAATGAATGAGGTATGTAAAAAGAAGATTCAAGACATTGCTAAAAAAAAAAGATTTTTTTTTGTTTCTGTTGCAGCTCTGTTAAGGTTATTTCTGATAGACAGTCCTCTCCGAACAGTATTGACTGAACACTAGACAGCATTTCAACCTTTGTATGGGCGGTAGTGTCACTGTGGATTGGCCTGCTATGTTTCTTTCTCTTATGGGTACACATAGGCTGTTTGCACCACAAATTGATAATTTTAGTCTACAAAAAGACTTTTGTAAGAAGCCGTAGACTCTAATTTATCAGTGAGCATCTACACAGTCTACAAGAAGACATAAAAAGCAAATCACCTTATACTCTATATTTTATTATGGCACAGTCAAGGTATTGGCAGAAAAGCTGGTGTGTGCGTCTTTATATAAAGAAAGACTGGGATTTATACAGTATACTTATACATCTTGGAGACAGGTATTTAACCCAAAAAAAGAAAAAAAATGCCCTGATAAATTTAAATTTTCCAAATATAGTACCGAGCCCGCAAAGATATCCGCCACGGCAGATTTTTTTCATGTAACATTTTTGTAATTCAGCCCGTGAGTTTATGTTACCATTTTGGGAATAGGTTTCTCGTTGAAGTTTCATGTTCGAAAGAATCGCAAAATTGAAAAATGGAATCGCAAAAAAAAATAATTGGCTGGTAAAATACGATTTTATTTATTTTTGTGGGTTAAAAATATTGGGAAAGATAATTTTAGGCTTCCCATACACTATACGCCTATTACTGGTTACATGAACAACACTTTTCATTGGTTCCTGAGAGAAATCGACTAGTTGTTTCAAGATGCAGAAAGAAATAAATATATGGTGGTCGTCTATACTCCTTTATCACGTTAGATAATACGTTGCATCACAAAAGCCCTGTGATGCAGCGTATTATTAACCATAAAAAAATTCTAGTGTGGTAGTCTTTGTTCCCAAAGGACCAGGTCAACACAATTTTGCCTTTGACGATATCGGAAAGACCTGCTCACTTTGTGATCAGGGGCGGTCGGCTCGGCAGTGTTCATGGTCTGTCTTTGTGACACTAGGTTTCCATCGGCATATTGAGAGCTGATATCGTTAGCAATATGAGCTGCTAACTTTTGATATCTGGTAAGATGACGTCGTAGATTCCATACCCGATCGAAATCTTTTCCACAATGACGATTCCGTTAACGAAGACCTACACGTTGAATCCGATTTGGAGGATGACGACAGCAGCGATGTTGACGACATGAACAGCGATGGCGACCATAATGTTAGCGAGTTTGAACTCGATTCCGGTGAGAGTATTATCGAGATGGATGAGGATACCAGCCCCTTTGAAAGCCCGAGTTCAGGTAACCACCTATACATGCATATAAGAAATTGTATGTTGTCTTCTGCATCCAATACCAGCTCATCGTTGGATGCAGATCTCGATTTACTGAGAGAAGCAACTGGATCGCATACGACACGGAACCAGTATACATCAGACACCCACCCGTTCCCGGATCTCCAGTCTATGGTACTGCTTGCCTTTGTTGATGGCGATAATGACATGGTATCTCGCAGGATCTTGAAAAAGATCCTGTTTACCATAAGTCTTGTCCTTAAGCTTCACGAGGAAGCTATCCGAAAGAAGTCCCCGTTCAAGTTACCTCGTTTGGATGCCCTCTTGAACTATCAGACCAGGAAAAAGTCCAAGATTCCTGTATTTCCATCCACAAAAGTCGATATCCAGTTGCCGGAAAACAAGACCACGTCTGCTTATATCAACTTGCCTTCAGACCACGTCCGGTTTCTTGCTGCCAGCCCCAAGAAAGCAAGAAACATGTTTTCCCTCCCTGACCGCACTCCTAACCAGTCCATTTGTCTACAACAAGGCGAAAAGTGGAGAACACATTGGTACTATCAACAACCTATGTTCACCCACAACGGCGCAGATTTTTGGTCTGGTGATATTGTTAACTTTATGAATGGTTCTACTCTAGCCCGTTTCCTAGTAGAATCATTCCATACCATGGATAACTCAGCCGTTTTTGTTCAAGGCTACATGGTTTATATTCTGGAAGGCGGTCAGTTCATTGGCATCGAAGTTGAATCTACTAGCATAAAGCTTGAAACTCTTTTCGGTGTTGACTCGACCCCTGTTGATGTTGCCCTATGCTACAGCGTCTCACCTGGGAAATTCTTTCATTTGATTCCCAGGCACAAGTCCTTGCTGGAAGAGCCTCATTTCTTAAAACGGCACGTACTAGACGAAACCGGAAAGCCGATAGATCCAAAGTTGTTTTACAAGGTGAGGATATCGCCCATTATACTCTTCACCGACGACACCTCCGGAAACCGATCAAAGCAATATAACCCGTACGAAAGCTGGTCAATGAAGTTTGCTGCTCTCTCCTACGAAGAGAGGTCTTCAATTGAAAACATCTACTTTCTCTCTGCTATTCCCAAGAAAAAGGGGGCAAGTGGGATGTCCTTGTTGCCTAAAATCGTTGAAGATTTCAAAAGGCTCGAAAACGGACTGGTGATGTTCTCTGCCAAAGACAACGAAAACGTCTTAATAGCATCACCACTCCTTTGGATCGAGGCAGACACTCCATGCCATTCTGAACTATGTGGTTTGCGCGCGCCGACAAGTCTGTACCCATGCCGCAAATATTATGTCCGTTTACAAAGATCCATGCCCAACCTCCAAAGCTCTTCGTATTATACTGGTAGACACACAGCAAGAACAAAGGCACACTATCTTGCTGCTGCGTCTACCTCGGGACGTGGATAGACTATTCCAGATGCTCTTTTACTTGAAAATGCTCTGACAGCAAGTGACCTATGCTTCGCAAATAGGGCAACAGATGCATTGTTGGAACTACAGTCATTCGATCCATCGACAGATACTCCAGTTGAAGTTCTGCATAACATACTTCTTGGAGTTGCTAAGTATCTAGTCAATGATTTGGTAAAGGTTGTACTAAAGAAAAATCCTAACCAAATGGCTAGATTGTCCAAAGCCCTCAAGGATTATGAAAACTCTCAAGGAATGTCAAGAAAGTTCACTCGAGAGTTACGACACTGTGGCTCATTCCTTGGGAGGGATTACAAAGTTCTTCTGCAAATTCTACCCGCTATCTTAGTTACAGAATTTGCAAATGATAGTATACTCTCTCTCATAACTCCATCTTTTGTCCGCCTTGGCCGTATTTGCTCCTTGGTGTTTGTTAGAGCAGTAAGGTATGATTATAATATGTATATCGACGAAGTTGAAAAGGCAGTTACAAGCCTTATCCAAGAACTGCATTATTATGACATTACCTGTGAAATCGAAGGACATAATCCGTATTCCTCGAAGCCCAAGGTTCATCTGCTCACACATCTGCCCGACGATCTACGAAGATTTGGAACTGCTCTACACTACGAGACCGAAAAAGGTGAGCAGTTTAACAAACACATCCGTGAACACCTAATGCATACCAATAGGTTAAACACCTCAAGAGATGTATGTCTCAAGTTCGCCAAGCAATCTGCAATGAGACACATCATTGATGGTGGTTCATGGGTGAGCAAAGACAAAATGAGAGATAAGTATGGTAATTCCACGGCAGAATTTCTTAAAGAAAACTTTAACGACAATGTTAAGAATATCCTGTTTGGTGGATCAAGAGACTTTGCTGATAATAACAACACTGATGACATTACAGCAAAAGCACTCTGTGACAATACCTTTGCGGTGTTCATGCTCAAGAAGAGTAGAGACCAACATGCCCATCCATTTATTGGAAAGGTCTCCTCTTTGAGAGTAGAACACTATCGAGTTGAGAGTAGTCCCCACGCTCAAGTTAACAACTACCTCCTCGCGCAAAGGGTTTCCAATGATGCATCTACTCCACTCGATCAGCTGAAGATTGTATGTAAGCTTGATATGCACACAGAATTTAACAACAAGCTTGTCATCAATCTCAGTAAATTTGGCTCCTACTGGTTCTTTGTTTTCTTGTTTTCGAATCGACAATATTGATTTTTTTTTATCTATTAATAAAAAAAAATTATTCAATAAAAAAAAATTGTGGTTTTCACCAAGTCATTTTTCGGTTTTGCCAAAATATTGAGAGAGTCCATTTATGGATACTTGCCCTTTTAAAATTGCCTTATGTAGTTGGCAAGTCTCATAAAATGGGTCAAATTCGATATCCCGATTAATCTGGGTTATATAGACCAATCAAAATGTATGTGAGTAAAATATTTCCAAATTTGATATCGAAAATCTCCCGTGGTGTATGACCCAAAGACCCACGCCATGGCCGGTGGCTTGGCCGGTATGGTAGCATCCTCAGTTACCACACCGCTCAATGTCGAAAAGACTCTGCTGCAGACACGCGGCCAGAGCCACGATTCACGCATCAGAGCTGCAACCGGCCTACGGGACGCAGCCAGAATCATCAAAGAGCGATACGGTCTCTGGGGATTCTTCTGTGGATTCAAGCCTCGTGTGTTGACCCACATGCCCAGTGCAGAAATCAGCTGGAGTGTCTATGAGTACTTCAAGTGGTTTGTAACCAAAAACGATAATGTCAACAACACATCCTCGTCAACAAACAATGACTCAGCCAACCTCCTTCACCTCTAATATATATATAACAAGATCTGAATGGATTTCAGCTGAAGAAAAAAAGAAATTCCCATTACACAGTACACAGTGCACAGTGTACACACAAAACAACCCTCTCTCTCTCTCTCTCTCTCTCTCTCTCTCACTCACTCACACACACACACACACACACACACACGCGCGCGCGCGCATCAACTTTGATTGATTGATTGATTGACTTGATTAGGAGACAGAAACAATGTCATCAACCAATCAACCAATCAAGAAAGTCAACGAAATCAACCAATCAAAAATGAAGGAAATTGTCGAAATCCTGCTTTTTCTTTCCTTATTCTTATTCTCATGGGCATACCTTTATTTCTCTTATTTTTATTTTTTTATTTTATTTTATTTTCGTTCTTTCCTTGTACTATACACATTTAACTTCTTTACCTTTCTTTCTCTTTTATTCCCTTCTTTATTATCATATTGGAAGTTAACTGGTTAGTATATATATATGCTTTCCTAAAAAAGAAAAAGAAAAAACCTTCCTTTCACAACCCCCACTTGTACATACTTTATTTTTACAACAACAACAACAATAAAAAAATAATCAATGCTGATTATATATATATATATATATTTATATCAATATGTCAATAGTGAATTATAAATAATATAAAGTCTTTAATATGTTATATCAACAGTCACTGTGTTTCTCTTTGTCTGTCTGTTACTCTGTCTGTCACTTTGCTTGCCACTCTCTCTCTCTCTCTCTTTCTCTCTCTATTTATTTATTTATTTATTTATTTATTAAGTGACAATGTCAGAGTCATCGAGTAATCAGACAGCAAAACAAGATCCAAAAAAGATGAATGAGAACACTTTGATCTGTGATCAAGAATCAATGTTTGATTTAGAAATGAAGCAATCATATGAAAATAATGAAGAAGAAAACAAAGGAACAGCAACAGCAGTAACAGAAGCAGAAGTAGTAGCAGTAGCAGAATCAGTAACAGCAGAAGAAACATTAGAAGATATAGAAATAAAAAAACCCCAAGTCAAAGCCAAAAATCATAATTTGGAAACCCAAAAACTTAATCAAAAACCAAAAGAACGATGGGTAGATAAAGACCCAGTATCCGGTATAAGACTTAAGTAATAACCAAATAATCAAATATTTAAATAAGTAATTATTTAAATGTAAAATTTACAGGTCTCGGACAAGTTCAGTAGTTGAACAAGAAATGCAACTATTGGACCTTGAGTTTATTCCAGTCCATTCATTAGAAGCCCATGCTTCGTTGTTTTATTCAACTCGAATTGGAACCAAACCCTTGACAAAATGGGGCACAAAGGGTGTAGTCGAGCGTATAATCTGTAGCCAAAAGTTTTCAGTAGCCAAGGTTACCAATCTAAGAGGAAACTATTTTCATCTGTTTCTGTTTGGACAAGCATTCAAAACCCACACAAAACGTATTACTGTCGGTAGTGTCTTGTGTGTCTGTAATCCTGTCGTCACTCGACCTACACAAGTAGGTAAAAAATAACAATAATAATTATTAGTTTGCTTTGGCTGTGTATACAAACTGTACTAATAAACCATGTTAATACCAATACCAATACCAATACCAATAATGATAATGATAATAATCTTGAAATATTTCTATGTATATATAAACATTCTTTCAAGTTAAACTCGGCCGTGGGATTATACGTATCTGATTCAAAACAGATTTCCGTGGTGGGAATGAGTATGGATCTAGCCCAATGTAATGCATTTGTAAGTGACACTAAACAATGTGATTCAATGATTGATAGGTAAGGATTTCTCTTTCTATATATATATATATATATATTTAAATAAATAACTATGTGAATTACATTACATTACACTATACCATACCATATCATACTATAATGTAATGTAATGTACAAAAGAAGGTTTTCTTGTTTGGCTTCCACTAAACACATATATATGTACTTGTACATGTACATCTGCATGTGTTTGAATTTGTATTTATATGTGTATTAAAAATATATATTCATCTATTATAAACCTAGTCGTGCTGGAGAGTTCTGTGATGTACACATCAAAAGAGCATTTGGCATGTCACGTAACACTCGCATGGAGTTAGCCTCTGGGTAAGTTATATACAAATATTCTCGGACATTTCAAAAACACTTGGCGTAAAGAGTACACTTGACCAATCTTAAATTCAATACAATACAAAAGAACTACTGGGTTAGATGTGTGTTGGATTCAAAAGCAACAATCTATCCAAGGCACTCTCTTCAAGGCCACGACAGAAAGAAAAAAGAGAGATCGCAAGGAAGATAGTTACATCATTGAAGGAAAGGGAACCTTTACTTCAGATGGCATTGAAACCAAAGTCAAATCGACGCCCACAGAGAAACCACAACCTCAAAATGAAGCAGACTTGCGGTAATAAAGTGACATAAATATGTACATATATATTTATCAACTAACTATCAAACAATCAGTGAGTTCTTAAAGGGCAAGTCAGATCCTGGTGCAGAAATGATCCGAAGACTAAGAGGAATTAAAGAAACAACAACAGGTTAGTCTGGATAATCACAGAACTTTATATTATTATATCTAAATACAACCAATTCTGTAGCGTCGGCCTTATCTAAAGAAGCCATGGCTAAAATGGGCATGAGCCGTAGAGATGTTGAGTTAACAAATGAAGATAATGCAGCAAAGGTAAAGTAATATAAATCAGTATAGTATATTTTCTCTCTTTCACGCACTAATTATCACTATAATTATACATATATTTAGAAACGTGCTATCGATGCTCTCATGGCAAGCCAATCAAAGACAATCAAAAAAGATCCAAAGAAGCCTCGCTACATTGACCTTTAGAGTATTTAAAATCTAATGTTGTGTTTAGTTTATTTAATTAAATAAATAATAAAATAAAGTATAAATATGCTATAAGTGTTCAATGTAAAATAGAGAGAGAGAAAGATATACAAAAAAGAAGAAGCAATAGTAATAAAGATGCTGTGATATGATATGATATGATAAAATGGGGTGAATGAAACTATCATGCAAAAAGAAAAAAAGAAAGGCAAACTATGGTAGTGGCGGTTGTGGTGATAATCTTTCTTTCTTTCTATCTATATGTATACTTCTTTTTTATAATTTCAAATTGTAGTCTTGTTCTTCTTTTTGGCTTTAGGTTCTGTCGTGTTTGGCTTTTGCAATGGCAAGGAGCTCATTGTACTCTCCACTACGGTGGCACATACTCTGGAACACGCCTCCTTCGCGAGTCATCAGTGCATAAGGAGTGTCATACTCAACCAACTTTCCATGATCCAACACAAGAATACGGTCATAATCTGCTACTGTACGGATACGATGGGCGATACACAACAGTGCAGAGTTCACAAACTCGCTACGAATAGTCTCTTGGATCTTGTGATCCGTGTCAAAATCAACAGATGAAGTGGCCTCATCCAGAACAATCAAAGACGATTTCTTGACCAATGCACGCGCAAGAGCAATCAATTGACGCTGTCCCTGAGACCAGTTGTTGCCATTCTCAGTAACCACGGCATCCAGTGAAATCGCATTCTCGGCTTCGCTATTGTTCTTCTTGTTGCTATCGCTACTACTTTCATTTTCATTATTGTTATCAGCACCAGTGTTAGTGAGATGTGCACGTTTAATGGCGGCCCACAACTCAAGATCGTTATGCTGTCCAAATGGATCCAAGTTGCTGCGAAGCGTGCCAGAGAACAAAACAGGGTCCTGGGGAATAATGGTCAGGCGCGAACGAAGATCCTCAAGTCCAATAGTATGAATATCAACACCGTCCACCAAAATACGTCCAGACGTTGGCTCCATAAACCGGAACAGCGACAATGCCAAGGTAGATTTTCCGGATCCAGTCCGGCCAACGATTCCAACCTTTTCCATTGGCTTGACACTAAATGAGATATCTCTCAGGACAGGTGGGTTCTCGGGACTGTATTGCATCACCAGATTCTCGACCTTGAGCGAGCCAGTGGCTGGCCAGCTGGGTGGCGGTGTTGTTTCTGGGATATGGACCGCCGGCTCTTCCTCGATTGCCATGTACTCATCCACACGTTCAATCGCATTCATGTTCATCTCGTTAACAGCATACATTCGAACGACCCACAGTACGTGGTTGGTAAATGTCAAGGCATAACTGAGCGAAAGACCGGCTAGACCAGGATCAACCCAGTTTCTAGAGGACACCAGTACAAACCCAGTGCAGAAACTGACAAATGCTCCTAATGTGTCGACACGGCAATGCAACCAGCGGTTGGTGGCCCACATCCACAGGAAAGGCCGGTTGTTACTGTCAATCTTTTTATAATTCTCTTCCAAAAAGCGGTTTTGGCTGCCAAAAGCACGGATTGTGGCCACACCATTCACTGTCTCGCCAAACTGCACATAAATTGGACTGCGCGAAACAGAGTTGAGGCGCTTCATGTCACGGGAGGTCTTGAGGTAGTAGGATCCGATCAACCAAAACAGCAGTGTGATAACCGTGCCAGGAACCAAAAACGCAGGTGTGATGCAAGAAATCAGAATAACCACACACAGGGTGGCGGCAGTGGCGAATAACAAAAACGACAGAGATGGGCCAACTTCTTGGTCAATGGTGGCCAGGTCGGATGAAAACCGGTTCACAATACGGCCCATTGGTGTTGTGTCAAAGAAACGGACCTTGGCACGCAGAATACGGTCCAGCAACTGAACATGGATGTTGCGCGATGCAGTCAGAGATCCTTGGTAGAGAATGTAGGTACGCAACGAACTGACCACAAGAGCAATCATACCAATCAAAAAGTACACGCCGAGATAGTATTTCACATCGACCTCATCGGTGCCATCCTGACCTACAGCATACGAGCCAAGTCCAGAGCTAATGCCAACAGGATGGCTGTAGCTTGCGGCCATCATGTCGGACCCAATTGAGCCAAAGCTAGCAATTGAAAATATTCCAACGAAAGACGAAGACGAAGAAGAGGCATTTTCATCGGCGATTGTAGCAGTAAGGTTGCTTGGGCTGGGGTTGGCACTGTATGCAGAAGCCCAGACCTTGATCCAGTAATCTTGACCCAGTACACAGGCCTGTGCGAGACAGAACAAAATCAGGACCGAAATCCAGAAGAAAAATCCACCCGAAGCATAAAAGTAAGACGCATAGACTGACAAGGCAACACTGCCGACTGCGCGGGACTCTTCCTGAGTCAACTTGCCAGCACCATCGAGTTTCTTGACCTTATCTTTTTTCTCGAGCTCATGAACACTGCGAATAGGACCATCTAGCGCAGCCTCTTCTTCCTCAGCTGCCTTTTCCTCTTCGGCCTGGGCAAGTTCCTCACCAAGAACACCACTCTTGAGCACCGATGCAGGATCACCACTACCAGCAACTTCACCATCCTTGAGAGCAACAATGTAGGCCGCAGCCTTGAGGCACAGACCAACATGATGAGTAACCAAAATAACTGTCCTGTCCTTCATCAATCGACCGGTCAAGCAATAATCAAACAAGTGTTTGGCAGTGTGGGCATCCACGGCACTAAGACAATCATCCAGAATTACTGTGGTCGCCTGGGAGTACACGGCACGAGCAATGGCAACACGCTGCTTCTGTCCGCCACTGAGTGTTATACCCTTTTCTCCAACTTCGGTCGAATCTCCAAACTCAAGAATGTCAATATCGCGGGTCAGTGCAGTCATGTAGAGCACGTCCTGGTAGCGATGTTCGTCATACGGAAGACCAAACAGGATGTTGTCCCGAATACTGCAGTTTTGAAGCCAGGCGGTCTGGGCGACGTAGGCAATTCCAGAGACAGCTCCACCAAGTGTGTTTGAGCGCGAAACGTGTTGGCGTGGCAGAATAGCTGCACCGCTCACGCAATGGGTCTCACCAAGCAAACTGGCCAAAAGGGTTGTCTTTCCAGAACCAGTTGGGCCACAGACAATCGAAAGCTTGTTGGCTGGGAAGGAAATGTTGAGGTTGCGCAGAGCCGGCTTGCTGCTGGTGCTGTTGTTGTTAGTGTCATCATTCTCGGTCTTGGTGGACGACTTTTCCCAGCTAAACGAAGCATTGTTGACGAATCCAGTGTAGACACCCTGGGTGGCTTTGGTTTCGACAGTCTCGACTTCTTCCTCGGCCAAAAACGCTTCGATACGACGGAGAGAGACCATGGCTTGGAGAATAAAAGAAATGAACATTGGCAACTCGTCGAGTGCAGAACGGAAAGTGTTGAAGAGTGCGAGGGCAGTAAAGGCTACGGATGCTGTCAGGACCGATGTCATGGTGTATATGTAGAACACAGTGACCATGATCATAATTGGGATAAAGAACCAGATGTTGGCCATCCACATGAACGCCATCAGTCTTCCACGGATCGCCTTGAGTTCGACCTCACGCGCCTCTACCACTCGGTTCTTGAACTGTTTTTCCCAGGCAAAGAACTTGACGATTCTGATGGCCGACAAGAGTTCGTTCATCAGTTTCAGGCGTTTGTCGGTAGCAGTCATGACGGCGTCCTGGAGGTTTTCAAAGTGTCTGCTGATCATATAGGTCAGGGGTTGCGAGATGACCATGACCAATACACCCCAAAGACTGGCGTTACCGAGAAGCTTGTAAAGACCGCAGATACTGATGATAATTTGGACTGGGTATGAGTAGATATAGAATAGATATGCAATGAATTCGGCAATCTTTTGGGTATCGACAGACAACAGATTGTTCACGTTTCCTTTCTTGTCTTCGCTGTCAGCTTCCTGGCTACCGGTCTGATCTCGGCGACGCAGAGATTTGCTGAACACTTCACCGATGAGGATTGATTGGACACGGATGCCTAGGGTACGACCGATGTAGAGAGCCTGCTGCATAGAGAGAGACTGAATTGTGGAGGTGACAAACAAGCCAAATACGTACAAAAATGCTGTCAAGGCGGGTACTTGATAGACCGGATCGCTGTACTCGATGTACTTGATGATCTTGTTGAGGAAGTAAGGTGGGCCAAACATGACAATAGACCAGAACATACAATAGACGAATTGATGAATGAGCGGCCACTTGAAGTTGTAGAACAGTGCAACTGCCATATTTGGTCGCTTGTACTTGCGATAGTCGGCCAGGGTGTGTTTGGCGCGGTTCTCAACAGGAAGTTCGACAAGATCCTTGTCATCCAATGTGCGCTTATAGCCTTCCTTCATCATCACGTTGACCCAGCTGAACATAAACTTTGAATAGATCGATGCCCAGTTCTCACTCGACAAGGTGCGTCCCGATTCAGTCAAGACAGGTGAGCTTGGAGCGAGTGGTTCTTCATGGAACACAAAGATAAGCATGATGAGATTCAATGTGGCACTGTAAAGAGTGACGCTGTAGCCGAGACCAATATCCTCGACACCGTGAGCATTATAGAAAGAACGCAAGTCAACCAAGCCAAACAAAAATGCACCGGCATAAAGAGCATTTAGACGAGTGCACAGGGCTGGAGAGAACTCGTTGGGTCTGGCGGATGTAATGAGATTTACGACAGCCAAGATAAATGCAATCAACTATATAATTATTAAAATAATTTGGAATACCCAAAAAGCCAAAAGAACGTATGTGTGTAAATTGTTAAGTTATCGGTTGTTTTTTTTTACTTCTTTCTTTCAAGTCTGTCTTTCACTTAAGACGCTAAAACTTACCCAAAATGTAGCTAAGGAAATATGTGAAATCAAGAGTTGAGACTTTGTGCCTTCGACAATATCAATAGGATAAGTATCCTGAACCAGTTGGACCAGAGATGAAATGTACATGGCAGCCTGGAAACCGGCCAAGAGTCTGATCCAACTTACGACTGTCCATCGAAGTGGCTTTTTCTCATAGTCAGGGGCAAGAGTACTTGCGGAAGCGGAAGAGGAAGTCGAAGAGGAGGCATCGTCGTCATTGTCATTGTCATTGCTGCTGCTATTGTGATTTACACAATCTGGACTACGTGTGGCACCATATGAGAATGTTGGCAAGGAGTCTTTGAGGGGGGTATAGAGAGAAGAATTTGATTTGCGGTACTCCAACCAGGCTTTTGAGATTCCAACGAGGGATGAGATCAGAAGAATGAGTGGGAATACGGAATCTAATACACTGAGATCGTTGTAAGGAGAATGAGGAAAAGTTTTTGTGTGTGAGTTAATGTGATAATAATATTATTACTTTGATAAACATAATTTATCAAAGTCGTTTATTATTATTATTTCTTTATTTTATTTTTTTGCGTTTGTTGTTGTTGTTTTTAAAGATCTTACATTTCACGGAAGCATGGAGTGAAATCAGAATCTACCCAAGGATCCTACGCAAAACTTGTGTGAATAGAGAACGACAGCAACAATAACAACAACAAAAAACTCGGGAATAATATTGTTCATTGTTATAGACATATTTATTTGAAGAAGAAGAAAGTTAGCTTACTGCAATAATACAGCCAATACCCATCGTGAGTGTAGAGGGAGAGGGAGAAGCGAAGACAGAGAGATGTCTTGAGAAGTCAAGAAATAAAAATGAAAATGAAAATGTATATATAAAGGCCAAGCAAGATAAGACTTGTCACAAACGAAAAGACAAAAAGACAATTGAGTCTGAGTCAGGAAATATGCAAAGAAAGGGTAAAGGGGTAAGAAGGAGAGGAAAAGACAGATGTCGATATATATATATATATATATATTGAAAATCTGTATAAATATATATATATATATATATAGTAGATAGATGTAGATAGTGCGTATGTGTAAATAAAGTCTATCAAAAAGATCACTGGTATGTCTACAAGAAATAAGCGAAAAAAAAATATTGGATGATTTAGACGGCGAATTAACGAATGTGTCTTTGGTAGTGTGGACTTAGCCAGTTTTACTCGTAATTACTCTATTTGTAACTATTTGATTCCTTGATATATATACATTTGTACACCATTTTATACTTCCGTTGGCTCGGAGATCACCCAGGTCAAATCATTGTATTCATTTTTATTATTTATATTGGGAAAAGGCTCTCAATAGTCTTTCCCATTTGACAGGTCATTAAACAATCACAATCGCAATCGCAATTACATACACAATGTATATATATATATATATAACTTATCTATATACACAGCTGAAAATATTACTCAAAGAAGTATGTGTATATATAATATTGTGTTTGTCATCAAGTTGAATTTGGGTTGAATTCGGATTATTATTTTTTTTTTTAAAAAAAAAAAAAAGATAAAAATTGGTGTAAATTTTTTTTTTTAATAATTTTACTCTATTTATTTATTTTTACTGCGGCAAGCATAAGATTTCAATAAACCCAAAAGGTAAATTGTATCTATATATCTACCGCAGTAAAATGTATATATGTATATATAGATATATCAAGAATAAATAATAAATGTCATTCTACTAAAATAGTGTTGAAACATCTGGAAATATGTCGTGAGCTTTGCCAAGCAAGTTCTACAGTACAAGATAATACAGACATTCCCTTTTTTAGACGACAATGGTTACAAGCCATGAGTCCAAGACCATGGCCATAGCACCCTGTAGCACCTGAAAAAGTCTTATTCTTATTCTTATTCTTATTGTTAGTGGTAGCGGTGGAATTTTAGTTGCAGGTGTTCTTGATAGATTGGGTCAAAAATGACATTGCTAAACCATGATTTGATAAAATCCTTGGCTACCACATAAACAGACAAACATATAAACAAGTAGGTGGAGGTTTATCGATATAGAGATATATTCCAAAGATAAAAATGAAATTTAAACAATGACAGTGTCCAGGCTAAGCTCAAGACCAAGGATAAAACTAAAACTAAAAAAATAATAAAAAAATAGAGTGTTTAATACATATAGCCGGGTAAGTATTACGTTGGATAGAATAGATTTACATATTCATGCTCATGCTCATGCTCAAAACCATTCTCTGGGTTCTGCTTGTGAACCAGTAATCAAAACAGGAAATAACTGATAAAAGATGTGTATAAAGCACGCTGTTTATCTGATATGATTTATGCTCTTTATCTCCACTAAAGGCAAGATATCACCAAATAAAGATCATTTCCTTCAAATAATTACTGCAATAAATAAATGTATATATATATATGAAAAGAAAGCGTACAACGTAGTACATTTCTTTTACTCTATTCTATTCTATTCTACTTTGCTTTACTTTATTGCTTTGAACCTTTTTTTTATTTATTTATTTATTTGATCTGTATCAATTAACCTGTTTTATTGCATTATTCTTATTATTTATTATTCCTATTATTTTAGTATCACAATATATTTATATATAGCTTTATAAAGAACCTTGACCACCTCATCTAAAAAAAACAAACTACTTTGACTGATTGAAAACATTCTCAACCAAAACAAACTAGCCAATTAACACAATACAAAGCAGATATTGGTGAATTAAACCTCACATACCAATAAACCAAAAATAAAATAAAGAGCATAAATATCATCAAGATTTAAAGAGAAAACCGGGGAGTTTCGGTCAATTACCTGTATTTTAACGATACTGTCTAGAAATCTCAAGCGTCCCATTACAGTAACACACAGTCCATTATTTCCTTTCCTTTTGAACATCATTCTTCTTTGCAATTTAGAATTCACAGTCAACCTTCTTTATTTTCTTTCCTACATAAAATAGCAATAAGAAGGAAGAAAGAAAGAAAGAAAGAAAGAAAGAAAGAAAAGCCTCCCCAAAATAAATACGGATATAATGTACAAAAATGAAAAATGAAATCAGATCAAATTTAAGTATATTATTATTTATTATTACTCTTATTCTTATTATGAAAATACCTGAATTAATACATGCATTTTATAAAAGTACAAATGTCTTTAATCTTTTGGATCCAATATACTACCCGTGATTTAACTGCTCATACGCTTTACTTTGTTTATTTTTTGACCCATATGCTATTTAGTATTCACAAAAAGAAAAAATTAATTGGTTACTTTGTGTCTAATGTCAATGGTAAATCTTTTTTATATATATAAATATCTAATATAATTAAATAAAACTAAAAGATTCGGATTTCTAAAGGTGCAAAACCCATATTTTTGGGAAAACTTAATCGCTTTTTGTCATCGTAATACAAATCTATATTATTTCTCGGTCAGTCTGGGTACAACACAACCAGAGATTTTTCTTGTGTAATCATATTCCCAAAAGGGTTTAACGTATCTGGGTTAATTTTATTTCTATTTATGGATTTAACAATTTTTGCGATAAATCCCGGCCGCAAAAAAATCGCGGATTTAAAGACGCGTTCTCGCAAATAATAATAAAAATGGTTCAAAATATAATATGTTTCAAAGTAGAAAAAAAAATGCAGAGGCACTTGTTCATTATAAATTTCTAGAAAACAAAAACTCTTTTAACGTTTGTAAGTATTGCCATCAAAGTTAATTATAATGATATGGCTGTTGTGCATAATTGAATTGAAATGGTTATTGAGTCCAGAACTAGCACTTAGCTACAGTCAACAAAAACACCAAAAAAAAAGAGGACTCGAAAAAGAGCAAGTCTTCTATAAAGCTGCAAGGTTATTGCGTCTAAAGAAAGCAAGTATAGACTTTTTTATGTTAAGAGAAATCTTGATTTTACAAGCAGTGGGACACGACCAGCTTCTAAGAAATTATCCCTGCAGAAAGAGTATGTTGCTCATCTCTTATTCAGTGTAAAACTCTAAAGTGTATATATGGAAGGCAATATTAAACATTCAAACAAACTTAAAGTCCTGGACTTCTCTATTTTATACACTGCTCATCTTTCAGACCGTTTCATCTCTCTCTCTCTCTCTCTCCTTATATCTTTTTTTTTTACTTGTACAAAAAATCACAATAATAAATATTACAATGGGCGCGTGTCTTCTCAGTTCAGATAATGAATTATTTAATGTTGACAAGGAGATCGCAGAACGATCTATTCTAATCAAGAACAAGTTGGAAGGTGTCTATTATAATTATTAGTAATATATAGTAATATAAAAGAGGATAAACATATACTTCTTTATGGAAAAGAGGTATCTCTTTTTTTTCTTTTGTTGTGTCTTGCATGTATTGGGATTAGATCTTACCTTTTCTTTTCTTCTTATTTTTTCTGTGTATATTTGTGATTAAAAAGAAATGGAAGAAAGCGATGCTACTATTCCTCTTCCCAGCGTCACTGCAAAGACCTTGCAGAAGGTAAATACAAATATATACACAGTTATATACGATTATTTTAACTAATCTATATTTTACCTACCTTTAAAACCCAATCTAGGTTATTGAATGGTGTGAACATCATCGCGAGGATCCCGTCACTCAGGATAGTCAAGAGAGACGTAATACTGACATTGAGGAGTGGGACGAGAAGTATATGGAGGTTGACCAGGAAACTCTCTTTGATATAATTTTGGTAAGGCAAACACACATATAAAAGGAATATATCGTGTTAGTCAATTGATATTCTTTTTATGGGTCTATCTGTCTTTGTATCTTGTACAATTTCTTTTCCTTTGCTCTCTTTTCCTTTTCTAGGCTGCCAGATTACCTTAAAATCGAGCTTCTTCTTAGTATTTGCTGCAAGACTGTTGCCAACATGATCAGGGGTAGAAATGCCGAAGATATGATGAGAATCTTTGATATCCCTAATAATTTTACACCACAAGAACTAGTTTTGATCAATCGGGAGAATGTAAGTCGTTTGATAGAATTCTTTCTTCCTAACTACAAACACACTTTGCGCACACTACACTTTAATGCCAAACTTCACCCTACTCTTTTGGTCTGCTTTGCTAGTATACTTTTATTTATCTTATTTAACTGCTTTAGGAATGGGCTGAGGACCGATAAGGTGGCGTAAATCTCTCTTTCTTTCTTTTTATTAAAATATATTGACAGCCCTTAGCATTTCAATATATATTTTCTGACTGGCGTAAAGAATTTTTTTATTTTGCAATAAGTCATGCAAAAACATCTTCATACAAACAAAGGTACGCGCATTTTCATAAATGTCATCAGAAGTGTTATCAATGTGATATTTGGTAACAATAATCATATAGAAATCATATTTCAAAAAGAATCCCCTGGCATAAAAGCTATCCAAACACTTGTTTGCCTAGTGTTATTCACTAAGAAACCCTTTTGTAACCATATTCGACTCATTATGATTTTGTATTATGGCAAGAATACTCTTGAAAAAAAATACTTCATTTTGCAATTGGCTTTTCATTATCAGCAGTGATACTGGTATGATGCTTGTTAAAGCTGCTTACAATTTATTTTACAGCACACACGTCTCCTATTTATATCAAAAACCCATTTCATTTAAAGAAAAATTTCAAGTATAGCTCTTGTATAGGGTCTGCTTGACATTACTCTAGGAGCAGAAAGAAAAAACTCTAAAATTTGCGACATTTTTGCTAAGATATATACCGTCTTATTTGTAAAAATATAGAACATCGAAATGTTTATAAGCGAATATGTATTTTAATAATAGAAAAGGTTTATTTTAAAGGTTGTTAATTAGTAAAAACATCTACACTCTTACCAGGCTTTTCCGCCTTCTAGTATTATGAGTTTAAAGATAAAGAAGTCTGCACTTTCTTTATGCAAGCTATATTATTTAAAGAAGATATTTAAATAGTACAGTGGTCCCTCGATAATTTCAAGGCCTAGGGGGGGGGGGCAGGTGCCTTGAAATTATCGAAGAGTGAAATTGACGAGTTCGGAGTATATCTTTCCCGCTAATGATGAGATGAGTTTAAAATATGACTTGTTGAATAAAAGAAAACTAGCGCTTATAAGCTATTAACTGCATTTTTTTTGCCAACAGCTTAAAAAAAAACGTTATTATTGATTAGAATTTGTTAAAACGATCTGTAGTAAGATATGTAGCGAAATCTCTGAGCTATTAGCTGGTTAAAATCATAAAAGGTCACCATCATAACTCACCACTATTTTTGGACACCTATATATAATCACTAAGAAACACATTTCAATAAACTCAGTCTTCTTCCTGATAAAATATCAAAAGCCCTACGCGTAACTGTTAGGCAGAATTTTCACTAAACTTAACCCCAACCATTGATCTATAAGATCGTAACTTAACCAATCTCTAATGCACCTAAGTGTCCTACGCCAAAAAGGTTCAAAGAGAGACGTTCTGTATCATAATCGATAAAGTACTATAGAAATAGCAATAATTATATCAAGTAGTGATTTGGTATGTGCCAATTCTCTGCTTAAATCCATTCTTGTTAAATGAAGCCCCCGGCTGTATTGGTGTTTTTCACCCTCTGTCTCATGATCTATTGTTTCCTTCGGATTCTTATTCAATCAAACAACAATTCGTGAGAACTTGTGTAGGTTGTTTATTTCAAAAGAAAGGTAAAGAATAATAAAATTCGATTGTTTTTCTACAGGGAACTATCTACTGATATTTATATATTTTTCTAATTTGTAATTCATTATGTGCTTAAGTAATCTTTATCACGATGAGTCATCTTCCAGAAGTATTGTTCTTCTGGAAAGATCCGGAAAGACCAATTGATATGATGCTTTTCCAGTCAGATTAGTCAGAGAGTTTTGGTAAAGAAGGGCATATATGTTACAATATTTTTTACTTTCTTTTCAATTTCAAAATACCACATCAACAACTAAATAATATAGTGAGTAAGAATAGTATGCATACTTGATGAAAGTAGTAAAGGAAACTCAACTTAAAAAAAACTCATAGTGACTTACTTTAAAAAACAAAAGTGATGATGACTAATCTTCTTCAGAAGGCAGAGATTGTTCAATAATTTGCTATGGTGACAATAAAAAGGCATAGTAAGAAACGAATAATCATATATATGTTTAATTATAGAGTAAAACCTACTTTAAAGATATACAAATTTTCAAAAAAAAAAATTCAATTGATTCGTAGGCTTTGTTTCGCCCTTGAATTTCAATTGTCTTAATAATTGAATAGTTGTATTCTCTATTATTAAATTGCAGCTTTGTCAGCTCTAATACCATTCCTATTTCTTTATATTAGCACAAGCATTTATTAACATTATAGGCACTCCATACCTCCAACAAGTATTCCAAATGTACAATGTTCTTTGGTTGATGAACTTGTTTGAAGGCGAAGGTGTAATTGCCTTTTGCAGATTTCGGCTATTCTTGCTCTGTCAATGTCTATAAGATCTCTGCTTTTTTTAGGAGGCTTAACCTCTCCACAGCCCACTTCAACACGTTCATAACAAATTATTATGATGTCCGGGCGTGTCGTAAGGTACTCCTTGGGCACTCCTTCTAGCAACGAGAAAGAAGAAGTATCTCTATTTAAATAATGATCCGTCAGTATTTTGCTACTATATATATAATCAGCGTGATATCTCCATTTACCAATCACTAGAGATTCTGTTGCTAGAAGCAAAGATGTTTTGAGCCAGAACGGAGGCAACTTTGATAATAAAGTCTATTTCAGACTGGTTATACTTGTATCGAACAGCTCTTCCGGTTTTTCTCGTCCATTCCTTGTCGAATAAAAACTTTTTAAAAAAATGAATGATGGCATCTTACTTTTTATATATAATTTAATCTTACAAGGTAGAGAGAATATTGGCAATTATCATTTCTTCTCTGTTTGTAGGAGGAGGTTTTTGTAAAAACACGTCCACTTTGTCATTGAGAGCCTACAATCTGTTTTTAGTGCACATAACAAACAATTTTAAACATATATTATAACCTTCTTCCAATTTTTTATCAAAGAATGGCTGTTATTAGGTAATTGGTATTCAGGAAGCTTTACTTGATTTGATATTTTAATTGAGGATAAAGCGCTAAAGTAAACAAAGAATAAATAACCTTTATTTTGCTATGTACAAAGTAGTATACTTACAGACGCTCTTCAACTGACAGAATCTTCTTTGTTTTATGTATTTTTTAGCTCCATAACATCTACTGCATTAATTTCCATAAAATCCAAAATATAATGCCAATCTTTTGTCTAATGAGTTAGCAACTAAAAAAAACAAAATATTTTCTTTATGGTTGTTACCTTTTTTTTATCTTCCTCTTCTTTTTCTCTTTCTTATTTTCTTTCTCTACAACTGCCTTTATTTTATTTTATTGCTATTTTCTCCCTCTGCTACATCGAATCTTCTTTTCTCAGAAAGCCTTCTCGTTTTGTTTTTATTCAAATCTGCAAATACAGACTCATCAACTTCAATATTAATACTCGATTGGGGTCGTTTCTGAACATAAGCAGCTTTTAGCATTTTGTACTGAGCGTTCTTTTTTTTCCCAAAAAAAAGTGTGAATGTTTACGCTAACATTAAGGGGACGACATTTTCAGGATGGGGCACTACCTTTTTGATGGGAAACATATTTTTTTTGTATGAGACAAAGTTTTATTATTAAATTGCCCAAAAACAGGTCGTACTTCCTAAAGAAAGAGAGGTAGATGTCTGGGGAGATATTGATGAACATACAAAGTGTGAGGACTATGTAATAGAACAATGCGTACAATGGGAAGAGGAAATGGTAAAATTACAGAGAAGAGGAAATGTCATTTTGATTTTATCTGACCACAAATTGTGACTTATTGTTCGGTATCAGATAATTATATCTGGTCCGTAAGGATTCATACTTATCATAATAAAGATACTTTAATATAAGGCAGGATAATAGCTTTGGCTAAGTGTAAAAGCACCCTCTTAAATATATAATGATATACTTAAAGCCTTATACTACCTGCAATATATTAACGAATATATAGAAAATAATAAAATAGTTACCTAACATTCTACTTCAAGACATAATATCATAACAAGAAATGACGTGCTCTTCCCTTATGACATATTCCAAGTACATTCGAGTTGGTTTACTCACTCTAGCTATAGATACAAACTACTGCATCTTTGAAATTACTATTGACATGCCACTGTAACTTTCAACTGGTGAAACAGGAAGAGGTTTTTGAGCAAAAAAATACTCTTCTCAATTGAAAAAAACAGGTATTTTTATTAGTAGGATTCATATTGAAGTGATTTCTAGAAAGTACTTATTAACACTATAATTTTTAATTGCTAATCAACAATGAGCAAAATAGTCTCTTTGCTATCTCCAAGAAAAATGATATATTTTTCAATACAATTAATTAATAGTTCTTATGAGATGAGTATAGAATAGAAAAGAAGGTTTTATATTTAAATATTGAGTTAAGAATTTCAGGACACATCGTTTTGCCCTGAAGGATTGGAGAAAAGACCTCGGACCTCGGACAAGTAGTCACAAAAGTTAGTATGGCAAAAAAAAATGTTGTCTCATCCTGAAAATGTCGTCCCCGTAAGATTGCTGATTTCACCTCTTACATGTAATAATACTATCACTGTAGTAAATGGCAAACACTATAATTCCTACGGTCACGGAGTTATAATGTTTGCCAATAGAATCTTGGATTTTAGTAAATTAAAAGTATTTACAGCGAATACTATTTATGGGAGTTAAAATTACTTTTTATCTAATCCAATAAAATCGTTTAAAGTAGCAAAATTATACCATTTTTAGGTACATATTTCTCTTTTTATAACAAATTTGGATAGTACAATTCGTTGGATTTCAGATCATTTTTGCATATAATCCAATCAAATATTCTAAATATGGCAAATCTATACCTTTTTTTTTTAGATATCTCTATTCTTATAATTGGTTCAACAAATACACGGTTTTATATTGGAATTTTATAGTTTTTATTGATCAAAATAATACAAATTGAATATAAAGAAGTATGGAAAGAGGAAGTATTATTTTTTATGATATTTAGTAGCAGTTTAAGCTATACATTCATTAAATAATATAAATATATCTATTTTTATGTGATACTTTTTACATTGTTTTATCTAAAAAAAAGCTATTTTCTAAGTACTATGATATTGATGAAGATATGTATATTTCTTAATTGATTCTTTTAATCAAAGAGTATAAATCTGCTTTGTGTTAATATTGCTATGTCTGATTTCTACTTTTGAGAAACCAGAAGACAGATTCCCTGCGATTCTCTAAATCTACCGAGATTTCTAATGAGCATGCGAGCAATCTTGACAACCAAATTGTACTTGATGCAGATATTTTTCTGTCAATTCTTCTCAAGTTACTTTCTTTTGTCAACTTTGCTGATTCGGATTTTATTAATACTAGCCTTCATAGTTATTAAGTGTGTTTCTTTTAGAGACTTTTAATAATTTTAGACCAGGTGAAAAAAAATAGAAACAAGTCCTTTTAGATGTACCAATCTAAATTGCTTGGAGAACATGGACGGGTCAGAGGTTATGCATCGTTTGTGGAATCGGGATCTTGCTGCTGTCCTGAACTTCTGACATATACTTAACAATCTGAGATATGATGGGACTATACCTGTAAGGTTCACCCGCGTCATTCGGATTGGACGTATCAGAAGGCAAGCAGAAGAAGATCTCCAGGAGGGTCGTCGTTTGAGACAAAGACTGACTAGAATTCAAAGAAGATGAAGAAATTCCGTCCTGGTTACCGCTTAGGACCCACCCAAGCTACCGCTGGTAAACCATTAGATTTGAATAACTTGATATTTAGTTTTGTAATGGGTTGAAAAAGCTAAGAAAAAGATGTTTTGCTTTGACTGCAAAAAACACGGTGGGGTAAAAAAATAAGTAGAATATAAAAGAGAGCGAGAGAGAAATTGGTGCTTAATTAAAACTCAAGTACAAGACACTTTAAACCCCGGAAAACTTGCAACAATTCACTAAAATCGTCTATTTTTTTTCTATAGGGTATACAGCATCAAAACACTGTTGGTAATACTTTGCTCTCTTCTTCTATGCTAAGAGTAAACATATATATATATATATATATTAGATATCTAAGACAATAAACCTGCTACGTTGAAATTCTACATAAATTACATAACCACAATTTAATTTCTTGATTGGTTGTTATTAGTTGTAGTAAGGTAGCTTTCAAGTTAGGGCAACAGAATAAGGGTAAATGATGGATCAAGGCCAGACCTGACTGAGATTGACTCTCAATCCCATAAATATCCAATCAGAAACAGCTGCCTCAAAATGAAAGCTAATTAACAGCGACTACACCTCCCCGCAAACAAGAAATCATTCACCCCTGTCATTTTCTTCTTCGTCTTCTTTTATTGCATGTGCAGTGTACAGTGTGTGTATGTGTGTGTGTGTGTACCTGGTTAAAGAAAATTAGAGAAAAGGGATCGTCAACCATCCAAAATGTTTAATAAATAAATAGAAACTCCGCTATATTCGAACAGACAAGTGAACAAAATGAATTACCAACCTTTGAGAATTTGTATAGTACAAAATTAATTTTTATTTTAATTAAATAAAATAAAAGCGTTGTTCATCATGTCCAGCTTCGACCATGTGCAATACATTCTTCTTGCCGAGTTTGATATTGATAAAGGAGCGTCTCTGAAATACCAGTATCCTAATGAGACCGGAACCGATGAACAGTTAATATTCATTCAATCTATACCTCAACTTTTGTTCCTAACTTTTAATTATGTTTAATCTACAGTATTCTATCCGAGCTGATGCTTCCTGATGGAGCTCATCTAAGAGCAGAAGATTGGACAATCTTTTGTCTAAACCAGATGATCCCTGATCCAGAAACCGAACAAGATGTCCTTCGTAGTGATAATGAGAAACCATTACTGTATGTTCTGAATCTGGTACGAACTAAACACGATGTAACAGCCCGAAGGTTCGTTTTGATTTTTCTTTTTCTTTATATATATATATATATATATTTATATATTTATCTTTGTTCGAAGCTAATCTCTTTTGAAGAGGTGCTCGGGTCAAAGCCATGGCGATTTGCACACACCATCAATTCCTTCACATATACAAAGTATAAAACCCCCACTCCAAAGACAAGACTTTTTATCATTATTATTACTTTTAATATTTTTTGTCTAATTTATATATATATGTGTGTGTGATGTATGTATATCAATTAATCAATTGACTTTTATATGTATTATATAGCCGGTATTATTGTTAGCCATGGAAAAGTATTTCGAGAATCCGTCCAGAGAAATCCTTGAATCACTTCACAAGGCTGTCAATTCAATGGACCTATCAAACATGCCAAGACTAACCTGGCATGAGCGTCAGATCCTGAGAGCTTCGGACAACAAGTCAATGTTTGAGGAGATGTTTGTTGGAGACGATATAGACAAACTGGCGCTGTCGCCAGTGACATCTCCATTAATTGAAAAGTCTGAAAACCGAACGCTTGAGGATGAAGAAGGAAAATGTAGGAGAGGAACCTACATTGATTTGGCATCTGGTCAAATGCGTGAGATCTCGGCAGCCTTGGGAAAAGATCGAAGATTCTTTGATACAAGAATCGAATACGAAGGCATAAAATTGCCTATTCGTATTCCATTAACTGTCAATGCAGAGGAAGTAGGAGATGTATGTCACCCCACATTTGAGTATATGTATATGTATCAATAACTATAACCTTTTTTTCCATATTATTCACTTGTTTATTTATTCTAGTTTTCTTTAATCAAACTCATTTCCACCTTTTCACCAGCAGCTCACAGTGGCTCGCCTAATCCACACCATCCTCATCTCGACAGTCCTGGTGCTTACACTCACCCAATAATGATTTTATTAAATGCGCTTTTGACACAAAAGAGGATTGTATTCTTGGGCTACGGACATCCTTCGGGCGAGGTAGCCAATTATGTATTGGCTGCATGTGCACTTGGCAGCGGCTGTGGAACAGTTCTCAGAGGATTCACAGAACGAGCATTTCCTTACACGAATCTGACAAGTGTTGATGACCTCTTGAAATGGTAAAAGACAAATTGAGAAAGGGATGGGTGAAATAGAAAGAGAAATTGTCCTAAGCTATGAGACTTTGTATGTTTTTTTTTAAAATATATATATATATTATCGTGTGGATTAATAGCCCAGGATTTGTGGCAGGCGTAACAAATCCCACGTATGAGGAGCACACCGGATGGTGGGACGTGCTTTGTAACATCAGTACCGGAAAAATAACTGTCAGCAAAGACATGGCCCCAGCAATTATTCGGAAAAACATACACACTGACGAGCCTTCTTTCTCTACACTCTCGATCAACCGTGCCTCGACTGCAGCCAGTCTCAATCTACGTATGGATGACAAGAGCAATCGTGAAAGGGAAATGGACAATGATTTTATGGCAGAAGTAAGTTTTAGACTTACACAAAAAAAATAGGATCAAATCAGGTTGCTTAGATAATAACTTACACAGCTTGTGCTCATTTTAACAAACTAGGTTCTTGCTGCTATTCATGCGCATTATGGCGAAACGTCGATCCGTTCCAAATTCCAGGAATATGTCATGCGTTTTGTGCGCCTGGCTGGTTTGTACGAAGAAGAAGTCTATCATCAGACGAAAATAGGAGGATCACAGCGTGAGGATGCCTTTGATCCAACCGGTCTATTAGGATATGGCCCTGTGTTCCCAGACGAAGCAACAAAACAACGTGAATTTGCTGCAAATGCACAACGTATCGAAGGCTGGAGACAGACTATATCATACAAATATTATCAGAAAGATTTTGTAGCACTGTCACAGAAGAGTAGTCTCAAGAACATTGATGTGTATCGTCAGATTTACAAGCTGCGGCAGTTGCGCAATCTTCCGGATACAGAGATCATTGCGATCTATGAAGCATTTCTTGACACGACTACCACTGACCGTCAGATGATTGAGGTTGGTTATCAGGGCTTGTTTCACAAAACAAAAAAGAACGATTGTTTAAGTGTATTGATTGCATTTTGAAAATTAGTTTTTGTCTTTCTTGCCACAGCACCAAGGAGGACTTGCGCCTCTTGGACTCGGATTCTTCCATTCTTCACCAACTGTACGCCGATGTACCATTGAGCTGTTTAAGCGGCTACAGAAAAACCCTGTATGTGTTAAAGAAAAAGAAAAAAGAGTTACATCAGTATACAATGTGTCTTGAAGTTCTTTGTTCACTCATCTGTATGCCATTATCATTCTTTTCTAGACTGGTGATAAGTTTATTCAAGGTCTATCTAAATTCCAGAGGCTTGCTTACGAAAGATTGTGCCGATCTACTTCCGTTGATGAACATGAGAATACCCCTCCAGTTTCTGTTGTGTGAAATTATATATAAAATATATATAATATATACCTTTAAACTTATCAACTGCTATTTCTCTCGTCATAATTTAATACCGCCTTTATTGAAATATACAAGTATAGCTATAAGCACTTTCTTGCTTCATTGTGAACTGTTATATTTTATCCATATATAAAATAAGGCTTATGTATTTCTTAAAAAGGATATATAAAGAAATCCGCAGTAAACATGTGCGGATAAGCATTTACTCTTTTATGGTTTAATTTGATAAGATTATAAAAGCTATATAGCTATATATATATAAATATATAAGCACTAAATCAAATACACATCATAGTTTAAGTGATTTTCATTAACTTATTACTAGTATTCAGTTTGTTTAAATAGAAAAGTAACACACCAATAGCTTCTTCTGTCGACCCCAGAATTTCATCTCAAAGACTTTTAATCAAAGGAGTTAATTAGGGTATCCTTTAATTCCCTTTTTATACGTTGGACCTCAAGAGGTTCTTTTTGTTTTGATTAAAAATAAAGAATCAAGTTATTGACCGTGAGCTAGGGTGAACCTTTCTACAGTTGAGATCATTAAGCTTGTGTTGTATATGCGAGGGAAGATAGAAAGGCAGAATTATACTATTTTCAGGACACAAGTATTCTGAAGATACTTACTTAAACACTGCTTGTTGATCTTTTAGACTTTAACACTTGTCTATTTTTTAGGCATGTCTCCATTATTTCTTAACCTTTGTGTGCTAATGTATATCACAAAGCCTTTTTCTTTTCTTTTCTAACTGTCTCTGCATTCTATTCATTTACCCGGGATTTTTCTTTTAAAATCAACTTGTCCGGCACTCATCAAAGTCTATTGTTTTCGCTCCTTTCTCTCTGTTTGGATGTGTGTGTGGTTCGCCTTCCAATTCCGATGCTTTCAAATGACATATCGTGTGGCAATTTTGATCCAATGTTACTTTTTGTGTAATTTTTTGCTCTTATACCTGCGCTAAGGTACTATATATCCTAAGTTTGTATAATTTATTTAAATACCAAAACTTAATAATAAAGAAGTAGAAAATAAAAGATTGTACTATACTGGGCGCTAATTGCTGAGATGTTATCGCATATTTGTACTTCCACAAATTGCCCTCTTTTATTTTAACTTTATTCTTTTATTTTCTTTTCATATCTTTTCTCTTCTTTCTAATCCGCAGTAAAATGATAATAGCAATTAATTAATAAAATCATCATAAGCTTTCTCTAGAGTAACCATAGCTCACTGAATATATATTATACTCAATATCTGATTTTTCTTTCTAGAAATCTTTTGTATATCAAATGGGTTGCTTCACAAAGACTATTTGCTTCTTCTTTTTTGGAGAAGAAGAAGAGGGGGAGGAGGAAGAGGAGAAAAAAGAATAAGAATAAGAAAGTAAATAGGAGACTGAAAAGGTACAACGGCATACACACACACACAAGCATGACTTTCTAGTATGACAAGAAATAGGAAAGCGTGTACAAGCTTTTTTGATCTTGGACTTTGCTAGTCTTAATATCAAACAAGAAAATGAACTTTTAACCTTTTGTAAGCCTCCAGTGACAAGACATATATTAAACCTTGTCCATTAAAACAAGAAACCATGCCATTCCATACCACACTTTCCTTTTGATCATTTAAGAGCTGCTAAAATAAGCTTTCTATATATATATATACATTTGGTACGTATATTTAATCTATATTGTTCAATATAAATGCACTTTTTTTTTTAAAAAAAAAAAAGAGTAATCAATTGAACACCTCCATTTATTTACTTATTTTTGTTTTGTTTCTTTTCAAAATATTATGTTGTATTTAATACACATATAGGTGCTCCATAAACGTCACAAATTATGTATATATGTATATAAAAAGGAGATAATTAAACAAGAGCTATATATTGAAAGGTCCCATCAAAATTCCTGATATATATATGACTTGTCAAAGAATAGCTTATTCAGTCGGTATGATTGGTTAAATTAAGAATCTTTTTCAAAATATATTCAATTGACTACCCTTTTTATATTTATATTTGTACCAATGTATAAATATATATATTTTATTTATTTTGTAAAAATACGGTATTGACTAAAAAGAGATGAGCAAGTCTACGTCATTCAAAAAAAAGCACAATGGTTATAGTTTGGTTATTTATTCTGCCCATCCTTCAGCCTATTTCTTCTTTCTTTTTTCTATCCTTTTTACTTCCAAAAAGAAATAACAATAATAAATACCACAATGAGTGTACATCTTCTCAGTTCAGATAGTGATTCCTTTACCGTTGACAAGGAAGTAGCCGAGCGCTCTGTTCTAATCAAGAACATGTTGGAAGGTAACTATTAGTAATATTATTACTACTAACAACAGTATATATATATATATATATACATATACATATACGTTATTATGAAGAGGAGGATTTTTGTTTTGTTCTCTCGTATCTTGCATGTATTGACATTAGATCTTACTTTTCTCTTCTTCTTTCTTTTGTGTGTGTGTATGTGTGTATGTCTGTGTGTGTTTATGATTGAAAAGATATTGGTGAGAGCGATGCACCCATTCCTCTTCCCAACGTCACCGCAAAGGTCTTGAAGAAGGTAAATACAAATACATGCATAGTTCTATACAATTACTCTAATCAAGGTTCAATTCATCAACCTTTAAAAACCAATCTAGGTTATTGAATGGTGTGAACATCATCGTGAGGACCCCGTCACTCAGGATGATCAAGAGAGACGTAATACTGACATTGAGGAGTGGGACCAAAAGTATATGGAGGTTGACCAGGAAACTCTCTTTGATATCATTTTGGTAAGGCAAACATATATATGTATATATGTATATATATATATACGCAACGCGTAAAGCAGTACATATATATATATAAGGAATATTTCGTATTAATTGATCTATATTCTTTTTTTGGTCTTTGTTTTTGTATCTTGTATATAATTCCATTCCATTCCGTTCCATTCCATTCTATTTCATATTCTATTCTATTTCCTTCCTTCCCGTTTCTTTTTTTCTTCTAGGCTGCCAACTACCTTGACATCAAGCCTCTTCTTGATGTTGGTTGCAAGACTGTTGCCAACATGATCAAGGGAAAGAGTGCCGAAGAAATCAGAAAGACATTTAACATCCCCAATGATTTCACACCCGAAGAAGAGGCTCAGATCAAGAAGGAGAACGTAAGTGGTTTGATAAACATCCTTCTTCCTCACTACCAACTCACCCATACTGCGCGCAATACACTTTAATACTCTACCTCACTCGACTCTTTTGGGATGGCTTTACTAATATATGTATATCTATTTATTTTCATTTGACTACTTTAGGAATGGGCTGAGGACCGATAAAGTGGTGTAGTTTTCTTATTTTCTTTTTCTTTCTTTTTTTTAAAGTTGCTTGAAAGTGTATTTTTGTATCCTGTGGGAGCTAATATACAAGGGCTTCATTGTTGCCTTTAAGATTCCTCTCCTTTTTATATATACAATATTTATATATATATATCAAATCAAACTAAACCAAACCAAATCAAATTATAAACAAAAATAGTCTTCACTTTACCAGTTTGATAGAATAATGAACGAGTTAATGAATGAATGAATGAATGAACCAAGTATCTAGTAGCTAGTTAGTCAGTTGGGTAGTTCTTATTTGATGATGCTTAGTGACCCTACGTTACACCTTGTGTAATTGATGGGGAAGGGTATTTAGGCTAAAATTCTGAATATCACAAAGAAAAAAAAACGAAAAGCCATGCCTAAGCCTTGTGTATTTTATTTTATTTATTATATCGAGTTGTAACTAAAGAAGTTAAGTATCACAAAAAAAAGATGAGAAAATAATGGTAACAATGCTGCTAATTCCTCTTTGACTGATCAAATACTCCCCAATATTTGATCCTTCTTGTTCTTCTTATTCTTGTTTTTTTTAGATCGATATTTTTGTAGGTTTCAAAGATTAATTTTTTTTAAAAAAAAAAGCAGAAATATATCATACATTTCATTTATTTTCTTTAATTATTTCTTGTCATTAAAAGGTTTATTAAGCAAGATATAGTCTAACCCCAAAAACCAAGACTAAGCAATGAAGATATCCTTGAAGCTCATCCGTGTTTAATTTATTTTGGTTGCCTATGAAAAAAAAATAGATTTTATGATAGTCTTTGATACAAAACCAAATCAAGTACCAAAAATTAATCAACCCTTTTTATAGATTATTCAGATTTATACATATATTAATTAAAGCCTCTTTACTTTTAAAAGGAAGAAAATGATAAAGAAAGCAATCCCCTATTCTATCAAAAATAATCATTGATCTTAATCAACCGAACAAAATGTTTGAAGAACACTCTACACTGTGTGTAGTTTGAGTGACTGGTTTTTCAATCAACCCATAAGAAAACACTTTCAATTTCTGATAATGCATGAATTTCTAAATACGCTCAACTTACCTTTGTTCAATAATGTCAGATGAGCTTTTAGAACAGCCTGTCAATCTTGTTCTCAAGCAATACGAGTTGCTAGAGGTAAAAATACAAGAGGCCCAATAAAGAAAACAACTATCTGAATGAGTTTTTTTTTTAAAAATAATAATAATAATAATAATATTCTATTTTATTTGTGGACTCACCGACCCATTTAATAGATCACAGGATTTCAAGAAACATGTACAATCAACATGGTTAATACCATGCCCTGGGTAATTTAATCAATGTGTGGATGCTTTGAATTTAAGCCATGTAACAACAAGCATCTCATTCTTATTATTATTGTCCCTACTTTTTTCTTCTTCTTCTGACTAGCGCATGAACCTCTGTGCTGCAAGCCAAGTCGATACCTCTACCTTTTATGTTGGTAAATACTAATAGAAAATACTGATAACAAATATATTATTTCCTAAACTTTGGAATTGTTAACCCACATACACAAATTGTGGATAGCTATGGATCGGTTTATATATGTCTACAAACGGAACCACCTACCAGGATCTTTAGGTCAAGCTATCAAAAAAATTGATAGCAGAGGGTCCAGACCATCAGAAGAAAGTCAAGTGGTAAGGAAACATATATAATACACATGTGTATTCTTTCTTTAATTCGACAATCATTATATACATATATTTCTGTTTTTTCTTTTTAAAAAAAAAGGGATATACTATCAATGCAATAAAAGTCGCTCAATTATTGGACAAAGAAGTTCTTGTAACAGTAGCAGAAAACGGCCATGTTGGTGTTTGGATAACAGAAGATTTGGATAAAGAACCACTGGTTCTTAGGTAAATTTCTACAACGAGTAAAACACGCACACAACACACACACCGATCTATATAAGTTTTGACTTAGGCATGAAGACGTTTCAACCTGGGGACTTGCTATACACAAAGATGGTCTTGTGGCCGTCTCCACGAACAACAAGATAGTCACGGTCTTCAACATACTAGAATTAACCAAAACCAGCAGAATGTTCGAAAACGATCCTGACTCCAAAAGAAAACGAAGAAAAAGAAATGCCCTCAAGGATAAAAAGGTCGTCAATCTTGTTGGGCATGAACACAATATACCAAATATCGATTTCAGTCACTCTGGAAGATATATCGCGAGCTGTTCTATTGATCGTACGTGTCGTGTCTGGGATCTTACTAAAGAAAAGGTGGTTACTCAACGCAAGACTGCTCTTAGTTCACAAGAAAGTGATTCTTGGTGAGTAGGAAAAATATATGTATATGCTTATATGTATATGTGTGTATCAACCTTATTTTACTTCTTTTATTTTTGATGATAATTAATGTAAATCTAAACGTATAAATGTATAAAACAAATAACAACAAAAGGGGGTGGTGCGTCAAGTTTATTTCAAAGGGAGACTTCAAATACACGGTGTGCGATAATGAGGCGATATGTCAGACAATTCGCAAAAAACTATCCAAGGGACGTTCTATTCACCTGTCCTCACTTGGAATGCGACATTCAGCCGCATTACCAGTTTATCGTTTCAATTCTGCCAGTCTTGAGGCTGACATTGAAGAGTATCGTTCCGAATTCAATGAAATTGGGTCTGAAATGGAAGCATGGGGTCAGGATCTTATGTTGGATACCTTTGTGAGCGACGATGAAGCACCACTTGGAGATTCTGATTTTGGGATGGAGTATGATCCTGATGATCCATATAATAATTATGGAGGAGACCAACCAGATTATAGTGAGGCGAATATCGATGCTCAGAACAACTCACCTGGTACCTCTGTCCAACAAGGCCACGAATTGTGGCTAGAAACGATGTTGGAACCTGATGAAGAAGAATTCGATATGCATGCAACTGACGGTCACTATGCTGCAGAGCAAGCGTGGTTAGATAGCAGAGTCGAGCAAAGGGATAACGACGATGAACATTACGACATGCAACTATCTGACGCATACGACCATGTAGAGCATGGGTGGGAAGATAGCAGATTCGAGCAAGGAGACGATGAAAATTTTATGGATGGATCTAACGACCTGGAAGCGCAAACATGGCCAGCTGCTCTAGGAACGCTAGATGGTGAATGATACATTAATCACCAAGTTAATCCTTAAATGTGGAACGCTAATATCAGTACAACGTGAACGATTATAGAGGATCCAATGCAGTCGCCTGATTTAGACAGAGTATATGGTAAGTGTCAACTAATCATCAAGCACCTTATATACAAAAGAAAACATAAAAATCTAACCTTAGTATACTTCACCTGAAGACTCAAGATCTCACTTGTGGCTAAATCCTAGAAGCTTAACAGACGGTAAGGAATAACGATGTCTTGATTAGCCTAAATAAATAAAAAGAAGTGTATTAGTATTAATACATGTTACTTTTTAGAAGAAACAACATGGCCAGAGTTTCCAGAAATACCGGATGGTGAGTTAAATAGTAGTAATAGCACTAACAGTAGCTAGTTGGTGTAGAGAAACTAATGCATATGTATCTAACACTTTATAAGATCCATCATGGCCAGAATCTCTAGAAATACCAGATGGTAAATATCATATATATATAACAAATCCCCAAAAACAAAAAAGTCAATGTCGGTATATATTAAGATTATGACGGGCGATCTTGGCCAGTTAATGATGAGGCGCAAAACGGTAATGGATCTTACTTATGTCCTACAAATTTACAAATATGATGCTGATAAATATATACTTTTTAGATGAAGAAGATTGGCCAGATTCTGCTGAACCATCATATGAAGGGGATTTTGAGTCTCGCCAACTAGACTCTACTATTTGGAATCCAGAAATAAATCACGATATGCTAGAATTAGATTCTCGTAGTGATGAATCCAGGTCTTCACATCCCAATGATGATCGTTTACGCTCAGGGCAAATACAATCGCAGGTTCAAGGTGTAGATGGTACAGATCAGTCAAGAGAAGCAAATAATCGTCCATCCGGTAACTTAGAGGGGGCGCAGCAACCTCACTCGGATGAAGCTCATTTACCTGGTTCCTCTAACCAAGTCTTCCCAAATGTATCCGGGGGCAACAGATTAAGTACAGCTCAATCTACACAGAATAGAGAGGACAATGCGGGTAATAGTGCAAGGCGAATTAACAGGGGGATACATGAACCAGGCAGACTCTTTCGACGCTGGCAGGAATTAGCTCAACAAGCAGAAGTGGAAAATCGGAGGAATACTGCCAATAATAATAATAATAATAATAATAATAATAATTCAGGTGTTGCAGAAGATGGGTGGCAGAACGACTCGTTAGATTCGGACAATGCATGGAACGAACAACCGACTGGTATTTTTGTTCCAACAGATCCACTTGTAATAAGGTATGGCGGTTAAGGCTTGACTGCATTGCAAAGTACAACGACAACGACGGCTCCCCTTCTAGTCTCCTAAAAAAAAAGTCATATTGAATAGACTTCTTCAACAGCGTATGGGACTGCCTAACTTACAACGGCAACGCAGAAGAGGATTTCTTGACGTCCCAGAGGGTAGCTGGGATGATGTTATTTCACCCAGCGCACAACAGCAACCCAACCAAGAAGAAGAAAGTGAGAGTGAGAGCGAGGATGAAGCAAGTTCAGATGAGGTAGTATCTTCTGGTCGTCGTATTCCACGTGTTGTACACCTTAAGACCGATCCAAAAATACCAAACGCTGGTGCAGAAATATCCGAGCAAAAAAAAGGAGAAAAGAAGAAGAAACGAGAGGTTGGTGAGTACCTTGTGTTTACAACAGCCAAGGATGTGTACCTCTTGAACACAACAAGACCGCGCATAACTACCATTAGAGTAGAACATGAGGCAATTTCAAAGATCGATGTTCGATCGGATAGAATGTTGTTGACTATGGATAGAATTAATATGGTCGAATGGATTCCCGAACTTGAACTTCTGGTGGCGGCTAGTCAAAAGGGCACAGTGGCATTGACCCGTGTATTACAAGTAGAATTAGATGATGGAAGGCAGACCTGCCTTTTTAACAATGAATGTTACCTTCCGCTCGGTGGTCTTCAACCCACTCCACTTTATGGTAATAATTCAAACAAACAAGTACCCATTTCTTTTAGAAATATATATATTACGGATAACAAATAGCTTACATTTTACAATTGGCCCTGTAGGAATGACCGTCCAGCGGATAGCCAGAGATAACTTGTCACCGCCAATATTTTACATATATCTCTTCTATTACGACGGTGCAGTTCTTGGGTACAAGTTGTCGCGTAACAAAACTGAAGTCGATGTCAATTCATTTATTGTTTAATTTGGCTTTGTTTTTGGAGAGCAAACTAATAATAATAAAGTAAATACACCCTACCTTCCTATGTCAAGTATGGTAAAGTTACTTAATTTTTGCTTATCCATTGATTTAAATTGAAAACCGTTTAGGTCCATTACTTAATGCAAGAATCGAGTAATAAGATTATGCACATCTCAATGTTTGACGTGAAGGTTTTAAATAAACACGCATACACAAAAATACATCTTTCAAACCTGTATTAGACCGATAGATAAGAAAAATATTAGAACAGTATTTTTAAGTATATAATTAATGATTTACAGACTAATCCTTGTGCCAATTCATTAAACACAATAGGCTTAATAATATCAGCCATTTCAACAACTCTTTTTTTTCTCGTTTTGAAAGCTTTCACTAAGAGTCATGATCTTAAGATTATTGTATTTTCTTATATATATAATATAGCTTATCAATTACTGTTAATCATACAAATAAAAAGTCAAGATAAATAGACCAAAGTAAATTATATTTATATATGTAAATATGTGGAAAGAATACAAAGTGAGTATTAATGTGAACATACAAAACAGCAAGACTGAACACCGCTTCAACAGAACTTACAACTTAATCAAGTGACTGTTATACTGATTCATTATAGAAAGGAAAAAAAAAGAAGGCCAAAATTAACCCAGAGAGGTCTGACTTCTTGGCTGAGAGGAGAAGGAGGCGTATTTCTTTTCTTTTGGTTATTGTTTTTTTTTCTTCTTTTTTTTTTTCTTTTTACCGAAAAGTAATGCCAAAAAGAAAAAGATCTCAATCCACAAGTACAAATCTGGTTCAAAAATGTACAAAAACTCAGAAACCTAAAGAGCCTTCTGGACCAGTGGCTGCTTCAAAGAAAAAGCCTAATGGCATAAACGAACCCAAGACAACCATAATATCCGACGTCTCAGAAACTACACTTACATTGAACCCAAGCATTCCATCTGCTGATCAACCTGGTTACATTGACAGCAATATAATTCAAAATAATCTCGCGCAAGGGCACACAAAGACTCTCACCATACAAGATCGTAATTGCCAGGTCATTATAGAACGTCGTTACAACTGTCGAGCATGTATAATGAAGAGGAATGGAGACGCTTGTCGATTCAAAGATTTTCGTGCAGTTGATCAGCTACTTAATAAAGGGGATACAGTGCCCAGCCCTTATTTTATAAGCACAGAGCTTGGGGACATGGTCCGGTCGAGAGTACAGAATAACATCGTGGCTCCTTCAGAGAAATTCAAAGCTTACGCACTAAAGAAACTCTCGGGTCCACTATACGACATATTGAAAAAAGAAAACGAATTCATTAAAAAGTACAATATATTAATCCGACGTCGTGCACCTGTCAACTACGCTCGTCATATATGCGATTACTGCGAGACAAGTATTCTCAACGCACACTTTACATGCGGAGTTTGTGGAAGTGATATGTGCTTGCATTGTTATGGTTCAGACTGGAGTTTGGACACAATAGTAAGATTAACAAGATGCTCCCGATATCGGGCTCATGCCAAAGAGCACTTTCTTCCTGTCACAAAATATGAGGAAAACACTATAAGAGAGCTTGCAAAAGAAGTCCAGAGTGTGAAGGATAGTCAAGAAGACTGCATTATGCAAGATAATCAAGATGAAGTGAGCTACAGTATGTACCTATTAACTATTACCATCGTATACATATATGTATATTTATGATTTCTTTATATTTCTATAATTACTATTGCTATTTCTATAACTGCTGCTGCTACTACTACTACTACTACTACTACTACTACTACTACTACTACTACTACTACTACTACTACTACTACTACTATTATTATTATTATTATTATTATTATTTAGAGGAAGTACTTTATATTCCAATAGAAGAATCAACCATTGATGCATTTCAAAGCGAATGGAGAAAAGGAAAACCTGTGGTGATACGTGGTGTTCGAACAAACAGTGATGTATCATGGACTCCTAGCTATTTTATCAAGAATTACAAAAAAGAAATCATTGAAGTGATCAATTGCAAAACAAAAGAAGTCGATGAATCAACGGTCAAGAAATACTTTTCCGGGTTTATTAAACACAGCAGACGTCCAGGATACAATAAATCTACTGGAGGATCGGACATATTAAAGATAAAGGTAAGCATATGCATCAAGGATTATGTGGTAATGACACTAATATTACCCAAAAAAAAGAAAAGGCAAAGAAGCATTTTTTGGATTCTATTAACGTTACTTTCTTAGGACTGGCCTCCCACCGAGAATTTTAGTGACCATTCACCTAAACTTTACAAAGACTTTATGGATATGCTTCCGGTTAAAGAATACTGTACCGCAGACGGATACTTTAATTTCTCCAATCGATTACCCGAAGAATATATTCCTTCTGATCTCGGGCCAAAGATGTTTATCGCATACGGTTCCGCGAATGGCGAAAAGGGAGTGGGTACAACCAATCTGCACTGTGACATGGCAGATGCAGTCAATGTGATGTGCTACGCAGACAAGACCGATGAAAATTCTGCAGCGGTGTGGGATATATACGCATATGAAGATCTCGCCGAGATCAAGAACTTTGTGGACAAGATTGCCAAAGAGATGGGCGTCAAAGGGATCCTTGATCCAGTACACAGTCAGTGGATTTATCTGAATGACAGTCTTCAACAGAGACTTCTCGAAGAACACAATATCACGAGCTGGAGAATATACCAGAATCCTGGTGATGCAGTTTACATTCCTGCAGGCTGTGCTCACCAAGTTTCCAACTACCACAGTGCTATCAAGTGTGCATTCGATTTTATCAGTCCAGAAAATATCGACCGGTGCATTGACGTTACCAATCAATTCAGACATAGTAAACGTGTAGATGCTCTACAGCTGAATAACATCTTGTTGTTTGCATGGAGAAGTATTTATGATGAGAATAATTCACAAAACACATCACTCTATACGGATAAGTAAACTCTAATCAGAAGCGTCCTGTCTCTTTTTATAATATTATTGATTATAAAAGAAAATGCTTCATCATTTCTTGGATTATATCATTCAAGAAGAGGTATCTTTTAACTATTTTCCTGCTATATTTCTTTTGTGTATTAAGATGTAACTGTAACTGTAATAATTGCAAATATAATAATCGACTTGTTAATAAATAAATATATCTTTACGACTGTTGTATTTAATTAGGGGAATTCAATAATCATAAACTTTTAGTAATATTATATTCTGTATTATATGATTGGTCGAAGTTATTCGAAGAGCATAAAAGTCTATAAGACTGTTGAACCCCCCCCCCCCTTTTTTTTTCCTTGTCTTTGCGACGTCGTCTCGACCAGAGCTTACATTCTTTATTCATTTTATCTTTACCACTGATCTGTGCTGTCTATGTACCCTAATTTCAATTACATATCTATTCAATTAACCAAACTTACAAATTGTATTTTGGGTGTTATTTTTATTAAGATTCATATTCATATTCTAAATAAAGAAATATCTCAAATTTTACTTTGAAATGCTTAAATACAAAAGAAATAGATAAAAAGGGAAATGAAGTTTCCAGATAAAAAACAAATCAAGGGACTATATCCAAAAGATATTTAGCCTCTTCAGCATCAGCAATTTTCGCTGCCTCATCCCAGTCAATTCCATCTTCGAACATATACTCATCCTCATCTTCTTCATTGACATCTTCTTTTGCCTCTGGTTTATCTTCACTTTCAGCTTCCATGGCATCAGCGAGTTTAGCCACTTCACACCAATCGATTCCACCGTCATCGCTATCAAATTCATTGTCTAGAAATAAAATAAATTCGAAACAAAGTAGTCTTCAATATGCAGTACAAGAATATATGAACATTCAAGATATATGCATATACATATACAAACCTTCGTCACTTGTGAATTCTTCAATCTCTTCTTCCCACTCCGAAGAAGGTAATCCATACCTGCTTGATGAACAAGCATCCATCACAGATTTTGGGAAAATAAACTGGCGATTCTCTAGATATACGTACAAGACAAATTACATATTCCCGTCTTCTTTTTGGCAATGCTTTTTTATTTCCTTTTTACCTTTCTTCTTTTCAATAATATCCCATTTTGATATTATGGTCGGTTTCTTCATACAAAACATCGATCCTTTCTTTTTAGGAGGGGGAATAGACATAATGCCACCTATTGTAGACGCAGCCTGATACATCAACGGGGCAGTATCCTATATTTCAATACATACATATTTGTATTTATTTAGACCTCTTTGCCTTCTTTTTTTTTAAAAAAAAAAGAGGTATATTATATTATTTCTTACCCTCCAATCTCCCAAAGAAGCTAATAAGTCTCCTTCACTAAAGCATTGCATTGCAGTGTTTAATTGACTTATATCGTCGCAGAAATACGGGGTGTTTTCATGTAAATAAGATAGGAAATTGTCCAAATTATCAGGTAGTGTTTCAATTAAATTCTATGTTTTATTTGATTTATTTGATTTATTTATTTATTCAAAAATAATTAATTTCACATGGCAATTTAAAACAAACTAGACAGACAAGGATTTTTCTTTACCTTTGGGGAAGTCTCTAGTTTTCCAGCCAGGTCTCCTAACGCAGTACATTAGAAGCATACTTCTTTATATAAAAGTATATATGATTTACGTTTTCGGTAGAGCGCCTTTCCAAGCGAATGAAACAGTCCCGGTATTTCTGTCCGTTCACTAAAGCTGTATCTTGTTAATTAAATGAAAGCCAAAAAAAAAGAGGGACCCCATCTCCTCCTTCAATTCTCCCTCTATATATATATTATATACTTTGTTTACCTTTCAGTCTGAGTGCCGTGTCGATTACGGCTATTGCGATTAGTTTTTAGTGTTGATGCCAATGAAAAAAAATTGGATTGTAAAGTGTTGATAGCGAATCGAATGTCTCCTTGACTTGCTTCAGAAATAGACTCGATTTCAGCTGAGCTCATACAGACCAACTGGTCCATGTTTTCTGTGACATTTCCAATGGATTTCGCTCTTTGACTCAAAAATGATTTGGTTTCTGCATCATGGATTTGGTGAAGGAAGGTAGATATTCTCTTCTTGGTTACACCATTCAACCTTGGATTAATGAGTGACATATATACATACAAGTACACACACTCATACGCGTGTGTTTGTGTGCATTTGTATTGATTATGTTATTATATACTTACTTTAATTCTTTGTAAAAAGGGCTGTTTTTTATATCCTCTGGTATAATATCTCGCAAGCCAATGAGTCTATCTCCGGATTGTATTTTCCAACTCAAGTCTGTCTCCATCCAAGCTTCACTGACAACAATGACTACCAACACCGGGTTATTGTTAACTAAACAAGCTCTCAAAATTCTATGAAATCGATCCTTGATTGCCGCAGTGGTAAGGTCAGGAATATCATCGAGCAAGATGACTTTTCTGGGCATTTTGGTATTTTTTGGAGCCATGCTTCCATTAAGAGTATCAAGCTGAATGGCACGCCTCATAAAGTCTTCAAAATCATCGATGCCCGACACATATTCGCTTGGGTCATAATGATTCAAATCGTAATCATTGGTTGTGTCGTTAATCCATTCTGATAGGGTGTATGGCATTGTTTTTGCTAGCAACCGAATCGTTGTACTCTTTCCACATCCAGCGTTTCCTGTGAGTGTGAGAATCTGAAATTTAATATTGCATGAAAAGCATTGTGAGTAGATATGTGCCTAATTAACAAATGCATAAAGAAAAATACCTTACACCTATTATGTGGTATACGCCCGGCTGCACTAATAATGCACTCTTTGATTGCATTGATTCTCCTTGGATCAACTGCAAGATTTTCCTGCGTTAATTGTACCAGCCAAAAGTAAGAATGTTGAGTATTCTTCTTCTTTTTTTATATTCTTTATATTCACGTCGATACCTCTATTTGTGGCTCATATTTATCAGCCCAGAGCTGGTTTGCTTCTGCCTTTTTATTTTCTAAAATAAGAAAAAAAAATATATATTTATTTAGATTGAATATTTTTATTTTATTTTTCGATAATATATATATATATATACGTGTTTTTGTGGGTGGGTGTGTATGACCTGATTCTTTATTCGAGGTAATATTGATATTATCAACAAGACGTGCTTTTAACTTGGTAGGCCTTGTCTCTGGCTGCCTATTCTTCCGTCGTTTCGTTTGGGTAGGTACATCTGGCATTATGAAATCCTAAGGAAACATTCTAATGATCACAATGTTCATTAAGTCTTGTACACATTCTTACCTCAGGATTGAAGGTCCATGGTTTTTTACTCATTATATGAAAGCTAATGATTTAGCTCAGAAGAGTCAAAAATTTATTTTTATTGTAAGTATTATTATTTTAGAAAGAAACAGTAATAATAACAACAACAAAGTATCTTAAATCATTTTGATTGACCGTCGCATAAAAGAGCTGGTGCGATAAAGTCACAAAGAAAATAATCAAATATGATATATGATATATATATAATAAGGAGAAGAGACTTTGGTCAATTGAAGGGAAGAAAAGACTGTGTTATGTATCATGATAATCCTAAGGTTAATATCCCACAAATTGAATCACAATATGCGCTCATATGTGTTATTATTTTATTTGAATAAGAGAAGAAATATACATCTTGCGTTTACGACTTGTGTGATCCAGTTTTAGTCATTTTGGACCTTTAAATGATCAACAGCCCAAAATATATAATGAGATTAATTTAATAGTCTATTTTATCTGTGCTAATTCAATCAGTAAAACTTGAGTAGAAATCATTATTGCTGTTGCTCTAAAGATATTGTATGTGGTTATTTACAGATACTTGCGTTTGCAAGTGATGAAGATATATTTTCACATTAACTGTAGCAAATTCGCCCTCAGAATCTTACGCTTTAGCAAGAAAAAATATTGAGTCTCAAATCCCAAAATGATCGTAAAAAGCAATATCCTACCATGTTCCTGACATATTCCGATGATATCATTGGACTTCTGAATACAACCAATGAAAATAGCTCGTGAAAAATAGTATTGGGCTATACATCTTGTGTATTCGAGAACTCTATGAACATATCATAACAGCAAAAAAATGGTACAATTGTATTTCTCTATTTGGTTGCAAGCAGCTATATAAATTTCTTGTTGTGTCTTAGCCTAAGCATATAATAATCACTTTAATAGCTTGTTTGTACTTGGACTGGATCTGGTAGTCAACACCCTTGTTTTTTTTTTGTTTTTGTTTTAGTTAGAAATAGCATGTCATTTGCAATCTTATCGATGATGTGTTTAGAAATAACCCCTCTCTTTGCCCATTGTAGACAGACAAACACAGGCATTTGTTTCGATTCGCATTCCCTGTATGTGAAATATATACGAAGCGTTTGAGGTATTCAACACACCGGTTCAAAACTCTCTAATTAGTAACAAACACAATTCTAAACGTTTTGAATAAAGATCTAAATCCAACTTGACAGACAAGGGGCTATGCTGTTTATTTGGTAAGTGTCAAGTCTAGTGAGGTCCTTCTTTTATTAGTGCTTGCGCAAATGTTATTCACCTTTATTAATTTAATCCCAGTCAGTAAATTGGGGTTAATCTTGATTAAATCCTTTAACACCCACACACACGCTATATACATTTATCCGATAGTGTTTCGGGCACCACATGATATCCAGTTCAACAATATTTCTTTGAACATTCGGACAGAATATTTCGTAGTGATCCAGAAGTCTAAACAACCCATTTTTGCCTTGTGCATGATTAAACCATGCTGAGCACAGAATGGAAACATAAAGAGAAATGTTTGTACAAAAAATTGAAACAATCGAGTGATTTAATTCAACATTGCAAGATAGAAAGAACTAAATAATACCAATGTTAGCATATAAAACACATAGTATTTCTCTGATTTAAGCATACTTTACTTTACATATTAATCCAAAGAAAAGGACAAGCAGTCTAAAGGTAAATATGGCTTTTATTCTTGTGTATACCGTACTTATCTATCATGATAAAAATGCTCATAAATTACAATCTTAACCACACTTTAACCTTTTTTTCCCCAACTTCTTGTAAACGGTGAATTTATCTAATAATCTTAACCCGAGATTTTTTAATTAAAAAAAGTTAAAGTAGAGTTCTTTGACGCACGTCATAACTAACAAATTATCCGTCCAAATTAGACAAGATGTTCGATCATCTCTATAGATAAAGATTAATATATAAAGGATAAACCAATGCAAATAAAGATAATTATAAATTAAAAGATTTTGAACCCCCCCCCCTCTTATGTCTATATATTCTTTGATATTATATTATGCTTGATATAGATGACAATCTTTAAGCTTTCAGAGCTAAAGACTCCATCTGCGAGTTTTAATTTAATACTAAATATATATATATATCTCGGCCTATTAATTCATTAATTGTATAGTCGATATATTCGAAATTTATCGGTTGCATAACTGAGATATAATAGAAAGAAGAAACCAAGTCATTGTGTATGCAATCTGTGAAAAGCATTTATTAAATATATTACCACTACTTTTTTTTAATAAAAAAAAACTTTATGAGATTTTAGGGATCTTTTGACTATTGGTAGATACCTATACAAATACAAACAAATATGTATATATATATATACATTCTCTCTGTCTATGTGTGTGTGTCAGAACAATCACAAAAAGAATCATGATTATAAAAGATAGACTGATAAGAGGTCCTCTCGGAATGTTACTACTGTTCAATTTACTCAAATACCAAAGGGGGTAGTATAGTTTCAAATCAATTATTTTTCTCAAAGAGCAACAAAACCTATACTACAATCATTTATATATGGGGCATTGGCCAGTCACAGCAGATCCACAAAATAGGGTTCACCACAACCCTCCTTCTTAACACTACAAAGTAAAAAAAAAAAAAACATATCAACAGCAGAAAAAATTCCTAATTTGAACGTAGTGCAAAATGTTATATATGGGTATTGCATATATAATTATAAATCGGTGTTGTAGGAAATACTATACTCCAAAGATCAAACCTTGCTTGAAAGAATGGCAAATAGAAAGCTCTTTATCTTGCATTTATTATTAATGGAGTACAAATATATTACTATTAAAAAAAACAGTTTTTACTAACCGTGATATGTTTTATTCTAATTTGACTAAAAGAGGTACCAGTTTATAGAGCAAACAAAAGAACGAAAAAAAAGGCACTGGGCAATAAGATAAGAAGTATTTTCACAGGCAGTACTGATAGTAGTCAAAATATGCTTCTATATATGTGTATTGGAAATATTTTATACCTGCTCTTTATCAGGCATTTTTTTTCGTATTTTCACGATATCGTTCCTTTTTTGAAAGAAATATACTTCTAAAAATGGACCTCTTTCTGCTATCGATAAAAGTTTTTTACTTCGTTGTAACATTCCGAGAGCAGCTTTATTATTCCGAGAGTACCTAAGCATTCATTTTTTTTTTCCTTTTGGGGTCCGAGTTTTTTCGTTTCAAGTCCCGTGTAAGCCACATAGATTATTGCGATTACTTGATCCGTGACGAAGGTACCCAGTTTTATATAGGTATATTCATTGCTACCATTCTTAATTCTTTTTTCTTCTTCTTCTTCTTTATTATCTACCCTTTTTAATTTTCTTTCTTTTTTTTAAAATATATATATATATATATAACTAGAATGCCTCTTGGTCTTTCACATGTTGTACTCAACGCACCTTCCCTAGAGGAACTAAACAAAGCTGTAGCATTTTATAATAATCTTGGTTTCCAAACCCTTTCACCTACAAAGGAAGGCGATGTTTGGCTCAAACTTCCGGCCAAGTGCTCGCAAAATGCTACTGACCTCACCCTCCGTATTCTTATCTCCACTGTCGATTTGTCTCCAAGACCAACGCTTGAAGAAGACTGGTCAAGGCTGTCGGGCGGGCTAGTCCTTTTATCGAATGATTTGGAAGTACGTATAAAGATGACGAAGGATACGCTTTGATCAAGGTTTTCCAACAACGACAACAAAAATCTTGCTAGAGAGAAAGATAAAGAAAATACAAAAGGAATACACGGCTGTCCTGTTATACTATATCTGTGTATATTTTATTATTGTTATTATTATTATTATTATTATTACTATCGTCGGCTCACATACTTTCAAATACGGTATTCTTATTATTGTTTTGGTAACCATAGAAACGAAAATCACATCTGAACAGTATCGACGCAAAATATCAAGAGTACGCCGAAGACGGTGAACTGTACACCCTTGACCCACTCAACAACGTGATTGTGTTTACCGATCGACCAGCACTTCCCAATTTGCTGGATCTGCCTCAAATTGACAGCAACTCATCCAAAAAAGATCATGCTGTACCACGAAAAATTGCCGTTCTTACCTCTGGAGGTGATGCAGCAGGCATGAACGCTAGTGTGCGAGCCGTTGTCCGATATGGTATTTCAAAGGGATGTCATGTATACGGTGTGTATGAAGGTTACCAGGGTCTTGTTGATGGTGGTGATCGTATCCGTCGTATGGACTGGAAGAGTGTACGAGGATGGTTGTCAGTCGTAAGTTATATTGTGATTATATATATATATATTTGTGTGTGTGTATATTCATAGCAAACAATAAGCTAAATATATATATACATGTGTGTGTGTGTGTGTGTATTTAGGGTGGCACAAGTATTGGTACTGCACGTTGCATGCCATTCAAGACTCGTGAAGGTCGTCTTAGAGCTGCCGAGAATCTTGTTCATCACGGCATTGATTCGCTGATTGTTTGTGGAGGTGATGGTTCTTTAACTGGTGCAGACGTATTCAGATCCGAGTGGCCAGGTCTGCTTGATGAACTCAAAAAGGCCAACAGAATTACAGAAGAAGATGCCACAACTTACGGTCATTTGACAATTGTCGGTCTGGTGGGTTCGATTGACAACGACATGGCTGGAACAGACATTACTATTGGTGCTGTTACATCACTGCACCGTATTTGTGAGAGCGTGGACTCGATTGGAACGACTGCCTTGTCTCACTCGCGTGCATTCGTTATCGAAGTCATGGGCCGTCACTGCGGCTGGTTGGCTCTCATGGCTGGTATTGCCACCGGTGCTGATTTTGTCTTTATTCCTGAGCGTCCTCCAATGGAAGACGACTGGGAATCGACCATGTGTGCCGTTGCTCATCGTCATCGTATGCTTGGCAAGCGCAAGACCGTAATTATTGTGGCCGAAGGTGCAATCGACAAGTCTCTCAAGCCAATCAGACCAGAATACATCAAAGACATCTTGACTGACCGTCTTGGTCTCGACACCAGAGTCACCACTCTTGGCCACACCCAACGTGGTGGATCTCCAGCCGCATTTGATCGTATTCTCGCGACTATCCAAGGCGTAGCCTCTGTGGATGCCGTCTTACGCTCTACTCCCGAGACACCATCACCTTTAATCGGAATGACAAGCAATAAAGTAACGTGTGGGCCATTGATGAAAGCCGTCGAGCTTACTCACGAGGTGGCAAAGGCTATCGGAGAAAAGAACTTTGCGCGTGCCATGGAATTGCGTGATCCTCAGTTTGCCGAAGAATTCAACGCCTACACTGCTAGCACAATTTTGGACGACGAGTCAGACCTGTTGCCGGCACACTTGCGTTTGCGCATTGGTATTGTCCATATGGGTGCGCCTGCTGGTGGTATGAATGCTGCCACTCGTACTGCTGTTCGCTATGCTCTCAACCGGGGCCACACTCCATTTGCAATTTTTAATGGCTTCCCTGGTTTGGTACATGGATCTATTGAAGAGCTTACATGGATTGGCGTTGATGGCTGGATTTCTCATGGTGGATCTGAATTGGGTACAAACCGTGCTGTCCCGGGTGAAGATGTCGACATGGGAATGGTTGCATATCAGCTCCAGAAATTCAACATCCAGGCTCTCATGATCGTAGGTGGCTTCGAAGCTTTCTCGGGTTTGATCAAGTTGAATGAAGCTCGTGAAAAGTACCCTTCGCTTTGTATTCCAATCGGTCTCATCCCTGCCACTGTTTCCAACAATGTACCCGGCACAGACTTCTCACTTGGCTCTGATACTTCGCTCAACTCAATTATCAATGCATGCGACTCTATTATGCAGTCTGCACGTTCTTCACGCCGACGTGTATTTGTGGTTGAGGTTCAAGGCGGAATGTCTGGTTACTTGGCCGTTGAGGGCGGCCTTGCTACGGGTGCTAACACTGTGTATATCCCTGAAGAAGGTATCAAACTTGAGCGTCTCCAGTCGGATGTTCGTCACCTCATGGCACTCTACCTCGATGATGACGCTGACAAATCTGAGGGTCGTATTATCTTGCGTAACGAAAAGGCCTCAAAGACTTACACTACGGATGTAATCAGTAATATTCTCAAAGATGAGGGACGTGGTCTCTTTGATTCCCGTACAGCTGTCTTGGGTCACATCCAACAGGGTAATACCCCATCACCCATGGACCGTATCCATGCCACACGCCTTGCAATGCGTTGTATCGATTTTATTGAACAGCACACAGGTGCTGCACTTGAAAAGGCTCATCTTTTGGGTGAGCCTGTTCCCATTGAACTCACTAATGTTCCCGAATCAGTGGCTGTGGTTGGTTTGACTGGTGCAGAAGTTCATTTCCCCTCTGTTAAAGAGCTAGTGCCAAAAGCAGATCTTGCTAATCGTAAACCAAACAAGGCATGGTGGTTTGAACATAGAGATCTTGTTGATCTTCTTTCGGGCCGTGGACTTTTTACTCCAGAAGCTCAAGAATCTCTCAAACAACAGTAAAGCTAAATAAATAAAGTGATTAAATAGAGCAAAAAAGAGACAATAGAGAATGTTAACCAAAAAAAATAAACTCATTAAATATATTTTACCTTGCCTTGCTTATTTTTCTTAAAATAATAATATTGCCTGTTAATTTTGATATAATTCAACTATACACAATATTTTTAAGATACTAAATAGATTACAGATAGTTTCATATAGTATTATACGTTATTTTCCGTCGTCTTACATTTTTACAAACCTTCCTTTCTTATAAAGAAACCCCGGCTACACAATAAGTTAGTTTCTTATTAATAATAGAAGCAATACATGAAATACCGAATTGAAAAACATTTCAAAAAATAAATTACAGGCTAAAAACTCCAAAAGAAAACCATGGTATATCAAAATGACATACGAAAAGTATATACATGCGCAATGTAAGTTAGACCCCATTGTAAAAAGAAAGGGGTAAACTAGGAAGCAATAGTTGTAGTATAATATCGACATACAAATGGTGGTAATGTATTTTAGTGAATAACAGTAATAATTAGCAACGATTACATTTTGGCATTTACCTGAGAATTAAGCATGGCTTCGTTATTCGCACATTACGCAACAATATAAACGGCTTGTGATTTTAAATTCTTTTTGTGCGTATTTATTAAACACAAACTTACAAAGAGATATGATGAATATTGATTTTGAGTATAGAGTGTGTTTATTTGAAAGCTCATAGAAGAATAAATTAATAAGCTCCCTATCTTTGTGTTTTATTAAAACCCTATGTCAGGCAGACCAACCAACCTTTTTTTTTCTTGTATCTTTTCGTTTTAGAATTCTGATTCGATGTTTGATAATAAAAAGAGTTCTGTTGGCAATGAGGTCAATTATAAAAGGCAATAAAAAACAGCAGTAAGGTCGATCAGCATAGTGGTGGTTTTTGGTATTATTTACGACGCTGATTAAGAGAAGGAAAATAATGTTGATGTTAAAATTTCGATCGAGAAGTTTGATGGTGAAGATCAGTGGTAAATAGTCAAACTATAAGAAAAAAATTGAGTGTCAATATATAGCTTTTATTTTATATTATAATGTAATTATGATTGTTACTTTTTTATGATTGAGAATTCAGTGCATATGTATGTCTCCAAACTTGCTGTTTGTTTTAATCATCAATTTATGATGCGAGAGAGTAATTGAGCACACTAGCTATTTTCATGGCAATTTATATAGAACTTCTGACCATCCACTATCTCCATTTACTCGATAACTGAGGTATCAATTAGCAATGTAGTCCGTTGTTTTTCTTTTTCGTAATACTACTATTCTGTAACAAGCAGGCACAATACGCCCACACGTATATAACACAATCAATAGCCTCTGTCATTTATTAATTATTGCCACCCCCAGATCCGACTTATTCCTCCACTTGTCTTACTCACGGATACAAAGATTATTTTACATTTGAAAAAATAAAGATTTCGATGAATCCAAATAGAGTACAGCGAAAATACAGGGTTGCAGTCTCTACTTACAGCTTATATTCAAATCATAATATCACTTTGTAAGTGCATTGGATTATTCTATCTCCATTGAACACTTGTAAAATAATATGGGGATGATGAAGATAGAGAAATACAAATAATTCCAAGTTTATTCCAAAAATCTCGTCTATCACAATAAAAAAGCAAGTTAGAGCTTACCAGCTCCCGGTATAATGTATAATAGCGCTGATGATTTTAGGATGCGGCAAGTGGTCTAGATTTGATGAAAAGCGGATGTGTTTCGACTTAAGAGCACGACATTAAGGCAAAAAAGTCGGTGATCATATCAGGTGGAATTAAATCGAGAAATCTGGTAAATGATGTGAGCTGCCATGAGAAAAGCGAATCGCTGTAGTAACTAGGAGGTCATGAGATCCTCCCTATGGTTTCTAAAATGTCAATTCCATACAGATGGGCGATGTTTATAACGTTTGACATCATTACTGGACAAAGGCTCAGGTATTATGATTATTATCTGGCTACTTTTTTTTTGTTTCTTTTACAACGTTTAGTGGATACATATTTAAAATAAAAATGCAAAGAAAAGAAAAGCACATTTTCAATTTTTGTGTTTTGAAACCGACTTTTTCATCATTTCCAACCCAAGTGGTACAAGTAAAAACGAATTATTTCACTTTCTCTTACAGTGTCGATAATTGTTTAGACCTTGGCTGTCTAGAGTCGTACTTGGCCCTATTCTTTCTCGACTTACTTTTTCTTTTCACTTTTGATATTCATAACTTTATCCGACAAGGCAACCTACATTTAATAAATCTTTACCGAGTAAAATTAATTTATTCTGCCATCATAGACACCCTCATTCAAAACACATCATACTGACAATGCGCATGCACAGGAATCAAGATTAGTTCCGGCTATAATTTCACGCTCGCCATAATCAGCAAAAATCATTCTGTTGGCTAATTCGATATACAAATACATACATTTCTCTATAACTGGGTAATCTATTCACGGACACGGCTTGTTCTAAAAGAACATAGTGTTTTCTTTGGCTATAATGCAGGCCACTTTTATAAAAGGGTGTTCTTTTTTTGTTGGGCGAAAATATCTTCTATAGTAAGATCAACCAGATTTAAATCCCATTTTTTCAAATAGTTACCCTTCTTGATTTTTTATCCTATACTATTCAAGTCTTTCCTATCCAAGTTCATTCTTTACACTCATGCCAGAAACAGAAATAAAAATACAGCAGCTATCAATATATCAAACAAAAGCCTGTTATTTACAACCCATATGTTGAGGACATTCTTTTAAAAAATGATCGTGTCTATCATTATTTTTATACAAGTGTATACGTATGCCTATAAAGTATAGCTTTAATCAATTCACTCCATGTCTCAAATATGAGCTAAATTATACCAAAGTATTACAATACTGATAATATGTGTGCCAATACGTACTTCTTGTAATATTAAACATATAATGGTCTTGTTTTTTTGTTAAAGAACAATCAAAAAATAAATAAAAACAAATAAAAACAAATAAAAAAATAAATATCGGTTTCAGTCGGCATTTATAATATTTTTTTTTTATTTATTTTTTTGAGAAATCAATATTTTATCAAAAAATAAAATTCATAATATTCTACTTTTCTCGACGTCTACTGATCGTATTTACATGCTTCTTAGCTATATCAATAGCTAATACAGAAGAGTAACAGAAAAATGGTATTAGAGGCGCATTGTCGGTCTTTAGAATTTGTCGGAGTGTGGCTCATGCTACTATTAGATTGCCGCCGTGGTTAGTTACAGTGCGCAAGTCAGTAGAAAACTAAAATAAATCGAACTGCTATTCAAATAAAACACAATCGTTATATAAATATATTTATTTATTTATTAGAAGATAAAATTGAATAAATTCACAAAAAATATATGCATTTACTTAATGTTTTTTTATTAAATAAACATTTATAATAGGTAAAATAAAATTAAAAATAAAATAAAATTAAATAAATATAATAATAAAACGGTTTTGAAAATACTTGTACATAAAATAAATATTAAAAAATATGAATGGCACAAAAAAAGACCTCTCAATAATTTTTTTTAAAAAAAAAAGAATACGTATAAGATGAAAATAAAATGGGGGTACTCAGCCAGATTGATCGATCAAATTTTGAATTCAGAACGCCATATTATTGGACTACAATTGTAATAGCGACGATAAAAATTTGATCGTCTTTTTGAAAGATTAAATTTCGATCAAATTTTGATCGAAAAACGTACGGCTCTCTGATTAACCTAATCCTTACTTTTTATATGCAATACGATACTGTTTTTATCTTTCTCCTTAATAAATCATAGAATTTATTGCCAACAGTTATATAATACTTCTTTCTCTCCATCTTACATGCCAAAATATAGTACAAAGCAACAAGCAATTGATGCCTTGAAGAAATCGCATAAAATCAGGGAATTTATTGTGAAAAAAAAACACTGGTAGAGTCTTTATCAGCAAGTGCAGACGAACTTATTAAAGATATTTTAGAAGTAATCAAAAAGGAAGTTAATATAAAGTTGGAGCAGATGACTGCCATGAAGGAGCTTAAACAAACACTTAAAACCAATAAATACATACACAAAGTTAACAATGTATTGCCAGATGTTGAGTAAAGGGAAAGAGCACTTGATTTCTTTGAGAGTCTAGATGCCTACACGTTCAAAGAAGAAATCAGAATGTGCAAAGATTATTCTATAAATGTTATAAAATCTATGAATTTTGTACAAATTTTGTACTTTTGTCTTTTGGTATCCTCAACTACAAATTGATACCATTGGCCAAGATTCACACAAGAATTTGATCGATCAATCTGGCTGAGTACCCCCAATATAGTTAAAAAATTGCTTATCAACCGATTATTTAGATTATTCACATTAAATCGTATTTTTTGACAGATTAAATACACTATTTCCTGAAATTATTGGTGCAAGAATAAAAACAAATTTGGTGAAAAATGAAATGTACCAAAAACAACAAAAAAGATAAATTAAGCAGAGAAATGGTAAAAAATACACCAAATTAAAATCATTGTTCAATCTTGTCAAAAAATATCAGATATAATATTTTGTTTCACAAATTGCTATATATGAAAGAAAAAATCTTCCATCACAATTTAATTTTTTTTTATTAATTGACATATATTTCTATATACGTTTTTTTTATTTTCAGCAAACATAAAGTAGTTGTGTATTCTTTTAACAAAACACAATGTTTATTAATGATTTCAAATATTACTTTGTTTCTTAACTAACAATCTCTTATATAGAATATTAATTTCATTATCTTATGCGATATACTTTTATTTTGTCTATTATAATATTATTTCAAAAATAATTAATTCGATTATTTACTATAAAACACAAATAAAATTCATTCACATAAAAAAACAGGTTTAAAAAGATTATACGACTAAATCTCTTGGATTACAAAAGTAAATGAAATAAAATATATCATAGAATGCTTTAATAATAACAAAAAGATTCTTTATAGTGTATTTTTATTAAAATCAGGAATTTTAGAATTTGTGTCAATTTTTCATTTAAAACACCGATAACAAAAACCAGTATTAAATGTCCGCTAGTTTTTGAAAAAAAAACTGAAATATTGAAACTTATACACAGGCACAGCATTTTATATTATAAATTATAAATTTTTATTTTTTTTATTTTTTTTAATCATGGATGCCAATGCTGCAGTGAGATTTACTGATTCTTGAGATGAATTTCTTCACCTCAGCATCAGCATCCTTAGCATCCAAAAACTTGCTGTAAGCTTCAATATATCTCCAAGTCTTTTTATAAAATCTCCTGATCATGGAAGGAGAACCAGCCACAGGAGAGGCACTGTCCAAGAAAGACAGGAGATTCTTTTCTAATGACTTGAAAGAATAATCGCAGTTTAGGCAAGCCACACGTTTGGCTGCACCCTAGTAATGCTCGATCCAATTGCATTCACAATGGAACTTGGGGTACAGCTCAAATATGTGACCCGCCTCTTCCACCACCTCTTGAATAGCTGACTTCTGTCCAGAAAAGTCGGGCTGAGAGGCCAAGAGGTGGCGGGCACAGCAACAGTGGTTCTCTGCTTCTTCTTCATTGCAGTCCATTCTCCATCTTCTAGAAAGATTGGATGGATCCAGTTCCATTCACAGTCCACGCTCCTGAAGGATCTGCTGGACACTAACAAATTGTCTCTTCTCCACCGGCCCCTTTCCTTCCCTTCCAGCTTCAAAAACTGTCTCATAAAACGATTGAGGGATAATACGTCCATCCCTCAAAAATGTTGTATCTTTGAAAATGACAAGGTCATTTTCAGAAACGACCTTTGGCTTTAGAACCATGCGGGTGGCAACCAAGGCATCTGTGGCATATGCTTTGTGGTTGCTGCTTTGGTCAAAAATGAAGACACCAGTGCATCCCTCGTGCAAGCTTTCGAACAGAGGGATAGCATGGTTCTTCAGCTGGTCAAGCATGTCTTCTCTTGTTCAGTAACTGTCATATGCTGCCCCAACGTTAAATATTCTGCAGGAGACCCATCCCTTCACTCGCATAATGTCATGACAAGCACACTGAAACTCGCTGACCATCAGAGATCTTCCCTGACCTTTTTTGCGGATGTGGCTTTCACCTTCCTCAAGCCACATGTCCACCTTTCCATCATGGGCATAAAAGGTGGACTCGTCATGGGTCACTATAACCAGCTTCTTCTGGTTCTCCAAAAGAAGAGGGGTCACCTCAATTTCTTCATCTTCCCCAGTAAAGTCTGACATACATTGTTTGTATCCCATCATTCACGTTGCCCAAGCATGGCAATACTGAACAATGTCTTGTCTTTTGTGTCCATCGTAATATACGTTCTGGTTGTTCTTGTGGTGGACGTACCCCCAAGCTCTCATGCATTTCCATGCTGTGCTTATGGCCACGTTGCCTTTTACACCAAGGTATGATGGAAAAAGCATTTCATCAAGATACTTTTTCAAATCCACAACAGTTTGTCTTTCTGCTTTTTGAGCACGAAGCCAAACGATTGCTTTCTTTTTAAGGTCTTCATTGTCTACAATTGAAGACCACTTGGCATGCTTGCCCTGTTGATGTTCAGAAATTTTGCCAAACTGAAGAAATTCTTTGGCCCAACCGCAGACAGCCTCTCCACGGTACTTGGAAGGTGTTGTCCAAAAAATCTCTGCTGCTTTTTCAGATGCCTCGATTTTCTTGCAATTGTTCAATAGGCGTCGGAAATACTTTTTCACAACAATGTATTTGCTTACTTCAAACGAAGCAAACTTGCCCAACTCGCTATCTGAACTGACTGGAGGCTTTATCATCTCAGAGGTTTTCTCATAAGCTTCACGAATCTCTTCAAGTTCCTCATCTTTCGATTGCTTGTATACAGTTAATGCTTCTGTTACAGGCGAAACTGGTGCAACAGGAACCGAGAAACTGAAATCAGCAAGTGTTCTGACCTTCTTGTCTTTATTTGTCTCAAGCTCTTCTTTCATTTTTCTCTTGTTGCGCATAATTGATGATCTCGAGTCTTCTTTGTAGAGTCCACGCAAATTTTTTTCTGTATCTGGTCTCCATGTCAGAAAGCTATTATAGTACGCAGCAATCATTGTATCTGTATCTAAATCTAAGAGCTCCCAGTCATACTCTTCTACAGGTTGATCTTCAACAGGTTTTTTTTCTCCAGCTTCCTTTTCTATATCAATAGTAATAATTGGAGACTTGGCGCAGAATTTTCCGCCCTCTCTTCGAGTCATTTTAGAAGTAAGAATAGAGCAAGTTTTTACGACCCATTTTTAAGAATTTGTTTTGGTAAAAGTAAAAGAAGTGTTTTCAGGGCAGTCTTGATAGACAGCTGTCACATCTAAAAACGTGGTTTATACTCCGCATGTTACATGTAATTACTAATTTAGGATATATAATTCTCTACATCTGCCTTGAGATGACATCAGAGATGTAGATTCAAGTCTCAATATTTCTCTTCCCCTGCTATTAAATTGGAACACTGCACTTTTTCAAAAGTCAAAAACTTTGTTGGAAATGTCACTACAAACAAGCTACTTGCACAGTTCTTTTCAGAAACACTTTCTCCATGTCCATGAGCGACAGTTTTTTTGTATTGACATTTCCGACAAAGTTTTTGCCTTTTGAAAAAAATGTCAGAGTCAAATAATTCTTCCTGATTATAAGAAAAATACACTATATATGTTGAACATTATTTTGATGAATCCAAGAAATCGGGATAATTGACCGCAGCAGTTCTGTGTGTCAAAGATACCTCATAGATAACAAACCACAGTAATGTCTTGTAAAGATTAACCACAGTAATATCTTCTGAGCATCAACCGCAGTAAAAGGACTTCTCTTGTAATTAAATAGAGTATAATAGTTTACTGCGGATAATGCGCAGTATTAGTTTAGAAAACTATATAAGACAATTCAATTCCTATCAATAAAAAGTACCTTTTATCCTCTCTTCGATTTTACATATACTCTCCGATCCCCAGTGGGTTTGACCTTTTGACTTTGCTATAGTAAAAGGAAGACCATCCCAGATCAGGAACAACAAAGACTTGACAAAAATAATGTCTAACAATATGAAAATTGTTAAAAGGCCCGAACCGGGATTTGAACCCGGGACCTCACGCATCCGAAGCGTGAATGATACCACTACACCATCCGGGCATATTGGTCTACCGCGTGTATTATAGGTATTTAAACAATGTACTTATTTTTAGTGTAAGGCACCAGACGGTGGGTCTCTGGTGCACTATGGCAGAGAAAATGGTAACATGTTACCACTTTGGTAACATAACTGCCATTTTTTACTTAATAAAAAATGGCAGTTATGACTCTGTATAAGGCCAAAACAGGCACTGTTACCATTTTTTACATAGTAAAAAATGGCAGTTATTTATTATGTAAAAAGCCAAAACAAGCACTGTTACTATTTTTTTCATAATAAAAAATGGCAGTTATTTATTATGTAAAAAGCCAAAACAGGCACTGTTACCATTTTTCAAAAAAAAATCAAGCGTCCTTCCTTTCCTCTATTACATTCTTTCTTTTGTTCTATTGCTTTCAATTCTAGCACAATCTCTTGTTTTTCCTTTGCAGCTTTAACAGAATGGTTTATTTTTTATTATACAATATTGAATCGGGTTTAATTGAATTGAATCTTTATTTCAATGCATGTTTTATTAAATGAAAATGATAATAATAATAGTAATAATGAAAAAACAATTCTATCGACCACTCACAATAAAAAATGATTCTGTTTAGCTACTGCAAAATATATGCAGTAAAACACTACTATTCAAATTGTATTTCATATACTTTGGATATTCTAATATATCTTAGATAGCACTTATTATTTTTTACCAATTTCTATAAATATACTAATATTAGAGAAAAAACTTAAAATAAATAAATAGATATAATATTATTATAATGCTTATCTTTATATAATATGCTTACTTGTTCAGTAAAATAAGCATTTACTCTAAGAATATATATATATATTAAAGAATGTATTAATATTTAAGATTTATATATAAGAAAAGCAATAAAACATAAGCACTATAGAAAGTCATTATTGTAGAAGAAGAAAAACTTGAGCAAAGATTCAAGTCATGTAACATGAAGCTAATTCGAATCTGATTCATACAACCGGAATGAGCATTTTGTTAGAAAGCTTAACGTGTTTATTCTACTCAATATACTTACATATAATAGAACAACTTCCAAGTATAATATATCAGTACAAAAATATTACTATTAATTTTTTTCCCCAAAAAAAAGGCTATATACTATTTCCTTTTATATTTGAATGTAGTGGAATTGTAAATGCTGTATATTAGCTTCAAATTCTTGTAATCACAACATTAGCAATCATATGAAAGAGGTTAATAAATTTTTTATATGAAAGAAAAAAGGAATAAAAAACATAAAAAGAAAAATGACAAGATAAGAAAAAAAATGCACTAAAGACAGCCAAAAAAAATCAAACTCGGCCAATCACAGCAGCCAAACTACGATCTTCGACTTCTCTTGCGAGCAGGCTTGACACTTGCTGTGGGTGGAGGAGACCTACATAAAAGAGTAAAAAGTTTATATTAGTTTTGTATTAACAGCGCATGAGAAAAAGCAACAATGGTAACTTACAGCACATCTGCCATTATGGGCGACTCAACATCACCAGTTTCTGACATATCAGAAGAAGAAAGCGAAGAATCACTTATGTCTCGCTGTGTCTATAGCATAATAAAAAGAAATGATGTTAATTAAAGTTTACAATATATAGATTTGTTAATTGATAAACTTACTTTGTTCTTCTCTGCCATTCTTCTCTTGTGCGTCTAGTTGTTGCTCTTGAAGCTTTCCCAAAGAAGGCTTCTTGCACACCACATTCTTTTACATTGGTGGATGTGGTATTTCAGATACAAAACAATAGAAAAATAAAATATTTGATAATAGAGACGTATAGAAATACTTTGAGACTGTATATAAGTTGTCTTTCTTCATAAATAAAAAGTGTCCCTTTTTATAAGAAAACACAATCTGCTCTTGTCATTACGTCTTAGTTTCTTAAGGCTTTCTTCCTTTACTATATTTGGTTATTAGAGTGTATTTACTGCTTAACTAGTGTTGGTGTTACAATTATGACATCAAGTCATAAATCGTATTTCTTTAGCTCTTAGCTATTCTTTTCTCTTTTATACTAGAGCTTTAGGACTTCCTACTAAATTAGCTCCATATTGATCTGACACAGTTTACCCAGCAGTATGATATAATTATCTTAACAATCTTTAAGATATTATCTACAGTACTAACTGTAATAATTATTGGGCTGATTACTTAATCATTTATATAAATTTTATACTGACAAGATGATAGCTACTACGCTATCCCAATATGAATATGCTCTTATATGTGATAAATCCAACATCTAAGTGTCTGGATCACCACAGTGGATGTGCAATCAACCATTCTTCGCCAACCTCTCCAAATGCATCATGTAGTATTCCCTGTTTTTCTCTGGGACATTCTTCCATTCTTTTGAGGCCGCAGGATAGTCTTTATCAATGATATCATGCTTTACCGTACGGCCTAATGTTTTGAGATGCAGTCTTTTTACTATCAAATCATGGTCTGAAAGAGGGACTAATGGGGGTAAAGGCTGCCCTTGTGCAACTTCTTTGCAGCGCGCCTTCCAGCCCTGCTCGTGAAGAATCTGAAGCAACAGATTATATTTTTGTGCTTTGTTTTTTCCTTTGAACTTGCCGCCAGTATTGATTACTTCCTTACTGAGCTGATCAGGGTACTCTGTGAGCTGGGCTCTTTTCACAGACTCGGCAATGCGCTCAAGAGCTATAAAAAATGTATGACAATATTAATAAAGTAAATAAACATCTAAGCACAGAATATATATGACTTACAACTCTGCTCAATAATGCTTTGTTGCATTGTAGTTAGATCTTCTACACTGACTGCTGGCGCAAATTGATTGCTGAATTGCCTTTGAAGCTCATGCAATGCTTGCTTGATTTCAGCAAGACTAACCTCAATCTTTTGAATTGAGTTGAGGAGAGTTGTGTTAATATCAGACATGTTTAAGTTTTTTTTTAGCTATAAGCAGTGAGTTGAAAAGAAAAGGTGATAGTTTAGACAAGTAGAATAAGAGCGATTTAAGTTTGAGAAAGGCAATGATTTATTACAAGCAATTGATAGCTATTTATATGAAAAAGATACAGACAGATATACAAACAAAACATATAAAAGAAGGGATGCTTATGCACTTGTATGCACCTGTCTGCACCTGTCTGCAGTAGCTCATGTGAACATGATACAGTCTTTTTGTGTCAACACAAAAAAATTGTAAGAAATATAAAGATAAAATGAATTAGACTTTAAATCAATATTATATGTATAAATGTTCATACTTTGCACCGTCTACATATTAAACATTTTAAAGTATATGATATAATAATATAACTCTATACATATTGCAGATATAGCATGAAATTTGGTTAAAGTTCTCGATGACAAAACCCTGTACCAGTTAAAATTATAACTTTAAATATACTCTACAGTAGCTATATAACATCTGAACATCATATAGTTAATTAGCCCCTTTTTATCAACATTAAAGTAAATGTTATGATACTCAAGCTCATATCATACTTATTATTATTATCGACTAAAACGCGTTTTGATTGATGCTGTCATCAAAGGTAAAAATAATTTTAACTGTCATTGCTATTATTTACCAAGGGGCATTTTTGACTGAAACCATACATTTTTGAAAAAGGTATGCTTTAACTCACATCGGCACTTTCAATTAACACCCCTTTCGATCAGTAGTGCTTATCTTGATGATGTCAGTAAAAGAGTATCAGACTATAGCCCTCATTATCTATATCTATTTCTTTAAGTTTTATACATAAACAAGAAAATAATGCTATTAGCTAAATATATATTCACTATCTCAAAAATATTATTAGTACAACACAGATAATATAAATATGTCTTTTCTACCAATGTGTTTAGACAATACTACTTTTTTTTAACTGTTAATTATTAGAAGGCTGTTTTTCTTTGCCTTTGGTATTAGAGAGTAATTGATAATTTATTTAAAAAAAAACATAAATTATTTGGTCATTAATTATCCTAAATATACATATACCTCTTTATAAAGCCCAAAGAATATCTAATCGCTCACAAGTAAAGAGTATGTGTCTGTTTCACCGGTGCTCTTTTAATGGTACCCCCTTGTCAACCAAGAAGTATTTTAACTTACATCATAATTATTAATGAAGAAGAATCTTTCCAACCACGGGAATTATTTACTGACAGGTGTTTCACCTAGCATTGACATTACTGTAATCATTGCTATATCATCACTATGAGAGAGAAAAAGAAAAAGAGCCACAAGCATTTTGGTTAAAAAATAAAGAGTATATAAAGATGTCTTTTACATTTAATGAATAGCACCAAAATTCTCTTCGCAGCTTTATTTTATATATTATATACGTACCAACCCAACCAATATGTCTTCTTCCAACGCCAGCCAGCAAAGATAAAGAATATCTACACAGCAATACCAATGTGATCAATGTGTCTTGTTTTTTGATAACTACCAGAAGCTGCAAAACCACAAGAGAATTCACAAAGAAGATTCAGCAACAATGACTGAAATTGACCAGTCTATTCTGGATGATGTTGACATGTACCATGACGAAAATGATACTAGTAATGAAGATGAATCTGTTAGCAATTCAGGTAATGAAAAGAGCTGTAATTGTATTATTTATTTTCCAATTACTAAATAATGTATTACAGAATATACTATGGAGTCTATGGAGCTTGATAATACTATTTCATATAAGTGCGCATGTAATTTTGAGGACAGTGAGGGTGAAGCTCACATTTACAACAGCAGTCGAATCAGTACAAATACTTTTACCAAGGCCGAGTTGATGAGTATTCATCTGTCTCAATTGATGCTACAGCATAGAATTGCTAGAGCAGCATATAGAGACATTGTTCAATTTATAAACACTGTCATCCGAGGCCATGACAATATAATGATGGGTAAAATATTATATTTTCTGTTACCTTGTACTTTAATTCCAGATCACTAACATGTAGTGATATCGTTTTCTTTAGAACCTGGGGCTAAGATCAGTCATGGCGAAACTGTTGATGCTTTGCTCAAGTCAAAGTCAAGTGTCAAGGGCCATGAGTATGATGTCTGCTCTAGTGGTTGTTGATTGTATGGCATTAATGACGACCAGGAATCTTGTGTTGACTGCAGCAAACCGCGATACAAGACTGATTCCAATCAAAGTCAGACACCAGCAGCCAGTATGAAACTTATGTTAGTTGGGGATATGCTTTCTCAAATGTTGGCAAATCCAGCCACAAGAGAACTCCTCTGTTACAGAGCAAACCGGAAATCTGTAGCTGGTCAGCTAACCAACATTTTTGATGGTGACAATTACAAGCAGTTGGTGCAGCAGGGCCTGTTCTCCAATCCCGATGATATTGCCATTGGGCTTTATACTGATGGGTTTGTCAATCAAAAGAAAGGCAAAAACTCATATACCATCATCCATTGCATAATATTCAACCTAGACCCATCCATCAGATAATTAATTAATTTATTACTATTTATTATTATTATTACATTTTTTTTTAAAAAAAAATTACTAATAAAATACTTAGATATACCAACAAATACCTTTTGCAACTGGCAATCTTGCCTGGCCCCAAGAAGCCAACTCATTTGGACTCCTTTCTTATACCCATCATCAATGAATTGTGAGATCTTGAGGCACATGACTTGGTTGTCAAGCACAATGGAGTGGAGCTTTGCAGATCCAAGGTCTATCTTCTGCTTGCTTCTGACGATATTCCAGCTGTAGCTGATATGGCCCACATTGGTTCCCATACAAGTTTATTTGGTTGCCGTTTTTGTGAGACCAAAGGCAAATGTCCTACTAACAGACGGCATGGCATGTACTTTGATGACATTTCCGCCTGGTTAAGACCTTTGGAAGACTTCAAAGTAGGCAACCCTGTAAGTATACAAATGTTTAATTAGCCATCTTTTTCTCATACTAAATAACTGCTTGTAATAGTCGAAGAACATATACCAGCCGAGCATATATACCCAACTCTCAACCTTCTCTGAATCATCATTTTTTGCATTAGATGAACTTCATTTAATTGCAAGAGGGATTGGAAAGCTTGTGTATGACCTGATTACCGTCACCCTCACAAAGGAAACCAAATTTTATTATACCCATCCAGACAATACCCTCAATACCATCGAATACCCTTTTCATATACCAAGAGCAGACCTTGTAACAATTGGAAACTGTATCACCAGCTCACAAAAATATATACCCACCTCATTTCAAGGCAGTTTCGACAACGTATTTGCCAAGATCAATGGTATTCATGCAGTGGACTGGCTTGACTTTCTCTTATACCTTGTCCCCACTTTGGTCGTGCCTTATTTACCAAATAGGGCTGTCAAAACAGCTCTATTATCTCTCGTGAAAGGTTGCGCACTTGCCTTGCAATGGACGTTGACATCAGAATTGCTTGATGAGATGGAGTCGTAAGTTATTATACGTCTCATATATTATCATTACAAATAGCTGATTGTTACCATTTTTTAAATATTAATAATAGACACTTCAAGCACTAGTACTCGTTTTTATACCAACAAGTCCAGAATAATACCCTGTCTTGTAGTGTTTTCCGACTAGTGCAACATTACCTGGTCCATATACCCTATATCATCAAGCAGCAAGGCCCCCTGCGATGCTACTCCACTTGCTCAATGGAGAGAGTAATTGGCATCTTCTTGAAATTGATAAAGTCCAAATCAAAGGGTGGCCAAAACGCCAGTTTTCTTGTTGAGCGATTTGCAATTCACAATTATACCAGCACGGCAATCAGCATCTGTGATGAAATCAACCTCATTTGGCCAAAGCCATATGGAAGAGAGAGCTACATGGACCTTCCTAATGATCCTAGTGGTGCGCAGTTGTGGGAGCCATTTCATCAGTTTGTTAATTTGAACGATGATTCAGTGGAAGGTGTAGGTGGCCCTAGTGTGAAGGAAGCTTTATTGAAATACTACCAGAGAACAACAGACTTGACTGGCCACGAGTTTGGTGACTCTGTTGTTGTTGTAGCTGCACGTCTGTGGATGGACTCGACTGTATATTCCTCATGCATGTACCAAAGAAAGAAAAACAAGACCAGCCGTAGCAACCATTACGTGATGTTTACTTGCCCCTATAGAAAGTAAGTATAATATTTTTCGATATACAATCAAAAGTTGCTTACATTCTATTTATTTATTTATTTTAGCAACCGTAATGTAATTGTTCACAGCTGGCTCGTCGGTACAGTACAGTTCTACTTTCAGCATGTAGATTTCTATGGCTTCCCACACTTTCTTGCTTTCGTGGAGGTCATGAAGGAACATGACGTGGCTGACCATGACTCATCAGTACCTATCATCAAACAACAGTCACAAAGCACCCGTACACTAGGCCACTAAATGCAACCGACTTATGCAGTTATAAGTGTAAATGACATTTGTCATCAAGTTGGTCAAGTCCAATACCCACCAAATGGAAACCAGTTTTATGTAATCGCACCCTATTATATCTTTAACAACAACATGCACATTACTAAAGGCAATCTTTCCATTCTGTAATCCTTTTTATTTTTATCTTATTTTTCTATATGCTCTATATCCTTATATCTTTTATATTTTTTATATCATCCTTGTATCTTATATTCTTTTTTTAATTTTCTATATTTCTTATGTTTTTTTTAATCTCTATATGCCCCGTCTTTCTTTTCTTCTTTATATACTCCGGTTTTTTTCTATTCTCTATACACCTTATGCTTTTCTCTTCATTCCCTATATGCTCTATACACCATTACGCGATTTAAATAAAATCAAATTGCCAATTCATCAAGATAAAAAGAATATCTAAAAAAAAAGAACGTAGTTTAAAAAATAAAAAAATGGCAGTTATGTTACCATTTTGTTCACACATTCCAAAAATTATTAATCTTAATAATTGTTGACATCTTTGATATTCAATAAAACATATATTTCAATACTCAAAGTGGTCGTTACAACTTACAAACATTTTTTACAGTATTGAAAATATTGTACAGCAACAAAAAAAGTGTTTTCATGTTACTTTTTTAAATTGCTACGAATGACATTACCATCTTACAACAAACAGCGGAGATTTTATTGGGTTTTGACCAAAAAAATGGCAGTTATGTGCCTACTTTCAGCCCAACTGCCATTCATCCCACCGTAGTGGTAGTTTGGGCCAGCAGTTAGGCATGATGGGCCATATCAGACTCATGGACATTGATGTTGATGATAAGTCAACTAGGTAATGTGTCTTGGTGTACAAGAGTGGTCCCTCAGGTTTCTTGGAAAATTTTGCTTCTGATACTCCTTATTTCTAAATTCCTAACTTATATTCAGCTCTTAAAAATTAAAATATCCATCTATATTATTACCTCAGAAACATCTGTCACCTACTAAAAAAACTGTATTTTTTTCCCCTAATTTTATACACTTCTTTGTTGCCAATATCTCTTTACAATATTTTTATTTTATTTTTATTATTTTATTATTATATTATTACTATATTTTTTTACTTTATTTCACTATATTATTATCATATTATTATTTTACTTCTATTCTATCTCACTATATTTTTACTTTACTTTTATTTAACTATTATACGTTTATTATATTCTTTTTCATTCTCTTTATATTTTTATTATATTTTATTTATTTCACTTCTATCATCAATATCAGTTGCATATAGTAAAAAATTTCACTTGACTTTCTTTTTCTTTCTCTTAAAAAATATTTAACAAAATATTTTTATTTATAAAAAAAACAATTTAATCACACTACGGGAAAAAAAAGTGGGGTTTTATGGCTGCTTTATGGCGGTTTGACAAGGCGGCTTTGTGGCGGTTTTTTGCCAAATATCCACTTTGCCCCCCTGGAGTTTAAATACATATTACAGATCTCCGCTTTCTGATTCTCCTTTGTTGGCTCTTCTATTGGACAGTGTTTCATTCTTTATTATATAAAGTATATTATATAATCGATTACTTTTATTGGGTACTCTCTTAAATGTCATTTATTACTTTAATATTTTAGCTTAGAAAGGAATTCTATTGGACACTAGTAATTTTTTTTTAATGTTACTTTTATGAAAACAGTTTTTTATTGGATAATATACATGTAAGTGTTTGATCATTTTAATAAATACAAATTTTTATTGGTTATTACAATAGAAGATCATTTTTATTAATCATTTTTATTGGTTGTTATGACAGAAAAAAAATTATATTGCTCATTTTACTGGTTATTATGACAGAAAAATAAATAATATTGTTTATTTTATTGGCTGTTAAAGCATAAAAAAATCTATAGATACATTTTATTGGCTATTTACTATTTAATATTCTAGGTTTTCATAGTAAAATATCCTATTCAATTCCACTACACCGGATTACTTACGAGACTGTAATCTTTTATGGCGGTCCCTCCAGAGATGTGCAACTCTTGCAGTTGATGCCCAGTTTCCGAGACATCTAGTGAAGTCTATACCAGAATCCTTCATTATATTTGCGTGCCTGGCACACATTTCTTTCTTAAGTGCTACTGGTATAGACCCCCAGCTAGGATTAGGACCAAGAGCGATCACTGAAGGATGGGCAGCCATATCATCACATATAAGCTTTGTACACATATTGAGTGTGGCCTTTTCGTTACTTGTTACTTCAATGTCAAGGTCTTCACTTATCATCTTGAAGATATGCTTTAAAGTTATTTCACGGAATATGCTCACCGGTTTGCGGATGGTATTAGCACTAGACTATTAAATGACATATTAATATATATTCAACTCGTTTTATTTTTTGTCTTACAATGGCAGAGACAGAAGGCAAAGTGTGTTGGTTGGAAATGTTTCTATTCTCCAGTTGGCTCTGGAGAGCAGTAATCTCCAAATTCAAATCTTCGATGCTCGTCTTCATTTCGAGCTTCAACTCTTCGATCTGTGCCTTCATTTCAAGTTTGGCCTTTTCTTGGCCTGCCTTCAAAGATAGTATCTCATTGTACATGGCGTGTAGCAAAGAGATGGAATTGTTATCTGTGTTATTTATGTTGAAAGTTTGGTTTACCTGAGAAAAAGGATTGTTGTGAAAGAAAGATAAAGGCTGAAAAAATTTTCTATTGTCTATTATTAGTTTCATATAAATGAGTTTAATCTATTGGTCCAACCAATATTATTATTGGGCTACTGTAGTTCTAATAACAGCTATTACGCAATGTTTTAGCTTCTGTTCCTGAGTTTATATTTGTATCATCTATGTCATTGCCTACTTGTAGTCATTAAGTCTATACAAATCCCAACGCTATTAAGTATAAAGGCATATTATTTAAAAGGAATTATCAATATTCATACCTTTATTCTTAAGTGTTTATTTCCAACCTAAAAAATGTCTTCAAATTCAATCCTTGATAGTTACCAATGCAATCAATGCAAAGAGCGTCACACCAATTTAAAAAAAGCCAAGAGTTGTAGAGCTCAATGCTTTAAGAACCGTCATAGAAGACATAATGATATCCAGACTTCACAGACCACGCCTGTTCCTGGACAAGTCAGTGTTGTTTTGAACACTGTCTCGAACGACACTATCGAGTAAGACTACAAATCACATACATACTATTAGAAAGTGTAATTAATTATATTGTTACCTTCATAAACAAGCAGAGAACATACTGATGCAATCGAAGATCAGATCATGGATACACTCAACAGCAAAGATAATGATGATCCAATTATGAATATCTTCAGTAATGATGACAATGATGAGTCTATGGTAAGATATATATATATGTCTTATTATATAATGCTAATTATTATTTACCTTGTTAAAGTATGATGCGGAACTTGGCAACGACATGGATATCATTGAAAACGAAACATCTCCTTTGGTTTTTGACTTCAGTCAGTCTGCACCTACCCCTGACAAAGATGATGCAAAGAACCTTGAGTTTCTCAAGATCATTAAGGATTTTGGTATCTCCCGCAATGCTCATGAAATGATAGTCAAGCATTTCAACAGCATTTTGGAAACGTTGACTTGTATTACATACAGAGCATGTACTCCCCATCTTGGCAAAAAGCTTTTGAAGCGTTTCTCGGGTGTTGAAGAGACAGTCCATGATATCTGTCAGAGGGGATGTATGCTCTTTACCAGTCCATCCCAGACTGAGTGCTCCAACTGTGGACAAAGCCGGTACAAAACAAGACGCGGAGAAACCGAGGGTGGTGATCTGGTTGCTGCTGCCACAATGATACAGCTTCCATTGGCGAGACAACTGGCTCTTGCGTTAGCCAACGAGAATACAAGAGCAGATATGCATTACCGCCATAATCATGAGCCAAGCTCGGATGGAAGTAAAACCGATGTGTTTGATGGCCAGGTTTACCAGCAAGTAAAACATCTGTTTTCCGGAAAAGATGACATTGCAATTTCGTTGTCTGTTGATGGATTCACGCCACACAATGTTCCTGGTTCTGTAACGATCCTCCATGCCACCATTCTTAACCTGAATCCCATGGTCCGGTATGAGAGAAGCAGAATGCTCCAGATCGCAATGATCCCAGGTCCAGGTGCACCTGCCAATTTCTGGTCGTTCATGGAACCAATGATGAAAGAGCTCCTGGTGTTGGAGAGCGAAGGGATGGTCATCAAGACACCGAACGAGACCATTCGTGCCAAGGTACATGTCTTAATGGTCACTGGTGACATTCCCGCCTTAGCAAAGTTGGCATGTCATTCTGGACATATGAGCAAAGACGGTTGCCGTATCTGTCATGTTGTTGGCCAATGTCCCAAGCACGGACAATACTTCAGAACTTTGCCCAGCACCAATATCCATACGCTGGAAAGTTTCCAGAATTTTTCCCAGGCCAGTGCATCCAGCCACAAAGGGTTAAACGGACAATCCCCCCTGGCAACATTGAAGGTATTCTCTGGACCATTGTTTTTTGCCCTCGATGAGATGCATGGACTTTGCCATGGAATAAGCAAGCAGATCTGGGGTTTGGTTTCTGGTACCTACAGAACAGACCATTGTTTTGCTCTTTCTTCTGGTGTTCAGAAGGAGATTGGTACAGCAATGTACAAAACAAGAAATACCATCCCTACATCCTTCCATGGCGATTGGAGGGATGTATACAAGAACCCCAGGTCATTCAAGGCCGTCGATTGGGCAGACTTTCTTCTGTTCGTCATCCCTACGCTGGTGGCAGAGCATATTGGAGATGCAACTGCCCGGAACGCGTTACTTGGCTTGGTTCAAGCATGTAACCTACTCATGAGCTGGGAGTTATCAGCAGAGGAACAAACCTCTATCAAAAGGTATATTTTAGTAAAAGCTATGTGTTATTCTATTATTTATTCTAACTATTTTTCTTCAGTAAACTTGAAATATGGAACATGTACCTGGAATCGCTGCTTACAAGTGGAAAAATCAAAATCAATATTTTCACTATAAACCAGCATCTTCTTCAGCACTATCCTCTCATGATTGACGCATACGGCCCACCTTGTGCATATAGCGCCAGATCCGTGGAACGGGCAATCGGTGAATACTCAAGGACTATCAAGAGTAATTCTGCTATAAATGTTAACGCTGGCAATATCATGCTTGGCTTAGCACAAATACGACAAGCAGAGGCCGGAGCCACTGTCATGATTACAGAAGCAAGAACAGCACAACACTTACAATATGAAGATTCCACTGCTGGTTGGCCGTTGACAGATGAGGGTGAGCGTGTTGGTGCTGGGTCTGATATTGAGTTCTGGGAACCTTTGAGGAATAGAACGATCCGAGATAGTTTTGAAGGCATTTCTTGTCTTTCGAAACTTCTTGAAGACTTCTACAAATCAAAGGGGGAAGAGTGTAGTATGATTGAAGCAGCTATACAAACTAGCCACAAGGCATTTGTCAATGGTTGTGTAATTGACTCTGCACTTGACCAAAATTGTGTAAGGGAGGCACATAGCATCAGATTACAGATTCAGGTTGATGAAAACCGCAACATAAATTCTGCATACTCCCCGGTTTACAAGGATTTCTTCGGAAAAGTTGTTGTCTTCTTTGAGCACAAGCTCAACAACAAGAGATGGCCGCTTGCTCTTGTAGAGATTGCGGCAGTCCGTTTGGTAAATGGTATACCAGTTGTTAACAATGGGCAAATGAAGCCAAAGGTAGTTCACCTGGCAGATGTCAAAGAATTGGTTGGTTTGGTGAAGTCGGATGCGACTATAAATACAACAACAACAACAACATACATAGTGTGGCCAGAGCTTAACCGCGGCCCAAAATTGTCACTTGGTTCTCTTGCAGACCTATAATTTGTTTTTTTTTTGTAATACATTTTTTTTTTCAAATTGTCTTAACATATTTTATTTTCTCAGCAGAAAGTTTAGATATTTTCTTCTCTTTTTCTTCTGACTTTTAATAGTCATCAAATGCAATCTACATTTACTAAAAATGAAAAGTCTGTAGTTAAAGCTTACTTTTGTCTATCAGGAGATTTAATTTTAGGTGGTCAATTTGCTTTTTGTCAACCTTTTCAAAAAACAGAGATTTTCTAGTTTCAAATTAGATTTTTAGTGATTTTTTAATTATTATAGGCCGAAAACATAGTCACAAAAGCAAAAAACCGCCATTTTTTCCCGTAGTGTCATTCAATAAAATTCTTATCCTATTCTTGATCTTATTTTTTTGTCAGTTATTATTATTATTCTTCATTTATACATATTGTTCTTATTATTTGAAGTGTTATCTGTCAATCTTAATTTATTTTGTTTTTTGTTTTTCTTCTTTTATCTCTCACAACTTTTGTTATTGCCACAATTTTCATTTTCATTTTCTTATTTTTTCTACTTGTCTGTCACTAATTTTTATCTATCAAATTATTTATTCTTTCCAATTATTTCTGTATTCTTTTTCTTGTATTTTATAATTCATATTATAATTATTTATCAAGTGATACTATTACAATACACAATGAACAAATACATCACATATCAGATCTGTCTCATGTGTTATAAGCTCGTCTGATACTTAGATATGTTATAGTATCTGATATCAGAAAATCAGTCTGCTTGATGAGTTTGTCTAGTGGTTTGTCATGATATATCATTCTGGTTATAAAAGACTGATGTTAATAGTTTCTTGATGTGATTTTGTATCTTTGGTGATAAAAAAAACTTCTATGCACTAGAAAATCTTATTTCTATTCCATGTTGTGTTATTTCAGATACAAAACAATAGAAAAACAATAGATTTGATAATAGAGACATATAGAAATACTTTGAGACTGTATATAAGTTGTCTTTATTCATAAATAAAAAGTGTCCCTTTTTATAAGAAAACACAATCTGCTCTTGTCATTACGTCTTAATTTCTTAAGGCTTTCTTTCTTTACTATATTTGATTATTAGAGTGTATTTACTGCTTAACTAGTGTTGGTGTTACAATTAGGATATCAAGTCATAAATTGTACTTCTTTAGCTCTTAGCTATTCTTTTCTCTTTTATACTAGAGCTTTAGAACTTTCTACTAAATTAGCTCCATATTGATCTGACACAGTTTACCCAGCAGTATGATATAATTATCTTAACAATCTTTAAGATATTATCTACAGTACTAACTGTAATAATTATTGACCCGATTACTTAATTATTTATATATATTTTATACTGACAAGATGATAGCTACTACGCTATTCCAATATGAATATGCTCTTATATGTGATAAATCCAACATTCGAGTGTCTGGATCACTACAAGTTACGTTTAGTAAAAATTCTGTCTAACAGTTACATGTAGGGCTTTTGATATTTTATTAGGAAGAAGACTGAGTTTATTGAAATGTATTTGTTAGAGTATTCATAACAGTTTGTATAATTAAAATATTTAAGTCAAACCAAAAACACATATTTAAATGAGATAATTTAGACTATTCACAGCTGGTTTATTTAAATCTGAAGTTGCATCTTTTTTATTGCTTAAATGTTTTAGTGAAACACCAAATTCAAACGGCTACTAAATAAATATCAAAATCTTTTTGTTAAAACATTCACTGTGGTAAATGACAGCATTTATAACTTTGTACTTGTAGCTTTTATATGCACTTTTATTGAATGTATATACTTGTAGATATGTTGGGGAAGATTTTTCAGCTAATAGAACTATTAAAATATGAAGAGCTTATAGCTCCAGGCTCATAGCTTTTCTATGCACTTGTATCAAATCTACGCTCTTGTAAATTCTCCAGAAAATGCGATTTGTGAGATTTCATATTTTTTTGTATCTAATCCAATCAATTGCTCTAAATATATTCGATCTATACTTTTCTAGGTACTTGATTCTTCTTATAATTGGTCCAACAAATACATGATGTTTTATATGAAAATCTTTTTATTAAAAAAATAGAAATCAATGAAAAAATAATAGAAAATAAAATTAAAGAAGTATGTTAAGAGAAAAGTTTAGATTATATCAATCTCACTTAAAAAGCCTATAATTTGATTTCATCAAATAAATTAATTAATGTGTGTGATTTTTGTTTCAGTAACCAGATGTAATTTCTTTGAATAATATATTATTATTTTAATAATTAATAGCTCATTATTACTTAAGTATACCTTTCTCTTTTTTCTCACATTATTAATTATAGTTCTCTACTTTTGAGAAAGCATGTAATATGTTGTCCATAATTCTTGAAATGTGTTAAGGGGTATATTTTTCTGTGCGGCTTTTATTTCAATCTTTTCAATAAGGATATTCTTCTGTATTGATGTCAAGTAACCCCATAAAGAAATAATTTCCTCCTTTTGGAAGTATACTTTGAATGTGTTGTTCATCACATTTCATACAATTCTACCAGCTACATTATACATATCTTGAGCAGCATCTTTATCACCTTTAGTCAGATGTCCAGCTATTATAACATTCATCACACTGGCCAAGAGAATCTATGACTTAAGATTATGATTATTATCTGGCCATGAGATGTCTCTATTTTCATCTATATTGCCAATTTGCCATGGAGGAGTCTCATGTGGCTGAATGTATGGGCTGTATTTTCTGGAAATACTTCCAGAATTAACCAACAAACTGAAGACAGAGGCTCTTTCTGTCACAACCCCTTGGAAAGCAGTTGAACTAGCACTTGATTGTATGTTTTGAGTGTTTGACATTTTTATTTTATGCTAAAAATGAAGAAATAATTATTTAAATTATGAAAATGTTAATTAAAATATATATTTTCACAGTTATGATTATGCTTAGAAACAAGCGAATTATTATATAAGAGTTCAATTTTAATAAATTTTTTTTAAAGGCAATGCATATGATGATATCCATGTAAAATCATAAACTTTTATTTCATACAACTTACAATCTTAATATCCTTCTTTAAACTCTTCTTTATAACCATATCTGAAGCAAAAATGAATACCAACTTTCTTACAACTCATTCATCTGGAAGTGACAGCAACTTTAGTGAAGCTGATTACATGAATATTGCTCAAGAGGTTTTCGCCCTTGCTTCTTCTCAACAAGAAAGAATTTAAAATGAGCTTAATCATGATGATGGAGCCTTCTTGACCGCAATCCATGATCAAGACATGACTAGCACAGAAGAGAATGACTATGAAGCATTTGTAGCTGCAGGAGAAGTACAAAACACTGGTGATCCAATGGCTATTGAATTTGAAAGCAATTATATTAAAAGCAACGAATATGGAAGCAATAACTACGATAGTGACAGTAGCAATGACTATTCGTCTGGTAAGAAGAAAAAACAAAAGTTAAAATAGTCTTACAAGGTTTGATTATACCAATATTTATTTATATATATGTATGTGTGTGTATTTAAGAACATGCTCATGGTTATTTGCATATTTGCAACCCATTAAATTCCAGAAATATACCAATTGAGTCTGAGGTTACAGAAAACGGGAATGAAGAGACCCAAGTTTTTTTTTACAAGGCAAATACTAATGCAGAGGCTGCCACATTAGAGTTATTCTCCATATTTGTCAAAAATAACATATCTCATAATGTTTTTGACAAGTGTGTCAAAATTGTAAATAAGTATATGATAGAATGTGAATTGCATAAGTGTATAGTTAACATTTAATTATTTATATTATGAAAGCTTATCAACATTTTAGCTACAACCAGTTCATTTATGACATACTACAAGAAGAATATGCTGCTGAAGGAGGAATACACTGTCCATACAGATGTTTATGATATGTATAAGAAAGGTTGTGTGTGCTTCTGTGTTGTAAAAGCTGGACATCAGGTAGATGGGGAAGAACAGTGTTCTCATTACAATAGCCGATGATTTAAACGTGATAGAGACATTCTAATTTCTGTACAGATATTCAAGATTGTGACTCTCTCACAACAGTTGAAATTCAAACTAAGCCATAGCCAGAAACAAGCCAGAATGGCATATGGTAGAAGCTGTATCATGGCTGATCACGTCAGTGAGTTTTTGGATGTGTTCAATGGTAATGTTGTCTACAGACTGTGTGAAAGCAGTATAGTTGGCCAGGATAACATTTTGATTACTATATTCATTGACCAGTTCAACTCATTTGATGATACTAAGATGTCGGCAACTATAATTCATATTGTCAATTTTAATATTAATCTAGAAGAAAGGTATAAAACTCAATAATATATATAAATTTACTAAAAGATATATATATTTAGATATAAGAGTGACAACATGATACAGCTGGCAATTATATCTGAATCAAAGCATCCAAAAAATATTGGATCCTTCTTGGAGTCAATTATTCAAGATTTGCAGATACTGACAACTTCAGATATCTGGATACAGGCCTTTACAGAGCAGGTGAATGTAAAAGTTCATCTTACAATAGCAACTGGTAATACTCCAGCTGTGACAGACTTGATGAACCTGTTGCATTACAATTCATTCTTTGGATGTCAAAATTGTCTTATTTGAAGAAACACAGAAACAAGAACTATGTGTTTTGAAGGAAGTGATATTATGGCTGAAATGAGAAGTGTAGAGAGTCTCTATCAGTTCGAAGAAAACATAAATACTTAATTATAGAATAATTGAAATATTAATACTTTATTTTCAGAGATATGGTTTCAAGGGTCTAAATGTGTTCAGAGATCTCCCTACGTTAACCAGCTATGTTTTCTTTGGGCTTGATGAGATGCATCTACTTGGATATGATATAGGCAAACAACTATATACAGCATTGGGTGGCAAGTTTCAGATTAGTTCAGAGATCACACACAATGAAAATCAATAACAGCAACAACAGCAACAGGAGCAGCAGCAGCAAATATATATGTTTTCTTTAAATGTGTCTATTGTCAAGATCAACAAGACAATCAGCAAGTCCAGAGCAGATATCACAGCAATATTCACTAACAGTTGAAGGTTACTGAACAAGATAACTGGCAGACAAAAGGCAGTCAACTGATTAGATTTCCTTTTGTTTGTTGTTCCAACGATAGCAGTAAAAAACTTTGTCCTTAGCAACTCCAGAGAGACAGTAATGAACCTAATCAATATCTGCTCTATTGTCTAGCAATGGAAAGTTACAGAGAAAGAGATCCAAACTGTTGTGGGGAGTGTGGTGATCCAGACACTCGGATGTTGGATTTATCACATATAAGAACATATTCATATTGGGATAGCGTAGTAGCTATCATCTTGTCAGTATAAAATATATATAAACGATTAAGTAATCAGCCCAATAATTATTACAGTTAGTACTGTAGATAATATCTTAAAGATTGTTAAGATAATTATATCATACTGCCGGGTAAACTGTGTCAGATCGATATGGAGCTAATTTAGTAGGAAGTCCTAAAGCTCTAGTATAAAAGAGAAAAGAATAGCTAAGAGCTAAAGAAGTACGATTTATGACTTGATGTCATAATTGTAACACCGACACTAGTTAAGCAGTAAATACACTCTAATAACCAAATATAGTAAAGGAAGAAAGCCTTAAGAAACTAAGACATAATGACAAGAGCAGATTGTGTTTTCTTATAAAAAGGGACACTTTTTATTTATGAATAAAAAAAACTTATATACAGTCTCAAAGTATTTCTATACGTCTCTATTCTCAAATATTTTATTTTTCTATTGTTTCGTACCTGAAATACCACAGGGAGAAAATAAAGCAAAATATAATATAGAGGAAAGAATTCGTAAGAACTTGTGTAGGTTGTTTATTTCAAAAGAAAAGTAAAGAATGATAAAATTCCTTTTTCTATACGAAACTATCTACTGATATTTATATGTTTTTCTAATTTGTAATTCAGTGTGTGCTTAAGTAATCTTTATCACAATGAGTCATCTTCCAGGAGTATTGTTTTTCTGGAAAGATCTGGAAAGACCAATTGATATGATACTTCTCCAGTCAGATCAGTCCAAGAGTTTTGGTAAAGAAGAACATTTATGCTATTGGTAATATTTTAGTATTCCGACCCAGATACTTGGGTAATGTTTCATAATATTAAATAGTTGTAGTTGTAGTCTCTCAATTAAGTATTTGTATAATAAAAGAAGTATGTAGATGAAATATAATGATTCCATATATATAATGTATATGTATTTGTATATCCCATGTCATGGTGATAATAATAAATAATCAATTATGTGTATGATGATCTGTGTATTAGATAATATCATAAAGGGAGATCCGTTTGACTGGAATAGCTGAGGATATTATTTTATCCTTCAGTCTTACTCTCAGATTCAGCAGTAATCAATACTCATTCACAACACAAACAATGAAAGAGTAAGTGAATTATATATATAAAAAATGGTTATTTAATCACATTTATAGATCTATTACTTGATGGCATTCTTTCCTTCACAACGAGATTGGAGAGAAAAGACTTAAGTCTACCATCTTTATAATCAACCAACATATGCTTGTATATCTTGGATATATAATGAGAGAGATGAGCTCACTGCGAGCATACATCTGCTGCCTGATTGAACATACTATTGGCTCATACAGAACAGCAATTGAGTCGAGAAAAGAGCCAGAAAAAAATATAGAAAATGTTTTATTTCGCAAGACTGAGATATGTCATTACCTCTGTGGTCAGTCTGCTGTTCTGAAACCAACCAATAGAAGAACCAGCAATTTCGAGGTTGTGAGTGATGATGTTGCTAGTTCCCAGCTTTGGTCTAGCCTAACAAGAATATCTCTTGGTACTGTGGCAAGGGAAACCGGCATAGATCATGGTAATTTGGTGGGCCAAATAGCGTCTCTCTGGGGCCAAGACAACCAGACTCTGTTAGCAGAAAATGAGGAGGTCATCTGCACTACTAAGATGTGAAAGGATGATATGATGTACAGAGTCCAGTCCTTATTTGACAGCAGACATATTTGAGCCAATGATCTTGTTGTGCTTGGAGGCCTGTGGGAGTAAGTAATACAAGTTATATTTTATGTCATTATAATATTAATCCTGCTTCATTTTTATTTTTAAAAGGTATGGATTTGTTTGAAGATTCTTCTCTCATTCTGTCTTGGGAGAGATGAGACTCTTTGCTGTTATTAAGCATCTGTGTGATGCTTTGGCTGGTAATAAAGAGATGTTTTCTGTGTGGGAAAGCCAAACAATTGGTGAGCTGAAGGTGGTGGAGGTGAAGTCTATCAGGGGAATGGCTGGTCTTGTTTATAACATCAACAATAAAACCATTAGACATGTGGTATTTTTACATTCATGTCATTATGAATAGTTTTTTCTTTTTTTCTACATATACAAATATAAACCCTATTTTTTTAACTTAATTACTCACTACCATGAAGTACATCAACATGATTAATTTTAATTATTTGAAATCGGAGTCAATACTGAAACTTAAATTGAAAATATATTTAGTGAATTGGTTATGTTTCTATTTTCGACTATTTTTAAAGAGAAAAAAATAGCAAGTCCTTCTATTTTTACTCAAACTGGCTGTCTAAATTAAAAGTAAGAAAATAAAATAAAATAATATTGCTGAAAGACTAAAATAAATTTAAAAGCTTCCAAATCTAGAAAAAAATTGCTGAGATTAAAACAATGTATATTTTATTGTTATAATCAGCAGGCTGTTTCAAATACTCATAGATTTTTTTCTACAGTGATTTATCCAGACAAACTACTGGGAATGAAAATATCTAAATTTTCTGTCTAAATTTAAATTTTTGGCCAATTTACATTAATGGCTTTGGATTCTCTTATACTCAGAAAATTAACCAAAGGACGCAAATATCTCATACAATACAACTACACTGTGGTAAATGACAGTGTTTATAACTCAGTACTTGTAGCTTTTTGGTGACAGTAATTCCCTAATCAGAAAAGCAAGTCACACATTTATTTTCATTTGTTTTGTTTGGGCAAACTTTTATTACATGCTTACCCCTTTATATTTTTTTTCCAAACACACCTTTTTTTTATCAAATCTCAAAATGTCAACCTTTAATATTGCTGCTAATTACAATAATCGCATAATTCCAGATTATATAAAAGCTGTTGACTCCTTTGACCTTTCCTCTGAAGATGAATTTATAAATTAGTTAAAGGATATAACTAAAAACGCTAATATTAGGGGGACAACATTTTCAGGATGGAGCACTACCTTTTTGATGGGAAACATTGTTTTGATTTTACCAGACCCAAATTGTGACTTGCTGTCCAGTATCAAATAATTATATCTGGTCCCTAAGAATTCATACTTATTATAATAAAGATACTTTTATACAAGGTAGGATAATAGCTTTTTCTACGCTTCTTTCCTCTATGTAATCATGTCTTTTCCTTCTCCACTCATGCGTATTAACTCATTAAATTGCTCCAAAACTTAGTGCATTCATCAAACTGTCTCCAGGCATATACCTCTCCTTCTTTAGGAGACACAACCTGTTTTTAGGCAAAATGATAATAAAAAATCTTCTCATACAAAAAAAATAGCTTTGATTAAATATAAAAGCATTGTTTTATATATATAATTCTATACTTAAAGTTTTATACCATATGTAATAAATTAACTGATATATATATAGAATAATAAAAAACTATCTAATATGTTATTTCAAGACATTATATCCTAATAGAAAATGTTGTGATCTACCCTGGAAACATCGTGCCCCTCCCTTATATGTCTGAGTTTATATTTTAGTCAAAACATTGTCCCCCATCTGGAAATGTCGTCCCCCAAAAGTCACGACTTTTCATATCTTGCCTATTGAAAAAATACCTTATAAAATTTGAAATTTCTTTACTAAATACTTTATTAGGCTTATAATATCCTTTAATGTAATAAACATTACCTTTTGTTAATACTTATTTAAGATAAACACTAATAAAAACTGCTAAATCTTCTTCAGAAAAGATTTTTATATAAGGAGCCAAAGGCTCTGTTTTATTGGGTAAAGCTTTACACTACTAGGTAATAAAGGTGGTCACAGCTTGTTTTTGGGTTTTCTAATTTTCTAATTGTTTTTGTGATTTTGTTTTATATGTGGAAGTAGTATGGGAGGGGGACAGAAACTAAATTGACCCATGGTCAAGAGCAATCTTGTTCTGGAGTCAGTTAAGGAGGATATGAGCGGTAGACAAGGTGGCAGATGGGACAAAAGGAACTTGATCAAATACAAAGAGCCAGTGGTGTCGCCATATAGCCAGTAGTGTGCACCCAAAGATAGAGGCAGATGAGAGACTGGTGTCCTTGGAGGGTGGAAAGTTGAGAAGGTAGAGACAAGAGTGAATTGAGTCGGAAGTGATGGGAAAGGCAAAGAAAGTGGTCCAGATGGAGGACCAGATCGCAAGCTTGGCAGGGTAGTCGAACAGAAAGTGAGTTTGCGAATCCAAGTCCCTGGAGCACACGGCACAAGTGGGGTCAGGGAAAGCCAGCAGTATTCGGGAGTGTAGGTGAGAATGGCAGGGTATCTTCTTATGCCAAGCGCGGTATCACACGTTGCGTGCGCCGTGGGGGAGGGGGATCGACCACCAGCAATGGAGAGAGCAGGGAGAGATAGTGGGGACAATGGAACGAGTGGGACTAGGGTGGAATTTGCATAGGGAATGGAAATCTTTCAGGGTGAGCAGTGGCCAAGCGGAGCCAGGGACAAGTCCATTGAGAAAAGGTTGGACATTGATGGACGAACCGGTGGGCAAGATGAGGGAAGGATAGCGGACGGCAAGGATGTTGGCGGGGATCATTGCTTGGTGAAGAAGAGGATGTATGAGGAGTGAGCGAGTGTAAATCCTTTTGAAGAAGCGATGGAGGACTATCGGTCAACAGGGGATGCGATGGAGGGGGCGTGGTGCAAGAACTGCATGGCGGCGATCCACCTCATAAGCATCAGATACCCGGAGATCTTGCCAAGTGGATGGGAAGGTGGGACAGTTGGGGGGGACTAAAGACATGACTGAGAGAGGAAGAGAGAGACAGGTAGGTAGGTTGACAGTAACGACTGTGAAGTCGTGTGGAAGAATGTCAATTGCAGCAAAAATAGTATGTAATGGAGAGTTATAATCCCGTTGATGAGGTGAGTGGAGGGGTGGGAAAAGAAGAGGAAGAAGCAGATGTTCAGAGTGAGAGTGAAGGCGAAGTAGAAAGGAAAACCAGGGAGAAACCAAACCAGACTGTCGCTGGGGGAAAAGGATCAGAGGACGAAGCCAATGCAGTTGTAGGGCGGCTTGCTGGACTTGAGGATTGAGGATTCCTAGGCCACCGCGACTGAGAGGTTGGCAGAGTGTGGCAAGAGATATGGAAGGAAAGGTACAATACTGGAGGAATTTACTCATTATGGAGCAGAGACGATGGAAGAACAACATGGGTACTGTGGTAACTCGTAAGACATGCCACAGTTTTGAGAGAACCAGAGTGTTGAGAATGGTAGCCCGTCTACGGATGGAGAGGGACCTAGAGTGGTGGATGTGGTATTCTGTCTCATTTTTGGACAGCAACATCTCGCAAAAGGAGGTTCATTGTGGCAGCGATTGTATCAGGGGGAAGCCCAGGTAGCGTAGAGGAATGGGAGAGGATTGGTCAGACCAGGCAGTGATGTCGAATTGGTGAAGAAGTGGATGCCAATCTGAGAGGGGGCGACCAGACAGAGAAAAAGCTTCAGTTTTGTGGAGGTTGATACGAGCATTAGAGGCATGCGAGTAGGTGATGAAATGATAATGGAGGCAGTGGAGGTGATTGGCACCGGGAAGAAAAACAAGGAGGTCGTCCGCATAGGCCAGAAGTTTGACAGGGGGTGGGGGTACTAGGGAGAGGATAGAAGCCAGAGAGAAGCCTTGGAAAGAGGGGTTGTGGATGATGCGACGCAGCAGAGGTTCGAATGCAAGGTTGAACAACACTGGTGATAAGGGGTCGCCCTGCCGGAGTCCGCGAGCTTGGGTGAATGGTCTGGTCAGGTGGCCGTTGACATTGATCTGGATCTGGGCTGAGAAGAAAAGCTGAGAGATGCAAGTGACAAGAGAACGGGGAAAGTTAAAATGGAGAAGAGTTTGACAAAGATAGTCAGGGTGTACTCAGTTGTACGCCTTCTCTTGATTCAAAAGTAAGCCTATACCAGCAGAGTCATCTTGTTTAGCCTGAGACATGACTAGTTTAGCAAGCATTCCATTGTCTGCAATAAAGCGGCCCTGGACAAAACCGGTCTGGAAGGGAGAGATAAGGGAAGAGACGGCCAGGATTATGCAGTTGTTGATGAGACGAGTGAAGACTTTAGCATCAGTGTTGATGAGTGCAATAGGCCGCCAATTCCAAAGCGAGGCGAGATCACCTTTCTTGGGGAGGAGGCAGATGCTGGTGGATAGCCAGGACTGGGGGAACACGCCAAGAGCAAGACCGTTGTTGTAGACTCGAAGGGTCAACTGTGCGCAGGCTGGATGCGCCATGATCAATCGTAGTATCTCGTATGGGAGTCCATCAGGACCAGGGCTGCTGGAATTAGGGGCACGGCTAGCCCCAGCTTGAATATCGAAGAGTGCGAGAGGTAGAAGTAGAGAGGCAGAGGTAGTCTCAGACAGATGAAGGGAGGGTGGTAGATAGGTGAGTAGGTTGTCAATTGCAGTTTGTGAAGGAGCATCAGGGGTGTATAGGTTCTGGTAAAAGGTTGCAGCAGCATCGGTGAGGTCCTCTTTGGAGGTGCAGAGTGTATCTGTAGTGGAGTGTCGAAGACTGGTGATGGTCATGCGGGCTTGACGGTTGGTGATAGTACGTTTCAGAAAACCAGCCGAAGTTTCACCTTGTTTGTGTCAGTGTCTCCCAGCTCAAAGTGCGAGAATTTCAATGCATTCCTGTTGGATTTGTTGGATTTGACGTTTGACAATGGGAAGTTGGAAGTTCTGGGAGGGTTGGTGGCGAAATCTGTGGATCAGGTGGTCACGTTTACTTTGCAACTTGACTTCCAGTGTAGCGAGGGAGGGGTGGGATTTGCGAGAGAAAGAGCGAGTGAAATGAGCCACTTTCTGTTTGAGGAGATCCCATTGTATTTGTGGGGAGGAGTTATAGAGGAGAGTTGGGACAAAAGAGGTCAGACAACGAGAGAGGGCGGAACAGAAGGATGGATTGTGAGCTAGATGCAGGTTGGCACGCCACAGGCCTTTGCCGATGTTGGAGAGGGTGGGAAAGCGAAGACAAGTCTGGACAAGGCAATGATCAATCCATAGTGGCTGCACGTAAGTGATTGTGGAAGAGTCATAACAATGAGCGAGGTCGGTAGAGACGTAGATGTAATCAATGGTGGATGAGGACATGTCACGGTGGAAGGTGGGCATTGGTGCCAAGAGCAAGGGGGTAATGCAATCGACGAGAGTATTCGACACGAACTGTAGCCAAGGCTTCGGAGCTAAACGGGCCCTGGGGGGTGGAGTGTGGGAGGCGTAGTTGAAATCCCCAAGCATTAGAAATTGAGAAGGTTTAGAAGGGACCAGGTGGGGGGAAGACAGAAGAGACGTAAGGAAGTCATAGCAAGGGCGGACGGTGGCCGGTGCATACAGAACGCAAACACGAAAAGGAGAGAACAAATTGGAGGAGTGAACAACAGTGGCCGTGATGCATTGGCCACACAAAGAGAAAAGGGGGTCAGTGAAGGATAGAAAAGGCGACAGGGAAACCAGTCTGCAGTGGGGAGACCACAAGGAATCTTTGGCTTGAAATTGTTGGGTGAATGTTTGTTGGAGGTCTTCTGTGTGGGCATGGGTTTCCTGCAAGGCTAGGATATCTAGGGTGAGTGAGCAAAGGTAGCATATAAAATGGGATCGAGTTTGAGGGTTGCCAGATTTGACAAGCCCTCGACAGTTCAGAGTGGCAATGTTAATCATAATTGGGGAGTAGTGGTGTCCTCCATTTCGTCGTCAGAGGAGGGGGTGCCATCAGCATCACCGAAGGCACTTTTGTGGAATTCTTCATCAAGGATGGTGGGACTGGAACCGGAGCCCTCTGGGATGAAGGCAGTCTGCAGGTTGTGGTAAAGAGGAGTGAATGGGGGATTGGCGGGGTTGGTGTCGGATTTCTCCTGAGTTTGAGCCATGTGAGATTCGGCTGCCTTGAAGATTTCAGCGAGTACTGCAAAAGGATTGGCGGTTTCTATGCCTGGGGATGTGTGTGTAGCATAGGTGCGCTTTGGTTGAGTTGTCTCAGAGAGGGACAATGTCAGAGGGTTTGCCATCTTAGATTGGGCTGCAGAGTCAGGGTGTGAGGCTGGGGGAGGTGGTAGGTGGGTCTTTGGGTCTTGGGCGGACAAAATAGTCCTGGGTAGTTTCCGGGAGCATTTGGACGGTCTGAATTCTGTAGTGGGTGTTCGTGGACATGTGTTTTGAAGGTGACTGGTTTTGTGGCAGGTAAAACATTTGCGGGAGTCTTGGGGGCGGATAGGACAGGCTTTGATGTCATGGCCCATGGCACGGCAATACGTGCAGTGAGAACCCATGCGTGTCCACATAGCCAGGAAGTGGGTGGAGTCGGAGGTAGGGATCTTGTACAATAAGGGGAGAAGTGATGTTGTGGGTGTTGGGGGTCGTTTGACGTAGGCGTATCCAGTGCTATCAAAGCAACTGTGACAAAGATAGATGCCAATTTCGTGGACAATACCATACTTGACAAGGCTGTTCTTAATGAGCTGTTCAAGGTCTTGACGAGGGAGGAAGGGGAGTTTTGTGAGGTAGAGGCGAAGAATTTTGGTACCAGTGGGTATTCCTTGGGAAGGGAAAAACCATTCATTGTTGACCAGGAAGCCTTTGGAGCAAATGTCCAGACATGTAGTAGAGTCGGTAAGATGCATCTCATGCATCGTAGATTGTTTGAATGGGAAAGACACACCGATAATCTTGTTGGCAGGGACAGAGCCAAGAAGTGAGTCCCAGAAAGCATCTTCTTGGGGAGTGCCGACTGGAGGGTTGAAGAAAATAGAGTGGGGTGTGGTGCTTTTGCGCCAAACATGAGAGGGCGAGGCAGGGAGGGTGGAAAACAGGATGGATGTGATCTGAGTGGGTTTGATGGATGCGGTTTAAGCATATGATGGTAGTGGTGGATTGATAGCTATGGGATTAGCGTTGGGTCGACCTATTGTGGAGTTGGACCCCTGAGGGGGGTCTGAGTCTTTAGCGGGAAGAGCTATGCTTCTTCAGAAAAGAAAAACAAAGTCACAAAATGTCTGAGAATACATATAGTATTAATTAATTTCGCATATATTAAAAAGTATATCTAATAATTGTAGAATAAATGTAGTTTACATTAAAAAAATATATTAGATAAAGTGACAGCTACTTAGAGTCATAATTAATAGTTAAACACTAATAAGTTTACTTCTTACTACAATTACAATATAATATTATAAGGCAAAGAAACAAAAATAGAATCAACTTATTATACAAAAATGGTAACTAAAATCAAGTATTTGTAAGATATAAGATTTATTTGGCTCCTGTCAACAAATCACATATCTGTGACTACTAATGAGTCATATTTTTATAATTTAACTTGAGACATAAATCATATGTTTTTATTTTATGTCATTTAAGTGGTAAAGATTATAATCTATATAATTTACATTTTTTTCAAAAACTTTCATAATGGATATAAAGATAATGAAGCCTTTTATACCTAAGAAAGTTTGCATAGAAGCTAAGCAAATATATATTTATAAAATTCATGTTTTTATTTTTTATTTTTTATTTTTATTTCTTTTGTAAAAACTCTTTCCATCATTTCCTTACAACTTGTACATGAGATATTTTATCAAAAATATAAAAAAATGAAAAATATTCATATAAGACCAAAAAGGGTCTCTAATTACATATATTCAGATGACATATGAATCCAGTAAAAGTTTCATAAAAAACAAATAAGAAAAAAGTAATTCTACAAGCAAATACAATATTTTATTTTATTGAAAAAAGCAAATTTTGAGATATTATGTTAGTTTTCTCATGATTGACCCTTTCAATTCAACTTAAAATTCTAGAACACATACATATATCTATACACTATTTGGATCCAAAGTTATAGAGAGCTAAGACTTGAATTGATAAAATAAATAGATGCAAATGCATAATATAACATATTCAAAAATAGTTTGGCTCTATCTCTGTAACACCACCTGACATTTATGTTTTTTAATTCGCTGGATATATGTGTAACTCGTAGGGTAATGTACTTCCCACAAATGATTTCTATGAAAAAACAGAGCGGAGAGTCATTTAACTCACAAGTGATAGATAGCTTATGCTGACATAAAGAAACAGATTAATAAGATTCATAAAGGTAAAAAAAACATTGTCTAACTAATAAAATATAAGAGTAAATGAGTATATAAATAATAAGTTGTCTAGCTAATGAAGTATAAAAAAAAACATAATAAAAATAAAAGAAAAAAAGAAGAAAAAAAGATTATGTTATAGTGGGATGAATATGTTCCTCTTGATTGGAAAGAAAAGAGAATATCACATTTCTACGATCATACTTATTAAACTCTTTAAACTTGTTCCAGTAAATATCAAAGTTGTTGGGAATCTGGTTTCTGACACAACCCAAAAAGAATAACTCAGGAATGGTTGACCATTTCCTTGAGACATTGTGGGAGAGGTGTACTGTTGTCTAGTGGTTATTGTTAACATGATTGAAAATCAAAGGTTGTTGATGTTTTGATATGTTTTTGGAAAGGGTGAAGGGAAGGAACAATACGAAAGGGGTGTTGGGATTGTCTGAGTAGACACAGACTGGTTGTGTATATGTGTCCGCAGCTAGTTGAGCACAGTCAGATGTGATAAACCACATACTAGCATCTAAACACGCTGGGATGAAGTTGGTGTTAATGATGCAGAGATCAGAACCATGCTTTATAATGTCTTCTAATTGCTTGACATTGGTTCCAAACGTACTGGAGTAAATGCTGCTGTATTTTGGAAGGGTAGCAAGCATATCTCTTTTCACAAGAGGGAACTTTTCTTGATCTTTATAGATCAAATGGGCAAGAACCCGAAAACCACACCACCCATCAGCAGTAGGGTTAAACCTACCCTTAACGTCATTGACTATCTCATGAGAGACAGGAAAACCAAGCTGGAATTAACCCTCTTGCCAACAGAGGTGCAATAGTCATATTGGTAATCTTCTTGAGCTGTAGCGGGTCTTTTAAACCCTATTTCTTTTGTGGCATTGACTAAAGAGCATATAAGTATACAACAATATTTCTCTTTATGGATTCAATTACACTGAAAAATGAGAAAGAATATTATCTGGGTTGAGAGGCTCTTGTTTTATTTTTTTGTTTTGTTTTTGGTGGTATCGACTAAAAAGCATATTAGTATAAGGTTAGATTCCTTTTCATGAATTCAATTACACTATAAAATAAAAGCACATATTATCTGGATCGAGAGACTCTTTTTTAATTTGTTTTATTTCGTTTTTGGTAGCATTGACTAAAAGATGTATGTAAATATATGACAAGATTCTTTTTCATAAACTCAATTATATGTAAAATAAAAAAGCATCTTACTTAGGTCGAGAGGCTCTTTTTTGCTTTTGTTTTGTTTTTTATTGTTTTTCGTTTTTTGTGTAGCTGCAGGCTTTCCATCTCTTGTTCTAGCCCTTAACCTAACCATTGCCTTAAGGCCGGCCTATTATTTCAAGATACATATTATTACTTTGTTATGTTATATTTTTTTATCTTACATGACCAGACAAAACACTGATCTTCCTCCAGTTTGCCCGACCAAAGTCTTTGGGAAGGTATTTGGGACGTCACCACCCTTTCTTCTGCCAGGATATTTAATTTTTTCTGAGGCTTGAAAGTTAATCGAAGGGTGCCCAGTTTTGCCTTCGAATTCAGAAGTAACCTTCTTGATCTTTTGAAGGAGGTTGGCCACTTGCTGGCTGCCCTCACAAGAGCGGAAAAGAGCCTCAAGCTTTACAATCTTTTGCATCCACTCTTCTGGCCTCTTGGTAATTACGTGCACTGTATGACTTTCTTCAAAAGATGTCTCTTTTAGAACAGGGTTTATAATCCATCTTTCAGGAACATCATCAAGGGTGAGCTCCCTTCCAGCTGGCAGCAAGTGTCTGCAGGGCAAGCCAAACTCAAACCTGTTTTTGCAATGTCAAAATTCATTGTCTCTATTGATCAAGCAAAGTTCTTGATCAATAACAAGCAATGCTCTCTTAGAGACTTTCATAAAAAGTCTAGAAAGCTGCTTGTTGCGGCCAACCAAGACGTCAACAGTTGTCAATTCCCTGATTTTTATAGCATTGAAGTTTCTTTCGAGGCTGTCTACATAAGAGTTGACAGCTTCAAATGCAAGCCCAAAAGACGAAATTGCTGATATCTCTCTTTTCAAAGCTTGGTGTGCGCTCTTGACTCTCCAGGTAGTTGTACACCCAAAATGCATTTGCTGACTGGTCAGATATCCTGCTCACTTCTCCTGGCACTTTATTCATCTTTTGGCAAAGTAAACCAATACATCTACCTTGGACCCTCCTTCGTCTACTTCACAACCAGAAGATACTGCATTGAACTTCATTAACGCAACCTCAAAATCTCTTCTGGTACTGCTGTGAATCATGGAGTTCACATACTCCATAAGGACCTCTTTCTCTGCAACTGACTTGAGTTTTCCAGCAAAAGCTTTCTCAACGCTATTCAACATATGCCAGTAGCATAGCAATTTGACATTTTTTGGGAATACAATGTCAAGTGCATTCATTAAGGCCATACATTTGTCTGTTACAAATAGAGAACTGCTTTTCTTATTCTCAAAAACAAGTGCCTTGAGCTACTCAAGGAACCAAACGTAGGTCTTCTGTTTCTCATTCGAAACCCAGGCGATGGCAATGGGAAACGATTTAAGAGTGCCTCCCCCAAGGTTATGGACACCTTCCACGCATACAAGAGGCATTTCAAAATTATTGGTTGAGTAGGTGGCATCAGTGGCCATGACTTCTGGGAAGCGACGGGCTCTTTCTAGCATCTTTGGGTGTGAGAAAAATACTCTTTCAAGAGATCCATATTTGCTGGCGTCATAGCATACAAGATATCCCTTAGCTTCCATGGTTTAAACAAGTTCAGTACCTGCATCCTGAGAAGTGGAAGCAGTAGCACGAGCAAAAGCAGCCTTGATATTGTTAATGTCATTCACATACAACTTGTGGCTGACATTGTCCTCTTCATTGATTGCCTTTTGGATCTCACGAGTCTTGGTTTTGGTCTCAACAAGCTTCATGATTTCCCTAGCATCATCGACAGTAACCTTTGACAAAAAACCTTTCAAGGTAGATTCCAGGCAGTCATTATCAAGAGGGTGATTGTGGTAGTCTTCAATCTCATTGGTAACTTTCAAAAAAAGATATTCTTTAGCGGCCTTCTTGTATGATATTTTCAAGAGATAGGGGCATCCAGTCTTTCCACTAGATGGAATTCTCTTGCGTTTGCTGTCTTTAATATTCCATGTGTTCTTATAATGACCGCCCTTGGCACACTTCAAATACACTTGAGTTGGTTTACTATCTCTAGTTATAAGTGCAAAATTGTTGGCAAGTGCATATTCCCACATCTTTGAAATCGCCATTGTCATGTCACTGTAACCATTAACTGGTGAGACAGAAAGAGGTTGTTGGACAGGATAATGTTCCTTTCCATTGAAAAAGTGGATTTCTTTATTAATAGAATTCATATTGAAGTGATTTCTAGAGAATACTTATTAACATCATGATTTCTAATTGCTAATCTGCAATGAGCAAAGTAATCTCTTTACTATCTCCAAGAAAAATTAATATTTTTAAGTGCAATTGATTAGTAGCTCTTACGAGATGAGTATAGAATAGAAAAGAAGGTTTTATATTTAAATATTGAGTTAAGAATTTCAGGACACATCGTTTTGCCCTGAAGGATTGGAGAAAAGACCTCGGACCTCGGACAAGTAGTCACAACGAATTAGTCTGGCAAAAAAAAGGTAGTGCCCCATCCTGAAAATGTCGTCCCCATAAGATTGCTGAGCTAAAAAACATGCCAATTGGGTTTATCATCGATTTTACAGTCATGAGAAGAACATGGTCTTCGTTGGGAAGCCTCTTGAAAATCCTCTCAAAGTAAAGACAGTAGTTTACTTGTGTGATTATACTGGAAAACCACAAGTGAAAAAAACTTCTCAGCCTGCTCAGAAACGTGTTAGAACAACCAAGTCCATCAAGATTGGTTGTTCTGCTAGTATCTGTAAGCATACCATGACTGATGGTACTGCTTGTATCAAATACAACTGGCAGCACCCAAACCATGATCCATTTAAGATTTAAGAAATCAGTTTGTCAAGATTGCCAGATGAATTAAAACAATGGGTAGAAGGGCTTGTCAGCCAAAACATGGATTGGAAATCCATCAAAAATGTGCTTAGAATGAGTGAAGACAGACTTCTTGAAGTAAATATTATATAGTATATTTTGAGAGACTTTGCTTATTTAAAATTATATAGCTTGAACAAGCTGGCAATAGATCTTCTTTCTCTTCTTCTCTTCTTATTGATTATCAATATGTGAGAAATGTTATCAATGCTTGAATGATGAAACTCTCAAGAAAACATGTGGATCATTATGAAAGTGTCAAACTGTGGGTTCAAGAGTTGAACGAAAGTGAAAATACTACTCTTTTCACAGTTTATAAGAATGACCCCTTCCTTGTTTTGTAGGTTTCTGAGTGGCAGAAAGAAGTAAGTAACATGTATTATTTATATTTTATTCTATACACCTATTTATACATCTTATTATTGTATTAGTTTCTGGAGAATTCAGAAGAGTGATGTATTGACTCAACACACAAAACAAGCAAGTCATTTAATACTGTAACTGGTAAAGGTCCTGAAGATTGCTTTCTGTTTACAATTGTTGTGCAAAACCCTATCACCAATAAGGGATTGCCTGCCTGCTTCTTTATAACTGATCATGAATATACCTCAACCTTGAGTCAATGGTTAATATAGGTAAAGAATACCTTTACATTAAAGGTGAAAAGAATAATAATTGATGGCAGCCCCATCGAAATTGGCACAATTGAAGAAGTCTTTGACAATAGTGTTAATATCCTGTTATATCATTGGCATATTAAAAGAGCATGAGAAGTTAATGTAAAGAAGCATGTAAGTAGCATATATATTTAAAATTGTGTATATCTTATATAACACTATAATATAGATTAAAGTGCAAAACTCAACATATGCTTTTAACATAGCTTGTAACAGTGTTTGTGCTGTATTGAGTAATATAATGCATGCAACAACTTCTGTTGCCTATGATATATTGTATAATGAATTTCTTGTAAAATTTAGGGAATACAAAAACTTTATTTTGTACTTTAACAGAATGTGGGTGCTGAAAAAAGAATTATGGTGCAAAGCATAGAGATTGGTATGAAACTTTATTGCTTATTAGCCTGTTTCTAATATGTAATATAAATAATAGGCTGCAACTTTTCACACCAATAACTTGATAGAGTCTTATCACAATCAGCTGAAGACTTTCTATCTTGGACGTACAAGATCTCTTCGAGTAGATAGACTTATTTATCTTCTGGCCAAAGTCTTCACTCTTGACTACAGACAAGAGAATGGCAAGACATTATATGGATTCCAATCAGTACGTCTTATATGCCAAGAAGAGCAAAAAAGACGAAATACATACATGTTAGATAGCAATGCTGCTATAGAAATGGTTAAGAAATTGAATGATACTGCATTCACTTGCAGATCATTCACAGTTGATCTTTTTATATACAACATTGAGCTACAGAATGATTTTCTGAAAAACTGCACTTGCCCTGATACTTCCAAGCTTTGCAAGCATATCTTTCTCATCAATCGTATGCTAGACATTCCCTACTCTTTGCGCCAAAGTCTTTTCTCCTCCTCCTCTGCTGTCCATGTATCTAATACTGATACTAAAGCAGTAGTTGACACTTCCCTTCTTTCTGACAAGATAGAAGCTGATATCATGAAGTATTGTCAATTATACTCTGTTGGACTTGACAGCAAGATAGCCGATTACAAGAGAATTTCAGAAGACATGAGCCAGTTCTTAGATACATTGAAGTTTGCATATAACAAGCTAAAAGAACATGGCTCTCTCTCTCAATCCCATCCACCTCGACAAACATAATTTTTTTTATTATTTTTTTTTTATTATCAATTATCAATTATATATTATCAATTACTATCTTTTTTATTTTATTTTTAATTGTTATTTTTTTTAAAATTGTCTTTATAAAAGAAGTCAAAATCAAAGAATCTTTTAAGTTGTGACTTTCTTTTCTGATTAGGGAATTAATGGTACTTGTAGCTTTTCTATATGCTTGTATCAAATCTACGCGCTTGTAGATATGTCAGAAAATATTTTTCAACCAATAGAACTACTGGAAATTACATAATTTATAGCTCTAGACTCGTAGCTTTTCTACAAGCTTGTATCAAATCTACACACTTATATCGCATCTATGAGCTTATCAGTTCTTCAGCAAATGCGATTTGTGAGATTTTATATTACTTCTGCATCTAATTCAATTGATTGCTCTAATAAAATAAATTTATACCTTTTTAGGTACTTTAATTTTTCTTATAATTGATCCAACAAACTTAATGTTTTATAGCAAAATATTTTTATTTTTTGACTTTATTAATAATAAAAGTAATAAGATAAGACACTTTTTAGCCTTCTCATATCTGTAGAATTGTCTCTAACGAAGGGTACTGAAAATAGTAGGCAAATGATAGAATAAGTATGTAAAGAAGAAGACTATGATAATTTTAAATTAAATAATAAGTATAGTAAAAGTCTAATTTAAATTGTAAGATCAGTGTCTTTATAAACTACTAGATATTGCTTTGGCCGGAAATAAAAAATGGAGTTTTGTTTGTGACTGTAATGAACAGTTATTGTCTTTTTTAAATTCAGTCTTAATTTTATTGTTGTATTTCATACCCACTGAAGTTTCTCCTAAATATAGAAATTTATTGTGTAAACCAAATTTTCTATTGGCTTAAAGTATGAATTGAGATTAAATATGGAAAGCTACAGATTTAGGGGAGCAAAATAATGAGATTTGTGCCAAAAAAGAATTAAACGTATTTTTTGAGTTACTTAATTGAATTTCAGACAAAAAAACTTTAAAATGGGTGAAGAAAAAAAGATTGCTTTGAAGGAGAATATTTTATCGGTTGATATTTTTTTTTGTTGAGAAAAGTTTTTTTTTGACAAGTCATTGTTTAGTTTATATTGGAAATGTTTACTAACATCCACCTCAACGTGCCAAACTTTGCGACGTTAAGCAGCCTGTGGATACTATCAGATACAAGAGTTAAATGCATGTCAATGGTCTAAATCACAATTACTTCATTCTTATCAAATTCATAACTAGTTCTGTAATGTATAACTTCAATATTGTCATAACTGTCAGTTACTACATTACGTGAGTAGACTGTACTGACATTAAAGCCAGATATTATTTGATACTCTTGCATAATACACATTTTTCTTACTAGCTTTCCTCTCTCATCTCTGAGAGCTTTGATAAAAACCTGACCAAAAAACTATCAATTATCTTTCTGGAAGACACCTGCCAATTTATTATACAAATTAGGAATTGATATGCCAGAGTTGTTGCTGTTTGCATGGAAGCCAAAAAAATGAAGATTGAATTTTGGGAAGTCAATAGGAGCTTGTTTAACAAAGTCACCAACACTCAATCTCACAGGCCGTGTACTACTGCCAATATGTTTCTCTACATTGTAAGGGCCTCCATTGCAAAGGTGACAGCAGATAAATTGATTTGCAAATTTTTAGCAACATCTCTGGAAGTTGCTTGACAGTTCGTTTTAAACAAATGTTTGCAAATGAATTTGTTAAATTGCTTGCTGTTTTCTGTTTCATACTGTAAGACACAGCCAAAGCAAAACATATCTTTGGTAAGGTGGTGTAAGAGACGAAGCTTTAGTTTAAAGCTGAAGTCCTGCTGTTGGAAAGTCTTGAGATTAGATATGATAAAAGTGTTTAGCACTAGAAACACTCTTGTAACTTCGTCAACATCACTTCTAATCTTCAAAAGATAGCTATCAAAGCCTTCATAGACTCTACAAATGTAAATTAAAGATGCTAATCTGAAAACTGTATGGAAAGCTGTGATAATAAATGTCAGATTACTATCTCTGCAAAAAAGCTTGCTCATGACACCAGATAAGAGCTGTATCAATTGCTTGAAATCACATCTCACAAAAGAGTCAGAGTGGCAAAGCTGATTGCAAAATGTTCAATCGTAACTCTTACAGAATTGATAAGAGGACAGTTCATGTTGCAGGCTATCCTTTTGAATGACTGTCAAGATGGGCTGCTTTTACAAGAAGATTACCAAATACTTAATTAATCCAAGTGAGATCATATGGAGAATCTCATTTGGTATGTCTTTGATTGGATCAAAAGCTTTGAGTCTAAGGAAATCTTTGCTTCTGTTCTTCACATAGCTTAAGCTTTGCCCACTTTTGTATATGTCAGATTGTTTATCAGAAGAGGCAAAAGCAGAAAGAAAAGCCTTTGATTGTTGGGGCCAGTCATAGTGAGCAACATGAGAAAAGCAGGTGACACTCTTTATATGTTTCCAATCCAGATGAGAAGAAAGGATTAGACTCTTTTTCTAAAACCGTTTTGAGGCTGTTCCCTTATGCATCGCAAGCTGAGATTGGTGAGAATTGTCACTCATAAAGAGAAGCAAAGAAGTAACTACCAGTACATGTTTGCCAAGATCTTGGGAATAAATTTGGATATCTTTCTCTAAGGTAACAAGATCATTAACAAGTGGTCCCAGCATATTAACGACATTGAGAACATGGTTACATATGCAAACAAACAAAGTGTTCTCCTGTTTGTTTTGCTTTTCAAGGGTCATCACAGCAAAGTACATCAAAAAGCTGTTATACACATTGTATTGCTTTGAATCATTCCTGGAGGTATCATCAGAATATATTTTTATTAAGCAAATGATGACTTTCATTAAGCCAGATCCAGAAAGTCTTCTCTTAAATCTTTTGACAATAGTAGCATTGGTCCATAGGCGAAGTTGGGCACCAACAAGAACACGATTGACAATCTCAGTTGAACATGAAGAGACTGATATGTCAGAGCCAAGGAAAAAGTTACTGTCTTTTTAAACAACTGATAAAAATGTATTTACATTAATTTTGTACTTTGGAACAGATACAGCAAAATTTGTGCAGTTTTCACACAATCAGAAGTACATGTCATCAGGATGATTGAGCACAGGTCCATAGCCACCATATATCTGATAAGCATTGGCGTATGTGAATCCATTTTTTGTAAAAAAATTCTCTATGAGAAACTGGTCCAGAGATCCTTGTATTTCTATAATATCGCCTACCCAATAATCTGATTCCTGGATCGTGAGTATGAGATGTTGAAGAAGTAGGCTTTCTTTCTATTTGTTCCCTTGGTTGAGGTGCAGCCTCTGGTTCTCTGTAAAGTCTGGCAGTGCAGAGAGTTGCGACGTTTTTTCAAGGCATGTCATAATATGCTTCATATATTTAGATAGAATGTTAATCAAAAATTTGTGTACCATGGATTTTTGATTTGTATCTTTGGCTGTAGAGGTCTTAAAAACCAGAATATTGTTTTTTGCTCTCAGGTTAAAATTTATTACTGCATCTGGCTTTGGGAATTCTATTTATTTTCCAGCACTTTCACATACCTCCAAGAGCATCTCCATTGTGTACATTATTTTCTTTATCAATATTTCAGAAGCCAGATCTTCATCACCATGAAATAATGCATGCAAAATGAATTCTGCCTTCGACTTGAAAGGACTGATATTTCTAGTAAGTATAAAAATATCTTCTATGCTCTGGTGAGAAGATTCACTGGCTGTAACTCTAGCAGCATAATCATTCATACTTGTTGAAAAAGACTTAAGGACTCTCATATGTGTTTCAATATGAATAGTACTACCTGTTATTTCATTGTCTGCATCTGAAGTCTCAGCTTTACTTTGGTTTATTCTTTCTTCAAACAAAATAGAATCAACATGGATATCACTAAAAGAAATTTATAGTTAATACTTAATTCACTGTACATTTAGACTTAGTTACTTACGTCAACCTAGGATTATTCTTACATTGATTCTCTTCATCAGAGGAGCAACTGTCGTAGTAATCCATGGAATTCTCTATGACTATCTCCACATTATTCTCCAAGTCAATGGATACAGCTGTAGAGGTATCCCCATGTAATTTAATCCTAACATTCAAATAGAATCAGAATTAATATTGTCTATTTATAAGATTGTAATACAGTTACTAATTTCTTTCTTAAAAGAACATTGCTATATTTCTCAGTACTCTCTTCAGAATGATACTTATTAAGATATTTCTTAAAGCCAACTAAAGAAGTATATATCGTCAAAATTTGGCAAAGATTACATTAATATTTTTTCTCAGCCTTCTTTCTATTTCCTTTGGTAAGGTAAACATTCTTCTTTGCAGTGTATTTAGATGTCATTGTTTTTATTTAATATTCTTTGTAAACTTTGAGAGACAAAAGAATAGGAACGTGTTAATTCAAGTTATATTATTATGCATAAGTCAACATGACTGCTAAAAAAACAGCAACAAAAAATATAACAAAATTTCTTTTGATTACTAATTTATTTCTTCTGTATTCTTTTTTATTCTCTGGTAAAAGGTAAGACTTATATGCATTCTAACAAAAACAATATATTTCAAGAAGCAGAATATATCCAAGTAAGTATAATATGGGTTTTGTATTTCATCAACTCATTTCTGATTGACAATGTGATTAGATCCAACTAACATGTATTGAAGTCCCAAAAGACTTTATTAATAATAAAGACAAATAAATATATTTATATTTGACTGTACAAGATATGTATCCAAACTACAATAAAACAAAACTTATTTCTTCTTTATACTAAGTCCTTTTTTATTTCTTTAGGTAGGTTGATCTTAACAGATAGTCTTGTTATTTCAAGCATAAAAAGTAAAGTCAGATTATGAGATCATTAAGTAATTCTTGCCAATAATTTTTTATTATATAGCTGCTTGCTCTTCTTCTATATAAGATATTATTCTCAAGAGACTATTACCAGCAAGAGGCTACTGTTTAGTAGAGGATGCTAGTATAGAATGGCTGCTAATATAGAAAAGCAGCCTAGTAAACTGTATGCGTATTCACAGTGTTTTTTTTTGAAACAAATAAAAATATATATTTTAAAAAACCCAAATTATTTTTCCAATATATCCCCTTCCCCATTTTTCTATAAAAGAATTCTGTAAATAAAAATTGTTGCATAGTTTCTTTCTAGGAAGGCCCCCCTCTAAACTTGTCAGAGATTTCCAATAAGACATGTACTATCTAAACCATTTTTTCTTTCTTGTTGCTGAGATTAAAAAAGCTCAGTGGGTGTGTTGTGAAGCCACCTCACAAATCTGGATAACAATTTTCATTTATCAAAATGCAAATTTCCCCCGCAAAATTATTTGTTACATTTGCTAACTGCATAGTGTTATCTAGTTATCTAGTTATCTAGTGTAAGGCTAATAATTTTACCATTAGTTACTAATAAATTACAATATATGATTGGTAGCAAAATCAGGTTCCCATCAGATGAATTGACACGTCATCTGGTCATTATTCCAAAACAACTGAAATAATTGTTTATTTTATTTCATATTCTTATTATTATATATTAAATACCTAAAAATGAACGTTAATAGCTTCTTAAATGATGCTGCAAACTTGTCAACCAATGCAGTAGAAAAACTATGATTAGAATTGCAGTGTAGAAAAGAATTCAAAATTAGCTTTGCTATAGAATTTAATTTGCAACAAAAGGTTGTTGAAAACATGACTGAAGCTGCCTATAATTTCAGCAATACTGTTTTGGGGCCCAAAGAGATTAAAAAAAATCCTTTTAATCTTTACACTAAGGAGATGAAGAACAAGAGAAAACTTGACAGTAATACAATTAACTGCATTGATTACAAGTAAAACAATAGTTTTGTAACAATTCGAAATATATTTTTAGGGGAAAACTACAGACGTGAGGAAATCATTGATTTGTATAACTTGATGGGTCCTTTAGAAAAAGGCAGATATTACGAGATGGCGAAAGAAGATTCCGCTACTCTTCACCAGGAATCTTCTGTCCCTGATGTCAATCGTAGTGCAAAATCCATATTGACCATCATAGACACAATGAAGCTATCAATGAACTACAATAGTCTGTTTCTGTTCTGAGAGTCAGGCATCAGCTCCAGTCAAAAGATTGGTCGCCTCTTGTCAGGAGATACGTCTTCTATATTTTTTAAGTGTATTGAGGAAGATGGCGCTCTGGAGAGTTTCTTGGAAGCAATGGGAAACATCGAAAGACGCCCAAGTAAGTATTATATAATAGATGTATTATTTATTTTATCTTAATCTATTTTTCTGTCATAGTGCAAGAAATACAACCCGTGACTATTGCTGCCAACGACTTCAGGAATAAGATGAACAAACGTTTGATAAGCTTGTTCAATGGTAAGTCTATAAAATATCAAAATTAACATTTACTTTATATTATCAATTTCTTAGAAGAAACCAGGGAAACAAGAAAATCTTTCCCTTGGAAAGCAATTGAAAACAAAAAAGGCATCATCAGAGCCGTTGGATGGCCAGAAAAGATGTCTTTTGTGCCACTCAGTCTTATGAAAGATATTGTGAAAGAAATGTTAGTTGATGCCCTGGACAAAGGGCTCATTTCTTTCTCTTGCTCTTTAGAGTAAGGCTTGACAAGCTTAATAAAAGTATTTTTTGTCTCTAACTTCTATAATTAATAATTTGTATGCTAAACTTATGTGTACATCTTATCCGAAGGCTTTCCAGTGTTGTACAATAGATTCTTGCTTTTACTATTTGTTGTGGCTTGTTTTTTTTATGTATTTTAATTTTCAAAACAAAAAAAATGACTTCAAAATTTTTTCTTTCCTAATCTACTTTAATAATATACCCGTTATAAGTATTTTAAGTAATAAATAAAATATTACCCTTTGCCATCATTATCATCTTATAACATGTATCAAACACTTGATTGAATGGCCTTATAAATCTTGTCATAAACTTCTTGTAATCATGCACAAACAGTTAAAGACAGATGAGAGCGCTAGTCAAGATAAATCAGCAATGGAAAACAACTACCCAACGATTTTATTTGAATATTAAGATCAACAAATAAACTTGGAGTAAGAATAGATATATATTAAAATTTAAGTCTTTGGAAGTAATGGTTTTGATAAACAATGCTTGTATGACCTTCTGTTTTGCTTTACAAAAGATAGTATGTATTTTTAAAATAATCTTAAGGCTATCCTAAAAAAAAATGTTTTTAATGCTTTGCTCAATTAGCTTTCTTTCTCAATAGTGTTAAGTTTTTTTTGGTTCATCTAATGTTACTGCTTAAAATTATAAAAACAATGTCATATAATTTATTTATTTTTGTAAGGGTAAACTTTAGACTTTATTTTTTTTCAAGCAAAAACAAAACAAAATCTAAGGAAGTAGAATACATGTTTATACTGATGTCTGGGGTAATAAAGTTATTGTTTTTTGACATTTTAATTTTGTAAATAAAAATCTTCTTTCTTAAATAAATTCCAGTTATGCTTATCAATATTGTGAATGAATCAACTCTGTGAAAATTATATTGAATATTTATTTATCAATTGCACTTCATCAAGGACAGATATTAGCAAGTACATGTTTTATAAAACTAATATGGCATGTCTTGAGTTTTATTGAAATTCTTTTAGCATCAAGTATTATTACTAGATAAGTAAAAAAACGCGTCTTTATATAAAAAGAAAGGGCGAAATATTATCATTTCATAAGTTGGTCTTTATGTACATCACTTATTAATTAACTGGCTTGTCTTATTGATTTTATATTTATTCAATCATAACATTTTATTAATGTAGTCTATTACTTGCAAAGTCAATATCATTGCTAGCTTTATATAATAATTTAAATAATAATCAATATTTATATATTTATCTTTGATTTAACTAACTCTTCCTGTCTACTTTTGTCTTTAGTCTTCATGTTGTAACTTTTGGCCTTGTTTAATGAAAGCAACTAGCACCCTCCCCGATTTTTATTAATATATTCTTTCCAGATATTACAAAAGCTGATAGCTGCAAACAAAGTCCTTATCTTATACTTTTAAATATACTCACTTCAAAAAAAACAAGCTGGTATTAACAAACACTAGTTATATATGATATTGTTTTATGACAATAATAATAATTATGTTTAGCCCATTATTTTTTTAAAGAAAATAAAGTACATTTTATTAATAGAAAAATATGAATAATTAAAAGTAAAATTTATTATTTTATTTGACAAACAGTGATTCTGAAATGCAGTAAGACTATTATGTTACTTTTTGCAAATTAAGAAAACTACCATCCTTTATGTAAAGATCTAATGTAGGATCAATTATAAATTAAATTAATAAAAGTACAAATTGATTTGAATAGAATAATTACAAAATGTAACTCAAAGAACAGAGTTCAGAAGTGACAGAAATAAAAAAGAAGATTGAAAAAACTTTGGATACAAATATCGAGTGAGTAAAATAAAGAGAAGGCTATCAATTTCACTTGGGACAATTGAAGTTATAGCAGAAAACATACTAGGAAAAGGAAATAGAATAAAATAAAAGAGAGTTTTGATCATGTCAATCAGAACATACAATGAACATAAAAAAAAATAACATACCAGACAAAAAAATAAAAAAAACATAAATAAGAGAAAAGAATATACAAAAAGAACGAAGACTGTGGCTTAACATTGAGAAAATGTGACTTTGGATGTGACCATGCCAACATCTTACAGTGAAAATGAGTGGAAAAAGTGGCTTGGTAAAAAATACTATAAAGCTATATTTTAACTACTCTATTCAAAACTTTTGCTATAAATTATTCGTTGTCACTTTTGACTATGATAGGAACAACCAAGATTTGACTTTTGCCTGATACATTTTTTTGTTGTTGTGGTGGTTGAAGTTGAAGAAGTTTTTAAGAGGAAGAATTGAAGATTTGAAATTAGGAATGAAGATTCGTGAGAACTTGTGTAGGTTTTGTTTATTGCGAAAGATTTTGTATCAAAGTTTGACCAGGTTCCTACACTGAACTACTACTGCTATTTATATTATTTTGGATTGGGAAAATTATATGACTGGGGTCAGATAATCGATCCTATCTGAGCCTTAATCAGAGCAACGTGATCTTGGGATAATTAATGTATGATTAATTATATAAATGTGTGTAGTCCCAATGAAGTATTAACATCGAAAGTAAATGTGTTTATGAGTTATACTTATGCTTATAATAATCCACTGATGTATCCCATATTATGGTGATATCATCATATGAAATATAATCACTATCATGCATGCTAAACCTGTGTGTTAAATAATAAAGTAATTGGTAGACACCTTTGACTGGAATAGCTGAGGCCTTATATTATTTCCTTCAGACTTATTCTCAATTACAGCAGTAGTCAATACTCATTTACAACATTTGTATTTTTTTTGAAAAAAAATTATTAATCTTTCTGTTTTGCTAAAAAGAAAAATGAAATGTTTTGAATATTTAATGAATTGTTTTATACTATTTATTCTTTATAAATATCTTAATGTTATGCGAAATAAAATTATATGTTTTTAAAGTAAAATAAAATAAAATAGCAAACGAAACAAATTTTATTTATGTAAACAGAGTTAAACAGTTAGATACAAATGAAACAAGATAATTTTTAACAGTGTAACTTCCTGAATAAGAAATGCTATTTACTTGCTTTTGAAAATAATAAAATAAAAAATAAAACATGCAAAATACTAATAAAATTAGATAAAAACTTGATATTTTATTATCTCAAAATAAGTATGTAGTTATGTGTATTATTGAATTAATTACTGATAGACTATAATGATATAAGTAATATATATATATATTACAGAAAGAAGTAAAATAAAATCTTGAAACATAAAACATGTATTTAAAATGGACATTTTTTTTACTTCTTGATTAAATGTAGAAAACAAGAAGTATACTTCAAGCAATAAAAATTAAGCTGTCAGCTTCTCTATAATTTTATGATATTTATACTTGTAAAAGCTATTATAGCATTTTACAGATTTGAAAAAAAATATTATTATTATTATTAAAAAAAATATTAAAAAAAAGAAGAAAAGAAAAAAAAAATGGGTGAGAGTTTGTGTTATTCTAGGGAAAAGAAACTTACCTTAGTTATCAACTTTAAATGCTAACAAATAAACTAAATAGACTTTTTACAATAATAGAGTAACTTACCATATATTGCCTCAGACTCAAATACATTATTGTGTTATTCGTCTTCATTGGCATCGTCATTGGCATCGTCATCATCATCATCATTGTTGTCATCGTCATTGTCGTCATCATCATCACCTTCCACAACAAAAGCGATACTAGCTTCTCCATCATCGGGGGGTTTATGTCTTCAACGATGAGTGAAGAAGAAGAGACAGAGAAGGAGGCAAAAGGAACGGAGGAGAAGGAGGCAAAAGGAACGGAGGAGAAGGAGGCAAAAGGAACGGAGGAGAAGGAGGCAAAAGGAACGGAGGAGAAGGAGGCAAAAGGAACGGAGGAGGAGGAAGCAAAAGAAATGGAGGAGGGAGAGGACGAGAATTCCAGAAGGAAACTGGTCTGAGCAAAGACTGCTCGCTCCCAAGACATAGAAAGCCAAAGCTTTCTAGCCAAAAGGAACTGCATCCCGCAAAGAACCTCTTTGTCCAGAGTACCTACAGCATTGTCAAGGGCTTTTAGCCCTTGCTCTCTTAAAGTCCTTTCTTTTGTGGCACAGTGTTGGAGCCAGAAGGCATCACACTTGAAATTTTATATATTAGTTGATTTATTTTTAAAACCTTTAGCATCTTTATATTGATTATTACCTTCAGAAGTGCAACTTCTTCTTCTGCTCTTTTCTTTGCCAAAAAGAGATGGACTTCGGGACGGATTTCCGCATCCCAGAAAATATTTTTTTTATTGATTATTGAATCAAAGGTCAAAGACTCTTTTAAAAAAAACAAGTATAAAAGTAAGAATAACAGTTTTATATGTCCATTGTGAAAAGTCTAAAAATCACTGTTACCATTGAATTCAAGGTTAAATGCTTGTAGGAGGTAGATAATTTGTTTGGCCTGTTTATTCAGGCTGGTTTGGTGTTGTTTTGATTTTTTTGTGCCTATATATATATTTAAAAGCATTAATTTATGAAATAAACACAATCACCTTTTCCCCTTCTTACCAATATGGCCAGATTTGTAGAACAATGTCGAGATATCATGATATGCTCAAACATTGGCTCTAATTACATCTTTGAATATTTTTTTTGTAAGCTAGGAACTCGTTGTACCCTAGCTGGACATTTTCTTCTATATATATTATGAGGTTTGTATTTTCTTCATCAGATTCTTGGAAGCCCTCAACTTCCTTCTGGATCTTCATCTTCAACTTCTCCATTTCATACTTCAGCCTATTGATCTCATCTTTCACATGATTTCCATTGGCATCATTAGCGAGCCTACAATAAAATTGATTTTTTAATGACAAAAAACATAAGAAAAAAGCTCTAAATACACGTACTCTCTTAGTCAGCGCAAAATTGTAAAATTTACAAGGAACAAAGCAATATTGCCTTGAACCTTATGGCTGGACTCCATCAAATCAGCAATGTCAACGTAGTTCTCTGACTTCTCTACCTTGTTAACATGTTGCTTCCATTCTTGCTCAATCACAACACAGTCAAATCCCTCCAACGCCTTCTTGGATTTTTCTATGATGCGCTTTGCTTTGACATACTTACTCTCCAACATCAAGCCCAACTCAACCTTCTTCGTCTCATTGCAGAACTTGATGGCTCTGTACAAGACCAACTTCCGATTTGCTTGTCCCATCTTTCTGGTCATTGTCACAAAGCGGTTAAGATATGACCAGAGGCGTTCCAAACATTCACCATCTGTCAAGCCAAACCCATCTCTACATTTAGGGTTGAGCTTAACCTGGCAATGTTGAACATGAGCATACACATGGAAAGTCGGAACTGCTAGTTTTGATTTCTCCATCAGTCCAGGAAAGTTAGCCTATGTTAAGTATTGTTACTATATGCTTATATATTTAACATGTACATTAAAAATAACTCTGTATTTACCTTCAGTGACTTTGCCAGCTTACAGACAACATCATATATCACATTGATGTTGGGAGAGTTATCAGCAGACTGGTCATCACTACCTGAATCACCAAATAGTTGATTAATTATGGAGAGAGGATACTTAAACCCTTCACCAGTTTCCATGTCTACCAACTTAATGACTGACTCATGGCGTGCACAGCTTGCTGCAAAAAGACCTTTAATAGAGTATTTTATGGACTTTGCCAAACCACCAGAGCTAGCATGGAAGTTGCTGTCAAACTGACCTATCTATAAGTATAGAAAAGGCTTAGTATGTATTTAATATCTTGTCACTTTTTATTACTTATGCCTTCTTCAGCTCTCTCCTTCTCATACATCTTCATCACGTCATCACCAATCCACACCTGCTTGAGTTGAGCCTCTAATTGCTCCAACTCTTAGCCAACATCACCCTCACCATCTTTCTTCCTCTCACACTTCAGGCTAAAATTGCCATCCATGGCAACATATTGACAGTCGTCAACGGCCACATTGCTGTCAACCTGATATAAAAATACAACTTCAATACTTTGTTGCAAGTAAAATATAACATATTATTCACTTACATCCGGACAAGCAGGGCAACAGTTGGATTCCCGGAATCCAGACGAAAGCTTCTCTACCTTGGCCTCAACAATCATCATAAGCCTGATGAAGACATGCAGAAGATTTTGGTAATATGCATTTGAGATCTGTCTCTATTTATTTTATTTTAACACAATATTTAAAATCGATTAGTAACATATACTGATGTATAATTTTTTTCTTACCTCAGCACCCAGATTGATCTTATTGTACAGATTGGCCAAGCCCTGGCCAGAGATGGCAAGAACATCTCGCATGTCTCTCATAAACTCAAGAAGTCCGAAATGAATTGCATATTGGACATTGTTGAGGGAAGCAGGGAGCATACCCATCTCAACCAACTGCTTGGGAATGGACTTGCATCTGCAAAAAACAACCTCAAATGTTCCTGAGGCTGTGTACACATATAGGATGTTAATATATTAATCTAAGGGCAGTTTTTCTTGAAAAATTAATAATGATTGCTTACAATACAAAAAAAAACATGTAAATGTTTTTCTTAGAGAACTTTGTGCAAGAACAAAGGAAATGAGACAAAAGAGCAATAACCTTCTTATCCAGACAGCCATCCTTGCATCTTCCAAGGTAACGCAGGAAGGAATCAGCTAACTGGGAAAGCAAATCTACCCACTTGTTGTAGAGACTTCTTTTCTGGGTCTGACTGGCTTCATACGTATCGAAATCAATTTTGACGTCTAAGTCAATCTGAGAAGCAGCAATGTTCTTGGAAGGCATTTCTATGGGGGCTACAGCCATGGTTCTTGCTCTCTTCTTGCGCGCATATGTATATTGTAGGCGAAGACTATTAAATTCCACCTCAGAAACAGATGGTTTTTTAGTGGGAATATAATTCAAACCACTTATTGGAGCGTCTTCAGAAAAGTAATCCAGTAAGAACTGAGGTACAGCTGTTCTCTGTCTTCTTTTGATAGTATGCTTACTTGGGTTGTACATGTTTAATTTGCTTGTTAAATTCAATAAAAAAATAGAGTAAAGGATTATGATACTCTAAATGAGTTCTGGTATTGGTAACTGATTGCGTCACTAAAGTGGACCGTTTTGTAAAGCTCAAGGGCTGTAGAAAACCATATGGTAGCACGAAATTGACTAATTTAGAAAAACAAGTAACAAGTGGTAAAATTATCAGCCTTACATTAGATAACACCACCAGAGATTTTTGTTATCATTTTGGGTGAAAATTGGCACCTAAGCAATATGATTGGCTTAGAAGCCAAAATATTGTAATTTGTTTTTGTACTCAATTTTTTTCATCCAAATAAAGGATAAAATTAAGTTCAGTACTACTTGTGGGCTTTTAAAGTAAGAAAAAAAACTGTTAGGGAAGTCAGAAAGTGTTCAAGTGAGACAAAAGATTTATTAATGAAAGTTGGGGGTTGGTTTGAGTAACCAAAAAATGACTTCACAGAAATTACGCAAAAAAATTGATGTTGAGAAGAAGAAAACAGAAGGTTCAAATAATAATTATAATAATAATAAAGAAGTAGCATCATTTTATTCATCAAAAAGAATATTATTGAAAATGAACCAGTAGGAACCGAACTTGCTCAAATTTACAATGTAAAATAGGTTGCGGAAAATGTGTAAATCTAACTTACAAACGAGATTCATGTTAGCAACATCAGAATGCTCACCTGTCATTACAGCCTTGGCATAGTTATTGTTTCTGTCATTATCCGTACGAGGAACAATGTTAAGAAACTTAACAACAGAGCCTGAGACAAGTCCTATACGAGGGCAAGAGATTGGATCATCTTTAAAAACAAACGCAACAAAACTGTTGTTTTGGACGGCATCATCTTCAATATCTCCAGTGTCATTGTTGTCCTTTAGCTCTCTCAAGATGCCAAAGAAGGTGTAATTGAACAAGGATTCATTGTTGTCCTTAATGAACCTCTCTATTCCAGTTCCAGACTTCTCTCAGTTGCCAGAGCTATTAATCTACAACCCGCTGTCAATTGCATGTTGCAATGCTATCTGCTTTGCAAACTTTAGGCAAACATCCATGGAAGTGTTTTGGCGATTCGTATGAAACAGATGTTCGCAAATGTGCTTATTGAACTGTTCGCCCTTTTCTGTTTCATAATTGAGGGCTGGGCCAAAACGAATTATATCTTCCTTGAGATGTGTCAAGTAATGAACTTTCGGCTTGGTGCAATATGCCTTGTGGAGCTCGTTCTTGGTTCCTTTATTGTAGTCAAATAATGCTCTGATCAAGCGCTTCACTGTATTATCTACTCTGATAATATAGTTATCAAAGTCTGATGTCACCTGACAAATGAATACCAGAGAACACAATCGGTCAAGTTCAACAAAGCATGGTATTACAAGTTCTAGCTCATGATTTCCAGAGAATTCTGTAATCAGAATTACAGGAAGTATTTGAAGCAGAACCTTGAAATCTCTACCGAGGAATGAACTACTATGTCTCAAGTTTTGGGTGAACTTTCTTGATAGACCAGTTGATTGCGTGTAATCTGTCAAGAATTCTGAAAGTCTTGCTATTGTGGCTGTGTCATTCTTAAGCACGACCTTAACCAAGTCAATCACCATATACTTTGCAACACCAAGAAGTATTGTGTGGAGGATTTCCACTGGTGTATCCTTTTCTGGATCAAATGACTGCAATTCTAATAAGTGGCTAGTCAAACGATCTCTAAAGCTTATCTTGTTTGCAGGCGTGTTCATTCCAATTTTCAGAGCATTTGGGATCTCAGTGTCTCTGCCAGGTGACGAGTTTGCAAGAACATAGTGCTCTCGAGTTTGTCTCTCATGGCACTCACAGAAGTAGGACAAGTCCTTCACAAAGTCTTTTGCACGTCTAAGTTTGATGTAGCATCTTCTGCAAGGAAATGTGATGGCCAGCCCAAGCAATCCGCAAAGTTCCGAATGACATGGCGTGTCAGCCTCAATCCAAAGGATGGGAGCAACAACCAGAACATACTCATTGTCTTCAGCAGAGAACATTTTTACACCTTTCTCAAGTTTCTTAAAGTCATCAACGATTGCTGGCAGAAGAGACATACCATTTGCACCATCTTTCTTAGGGATTGTAGAAAGAAACTGGATGTTTGCTATCGAATTTCGATCCTTAAAAGGCAAGGCAGCGCATCTCATTAACCAGCTTTCAAATGGATTGTACTGCTTTGAACGATTGCCAGAAGTGTCATCTGTAAAAAGGATGATTGAAACAATCCTAACTTTGTAAAATACTGCATCGCGATCTACATTACCAGGCAAAACAGAAAGAGGCATAGGCTTCTTCATTGAATGAACTCCAAAAAGAAGAAAGTCATGAGCAGGACTCAATCTGGTAAGGCTACTTGAGATACTGTAGTAGTGATCTCTTTTAACAGGAGTGGTGTCAACGTGAGAGATCTGCTCTACTCTAAGATTGGTAACAGCAACCTCAATGCCATAGCATACAATTGAAATCGCTCTGACCAGATACCCTCTCGCAAAAATGTTTTTATTTGCCGTGTGGAACGATTCAACCAAAAAGCAGATGCTGCAATCATTTGTCTTCAAGTAAACGATGTTTCCAAACCAGACATCTATACCATTTACAGTGTGCATAGGCTGCTGAAAGAGATGGTGGGTTCTTCACTTTTCACCTTGTTCCAAACAGATCGATTGGTTTGGGGTACAATCAGGCATGAATGAGATCAACTTGGATTTCTTTGGGTTTGCCATACGAAATCTCAAGTGGTTGGGCGGAAGATTAATGTGAGCAAATGCGTTTCTGTTTGATCCAGGTACTGATATTCTTTGTGAAGGAAAGACAGGCATCTTGGACTTCTTTCTTGCCTGATAATTTAAAAGAGCATCCAAACAAGGTAACTTAAATGTTCTTCCTATGGGAGTTTCTTGCTGGATCTTACTGATCAAGTTCATCGCAAGCAGTATCTTCTTCAACATTTGCTGGGAGATCATGTCATTATCCCCATTGATAAAAGCAAAAAGGATCATGGTTTGAAGATCGCAAAAAGGATAACAGCTTGTAAGGTCATTTACAGCACCAATTGTCTCAAAGACTTCTTCCGGGATCTCAGAGTCATCATCAGTCATTGATACCTCATCAGCAGCAGCAGCAGAAGAAAAAATGTCAAAGAATGCATTGAAAACTGGATTACTGTTCATTTCAATATCAAAGAAATTATCGACAATATTGTTTTCCTCATCTACAATGTTGTTTTCTTCATCCCCAATACTGGAGGAGTCATCTTTGTCACTTGAGTAATCAAATACATTAGCATCCGGAATAGTGTTCTTGACTATCAATTTGGTCTGTTCGGGTTTGTTGAGTACAGTATTGGTTGCCATTTGATTACTTATATGGTGAACCTTTGAATGCCTTTTCAGTAACCAAGGCTTTTCGAACTCTTTTTTGCATTCAGAGCAGGTAAAAACACCTGAATTGATGCTAAAGTTAAGTTTGCCTTGCCTTTTAGGGAGGTGAGTCTTAACGATTTTATATGTTTCTTGTCTTGTATTCTTTTGCATAATAGTAAATTTATTGTAAAAACAAAGGGGGGGAAATGACTTTGCGAAAATAATTGAATTTATAAAATGTGCAAAGATCAATATTTAATGTCAGCAGACCAATTAGAATTTTTTTTACTTCTTTTATTTTAAGAAAATATCGCGTGTTTTTGTCTTCTTTTTCATTTTACTTTTCCACAAAATATTTATTATTTGCATGAGCTTCCATTTGTAAGATATTCCAGTATGCTTATAGTATTTATAGAAGCAGAATTTTGCTTAAAGACTGTAAGCTCAAAGATATTTATGCTATCAAAGTTTTTTATGTCATTGTGTTTATTAATCATACAATTCTAGTTTATAAATTAGTTTTTCATCATCTCGGTAAATCAATAAAGAGGTAATAACTACATGTTCCTCTTACAAAGCAACAGAAGACTAACTATTTACTCCTCACTTGCAGAGATTTGACTGTCTTTTATTGCAAATGCCTTAATAGAGTCAAAGATAAAATTCTGTTAAATATATATAACTAAGTTTAATTACTAATTATTAGTTCTTCTGCTTTAGCTTTTCTTGAAATTCAAATCTTTATGCTCTTTGGGTTTATTGGCATTTCTGGTACCAGGTCTCTTGGATTAGCTAGACATAGTAGTTTGCAGCAAACCAATCGCTTAATTTACAGGCATAAGTACAAACAGCTATACTACTAGTGTTTCTAGTGGTATGGATATACTGGTGTGCTACTGCCTGTGGATTTTATGGTCCAGTCTAGATTTTTTTTTAGCCTAATTTTTTTTCGAAAATAAAAAATAAATTTTTTACAACCCAAAATTATTTGAAACAAATTAAAAATTTGAACCATTTTTGAAATTGTGCAGTACATTTTTTAATCGAAATCTATTGGCCGAGAGTAGTCCCCCCATCCCCCCACTTTTCAGTCCCCCAAAAAAATGAATTTCCTGTTATGGGCAAAATTCGCCCCTTATATAAGAATCCTTTTAAGGAACAAGATTACACAAAAAAATCTGCTGTGGTGAAATTTAGAGCAATTTAAACCCTTTTTAGAAGCTCTGTACTGGTACTCATAATTTTTTGGGTTGTTTAACTCAGACAGCTATTTCACCACAGCAGATTTTTTGTGTAACAATTTTGTAATTCAGCCCGTGAGTTTATGTTACCATTTTGGGAATAGCTTTTCATTGAAGTTTCAGGTCCAAAAGAATTGCAAAATTGATAAATGGGATTGCAAAAAAAAATTGGCTGGTAAAATACAATTTTATTTATTTTTATGGGTTGAAAATATTGGGGGTAGATAATTTGAGGCTTCCCATGCCTACCCTGCAGTAGCTGCTACTGTAGGGTAGGTATGCTTGTGCTAGCAGCTAGAAATATTTAATAGCTACTCTGAAAATGTTTCCAGAAACAAAAGCAAATAGAATTTTGAAAAACCCAATTGCATGTTTGAAAGCAAAAACTATATTAATGCTTTTAAAATAAAAGCAAAGAAGCTACTGGAAGGACAAGTTTCAAATCCGAGTGAAAATGTCAAACCTGCAAAAAAAACAAAGGTCATTAGTACATGGACTTTTGATGAAGATTACTATGTTTTAGATGACTTACCACATATTAATTGAATCTAAAACAAAAACAAAAACAAAAAACAAAACAAAGCAAAAAAGAAGAAGACATATGTTTATGTTAGTATGGATAAAATCAGTATACAAGCAAGATTCTTTACATATCTCTTTATGTCAAGAATTCACATGCCCTATTATACTTCAATTAGATTTTATTAATCAGAACTCGTAATAGAATCACATCATTAGCAATACCTTTTAAGATCTTAATCATGTGGGAGGATCAGAGTTGATCTGTAGTATAATTAGCTAATGAGTAGCAAGATCATGTGCCATTTGTTGCCTGATTTTTAGAAAAATGAAAAAAGTTGTATGAAACAAAAAAAGACACTCAATGTTTATTTTTTGTGTCAAGCTAAACTGTAACAAATTAATGAATTTCATTGGTTTTTGAAGACCATTATATGCTTATTACTGGTTACATGAGTAACACTTTTCATTGGTTTCTGAAAGAAATCAACTTGATGTTTCAAGATGCAGAAATAAATAAATATATGGTGGTCATCTATACTCCTTTATCACGTTAGACAATACGTTGCATCACGAAAGCCCTGTGATGCAGCATATTATTAATTACCCAAAAAATTCTAGGGTGGTAGTTTCTGCTCCCAAAGGACCAGGTCAACACAATTTTGCCTTAGACAATATTGGAAAGCCCTGCTCACTTTGTGGAAAAGATTTCAATTGCGTATGGAATCTACAATGCCACCTTACCAAATATCATAAGTTAGCAACTCATATTGCTAACGATATTAGCTCTCAATATGCCAATAGAAACCTAGTGTCACAAAGACAGACCATGAACACTGCTGAGCTGACCGCCCCTGATCACAATGATGATTCTGTTAACAAAGACCTACACGTTGAATCCGATTTGGAGGATGACAACAGCAGCAATGTTGACAACATGAACAGTGATGGCAACAATAATGTTAGCGAGATTGAACTCGATGCCAGTGAAAGTATTATCGAGATGGATGAGGACACCAGCCCCTTTGAAAGTCCAAGTTCAGGTAACCACCTATACATGCATATAAGAAATTGTATGTTGTCTTCTGCATCCAATACCAGCTCATCGTTGGATGCAGATCTCGATTTACTGAGAGAAGCAACTGGATTGCATACAACATGGAACCAGTATACATCAGACACCCACCTGTTCCTGGATCTCCAGTCTATGGTACTGCTTGCCTTTGTTGATGGCAATAATGACATGGTATCTCGCAGGATCTTGAAAAAGATCCTGTTTACCATAAGTCTTGTCCTTAAGCTTCACAAGAAAGCTATCCAAAAGAAGTTCCCATTCAAGTTACCTCGTTTGGACGCCCTCTTGAACTATCAGACCAGAAAAAAGTCCAAGATTCCTGTATTTCTGTTCACAAAAGTCGATATCCAGTTGCCAGAAAACAAGGCCACGTCAGCTTATATCAACTTGCCTTCAGACCACGTCCGGTTTCTTGCTGCAAACCCCAAGAAAGCAAGAAACATGTTTTCCCTCCCTGACTGCACTCCTAACCAGTCCATTTGTCTACAACAAGACGAAAAGTGGAGAATACATTGGTACTATCAACAACCTATGTTCATTCACAACGGCGTAGATTTTTGGTCTGGTGATATTGTTAACTTTATGAATGGTTCTACTCCAGCCTGTTTCCTAGTAGAATCATTCCATACCATGGATAACTCAGCCGTTTTTGTTCAAGGCTACATGGTTTATATTCTGGAAGGCGGTCAGTTCATTGGCATCAAAGTTGAATCTACTAGCATAAAGTTTGAAACTCTTCTCAGTATTGACTCGACCCCTGTTGATGTTGCCCTATGCTACAACGTCTCACCTGGAAAAGTATTTCATTTGATTCCCAGGCACAAGTTCTTGCTGGAAGAGGCTCATTTCTTAAAACAGCACATACTAGACAAAACCAGAAAGCCAATCGATCCAAAGTTGTTTTACAAGGTGAGGATATTGCCCATTATACTCTTCACCAACAATACCTCTGGAAACCAATCAAAGCAATATAATCTGTATGAAAGCTGGTCAATGAAGTTTGCTGCTCTCTCCTACGAAGAGAAGTTGTTATAAATAAGTATTGACTACTGCTGTAATTGAGAATAAGTCTGAAGGAAATAATATAAGACCTCAGCTATTCCAGTCAAAGGTGTGTACTGATTACTTTATTATTTAACACACAGGTTTAGCATGCATGATAGTGATTATATTTCATATGATGATATCACCATAATATGGGATACATCAGTGGATTATTATAAGCATAATTATAACTCATAAACACATTTACTTTCGATGTTAATACTTCATTGGGACTACACACATTTATATAATTAATCTTACATTAATTATCCCAAGATCACGTTGCTCTGATTAAGGCTCAGATAGGATCGATTACCTGACCCCAGTCATATAATTTTCCCAATCCAAAATAATATAAATAGCAGTAGTAGTTCAGTGTAGGAACCTGGTCAAACTTTGATACAAAATCTTTTCTCAATAAACAAAACCTACACAAGTTCTCACAAATCTTTGTTCCTAATCTCAAATCTTCAATTCTTCCTCTTAAAAACTTCTTCAACTTCAACCACCACAACAGAGGTCTTCAATTGAAAACATCCACTTTCTCTCTGCTATTCCCAAGAAAAAGGGGGCAAGTGGGATGTCCTTTTTGCCTAAAATCGTTGAAGATTTCAAAAGGCTCAAAAACAGACTGGTGATGTTCTCTGCCAAAGACAACGAAAACGTCTTAGTAGCATCACCACTCCTTTGGATCGAGGCAGACACTCCATGCCATTCTGAACCATGTGGTTTGCGCGCACCGACAAGTCTGTACCCATGCCGCAAATGTTATGTCCATTTACAAAGATCCATGCCCAACCTCCAAAGCTCTTTGTATTATACTGGTAGACACACAGCAAGAACAAAGGCACACTATCTTGCTGCTGCGTCTACCTTGGGACGTGGATAGACTATTCCAGATGCTCCTTTGACTGGAAATGCTCTGACAGCAAGTGACCTATGCTTCGCAAATAGGGCAACAGATGCATTGTTGGAACTACAGTCATTCGATCCATCGACAGATACTCCAGTTGAAGTTCTGCATAACATACTTCTTGAAGTTGCTAAGTATCTAGTCAATGATTTGGTAAAGGTTGTACTAAAGAAAAATCCTAACCAAATGGCTAGATTGTCCAAAGCCCTCAAGGATTATGAAAACTCTCAAGGAATGTCAAGAAAGTTCACTTGAGAGTTACGACACTGTGGCTCATTCCTTGGGAGGGATTACAAAGTTCTTCTGCAAATTCTACCCGCTATCTTAGTTACAGAATTTACAAATGATAGTATACTCTCTCTCATAACTCCATCTTTTGTCTATCTTGGCCGTCTTTGCTCCTTGGTGTTTGTTAGAACAGTAAGGTATGATTATAATATGTATATCAACGAAGTTGAAAAGGCAGTTACAAGCCTTATTCAAGAACTGCATTATTATGACATTACCTGTGAAATCAAAGGATATAATTCATATTTCTCAAAGCCCAAGGTTCACCTGCTCACACATCTGCCCGACAATCTATGAAGATTTGGAACTGCTCTATACTACAACACCAAAAAAGGTGAGCAGTTTAACAAACACATCCGTAAGCACCTAATGCATACCAATAGGTTAAACACCTCAAGAGATGTATGTCTCAAGTTTGCCAAGCAATCTGCAATGAGACACATCATTGATGGTAGTTCATAGGTGAGCAAAGACAAAATGAGAGAGAATTATAGTAATTCCACAGCAGAATTTCTTAAAGAAAACTTTAACAACAATGTTAAGAATATCCTGTTTAGTGAATTAAGAGACTTTGCTGATAATAACAACACTGATGACATTACAGAAAAAGTACTCTGTGACAATACCTTTGCAGTGTTCATGCTCAAGGAGAGTAGAGACTAACATGCCCATCCATTTATTGGAAAGGTCTCCTCTTTGAGAGTAGAACACTATCGAGTTGAGAGTAGTCCCCATGCTCAAGTTAACAACTAGCTCCTCGCGCAAAGGGTTTCCAATGATGCATCTACTCCACTCAATCAGCTGAAGATTGTATGTAAGCTTGATATGCACACAGAATTTAACAACAAGCTTGTCATCAATCTCAGTAAATTTGGCTCCTACTGGTTCTTTGTTTCCTTGTTTTCGAATCGACAATATTGATTTTTTTTTATCTTTATTAATAAAAAAAATTATTCAATAAAAAAATTGTGATTTTCACCAAGTCATTTTTCGGTTTTGCCAAAATATTGAGAGAGTCCATTTATGGATACTTGCCTTTTTAAAATTGTCTAATGTAGTTGACAAGTCTCATAAAATAGGTCAAATTCGATATCCCAATTAATCTGGGTTATATAGACCAATCAAAATGCATGTGAGTAAAATATTTTCAAATTTGATATCGAAAATCTCCCGTGGTGTTTAATTGGGAAAATAAAGAGGACTATTGTTTTTTGTTTGCAAGTTTGATCAAAGTCAAGAACACAGCCAATCAATTAGATATATTATAAATTCAGTTTTCTGACATTGACAATTTTTAAATCATATCACTGTACAAATCTGGATAACAATTTCTCTATCAAAGTGCAAATTTCCCTCACAAAATTATTTGTCACATTTGCTAACTGCATAGTGTTATCTAGTTATCTAGTTCACCACAACAGATTTTTTTGTGTAATCTTGTTCCTTAAAAGGATTCTTGTATAAGGGGCGAATTTTGCCCATAACAGGAAATTCATTTTTTTGGGGGACTGAAAAGTAGGGGGATGGGGGGACTACTCTCGGCCAATAGATTTCGATTAAAAAATGTACTGCACAATTTCAAAAATGGTTCAAATTTTTAATTTGTTTCAAATAATTTTGGGTTGTAAAAAATTTATTTTTTATTTTCGAAAAAAAATTAGGCTAAAAAAAAATCTAGACTGGACCATAAAATCCACAGGCAGTAGCACACCAGTATATCCATACCACTAGAAACACTAGTAGTATAGCTGTTTGTACTTATGCCTGTAAATTAAGCGATTGGTTTGCTGCAAACTACTATGTCTAGCTAATCCAAGAGACCTGGTACCAGAAATGCCAATAAACCCAAAGAGCATAAAGATTTGAATTTCAAGAAAAGCTAAAGCAGAAGAACTAATAATTAGTAATTAAACTTAGTTATATATATTTAACAGAATTTTATCTTTGACTCTATTAAGGCATTTGCAATAAAAGACAGTCAAATCTCTGCAAGTGAGGAGTAAATAGTTAGTCTTCTGTTGCTTTGTAAGAGGAACATGTAGTTATTACCTCTTTATTGATTTACCGAGATGATGAAAAACTAATTTATAAACTAGAATTGTATGATTAATAAACACAATGACATAAAAAACTTTGATAGCATAAATATCTTTGAGCTTACAGTCTTTAAGCAAAATTCTGCTTCTATAAATACTATAAGCATACTGGAATATCTTACAAATGGAAGCTCATGCAAATAATAAATATTTTGTGGAAAAGTAAAATGAAAAAGAAGACAAAAACACGCGATATTTTCTTAAAATAAAAGAAGTAAAAAAAATTCTAATTGGTCTGCTGACATTAAATATTGATCTTTGCACATTTTATAAATTCAATTATTTTCGCAAAGTCATTTCCCCCCCTTTGTTTTTACAATAAATTTACTATTATGCAAAAGAATACAAGACAAGAAACATATAAAATCGTTAAGACTCACCTCCCTAAAAGGCAAGGCAAACTTAACTTTAGCATCAATTCAGGTGTTTTTACCTGCTCTGAATGCAAAAAAGAGTTCGAAAAGCCTTGGTTACTGAAAAGGCATTCAAAGGTTCACCATATAAGTAATCAAATGGCAACCAATACTGTACTCAACAAACCCGAACAGACCAAATTGATAGTCAAGAACACTATTCCGGATGCTAATGTATTTGATTACTCAAGTGACAAAGATGACTCCTCCAGTATTGGGGATGAAGAAAACAACATTGTAGATGAGGAAAACAATATTGTCGATAATTTCTTTGATATTGAAATGAACAGTAATCCAGTTTTCAATGCATTCTTTGACATTTTTTCTTCTGCTGCTGCTGCTGATGAGGTATCAATGACTGATGATGACTCTGAGATCCCGGAAGAAGTCTTTGAGACAATTGGTGCTGTAAATGACCTTACAAGCTGTTATCCTTTTTGCGATCTTCAAACCATGATCCTTTTTGCTTTTATCAATGGGGATAATGACATGATCTCCCAGCAAATGTTGAAGAAGATACTGCTTGCGATGAACTTGATCAGTAAGATCCAGCAAGAAACTCCCATAGGAAGAACATTTAAGTTACCTTGTTTGGATGCTCTTTTAAATTATCAGGCAAGAAAGAAGTCCAAGATGCCTGTCTTTCCTTCACAAAGAATATCAGTACCTGGATCAAACAGAAACGCATTTGCTCACATTAATCTTCCGCCCAACCACTTGAGATTTCGTATGGCAAACCCAAAGAAATCCAAGTTGATCTCATTCATGCCTGATTGTACCCCAAACCAATCGATCTGTTTGGAACAAGGTGAAAAGTGAAGAACCCACCATCTCTTTCAGCAGCCTATGCACACTGTAAATGGTATAGATGTCTGGTTTGGAAACATCGTTTACTTGAAGACAAATGATTGCAGCATCTGCTTTTTGGTTGAATCGTTCCACACGGCAAATAAAAACATTTTTGCGAGAGGGTATCTGGTCAGAGCGATTTCAATTGTATGCTATGGCATTGAGGTTGCTGTTACCAATCTTAGAGTAGAGCAGATCTCTCACGTTGACACCACTCCTGTTAAAAGAGATCACTACTACAGTATCTCAAGTAGCCTTACCAGATTGAGTCCTGCTCATGACTTTCTTCTTTTTGGAGTTCATTCAATGAAGAAGCCTATGCCTCTTTCTGTTTTGCCTGGTAATGTAGATCGCGATGCAGTATTTTACAAAGTTAGGATTGTTTCAATCATCCTTTTTACAGATGACACTTCTGGCAATCGTTCAAAGCAGTACAATCCATTTGAAAGCTGGTTAATGAGATGCGCTGCCTTGCCTTTTAAGGATCGAAATTCGATAGCAAACATCCAGTTTCTTTCTACAATCCCTAAGAAAGATGGTGCAAATGGTATGTCTCTTCTGCCAGCAATCGTTGATGACTTTAAGAAACTTGAGAAAGGTGTAAAAATGTTCTCTGCTGAAGACAATGAGTATGTTCTGGTTGTTGCTCCCATCCTTTGGATTGAGGCTGACACGCCATGTCATTCGGAACTTTGCGGATTGCTTGGGCTGGCCATCACATTTCCTTGCAGAAGATGCTACATCAAACTTAGACGTGCAAAAGACTTTGTGAAGGACTTGTCCTACTTCTGTGAGTGCCATGAGAGACAAACTCGAGAGCACTATGTTCTTGCAAACTCGTCACCTGGCAGAGACACTGAGATCCCAAATGCTCTGAAAATTGGAATGAACACGCCTGCAAACAAGATAAGCTTTAGAGATCGTTTGACTAGCCACTTATTAGAATTGCAGTCATTTGATCCAGAAAAGGATACACCAGTGGAAATCCTCCACACAATACTTCTTGGTGTTGCAAAGTATATGGTGATTGACTTGGTTAAGGTCGTGCTTAAGAATGACACAGCCACAATAGCAAGACTTTCAGAATTCTTGACAGATTACACGCAATCAACTGGTCTATCAAGAAAGTTCACCCAAAACTTGAGACATAGTAGTTCATTCCTCGGTAGAGATTTCAAGGTTCTGCTTCAAATACTTCCTGTAATTCTGATTACAGAATTCTCTGGAAATCATGAGCTAGAACTTGTAATACCATGCTTTGTTGAACTTGACCGATTGTGTTCTCTGGTATTCATTTGTCAGGTGACATCAGACTTTGATAACTATATTATCAGAGTAGATAATACAGTGAAGCGCTTGATCAGAGCATTATTTGACTACAATAAAGGAACCAAGAACGAGCTCCACAAGGCATATTGCACCAAGCCGAAAGTTCATTACTTGACACATCTCAAGGAAGATATAATTCGTTTTGGCCCAGCCCTCAATTATGAAACAGAAAAGGGCGAACAGTTCAATAAGCACATTTGCGAACATCTGTTTCATACGAATCGCCAAAACACTTCCATGGATGTTTGCCTAAAGTTTGCAAAGCAGATAGCATTGCAACATGCAATTGACAGCGGGTTGTAGATTAATAGCTCTGGCAACTGAGAGAAGTCTGGAACTGGAATAGAGAGGTTCATTAAGGACAACAATGAATCCTTGTTCAATTACACCTTCTTTGGCATCTTGAGAGAGCTAAAGGACAACAATGACACTGGAGATATTGAAGATGATGCCGTCCAAAACAACAGTTTTGTTGCGTTTGTTTTTAAAGATGATCCAATCTCTTGCCCTCGTATAGGACTTGTCTCAGGCTCTGTTGTTAAGTTTCTTAACATTGTTCCTCGTACGGATAATGACAGAAACAATAACTATGCCAAGGCTGTAATGACAGGTGAGCATTCTGATGTTGCTAACATGAATCTCGTTTGTAAGTTAGATTTACACATTTTCCGCAACCTATTTTACATTGTAAATTTGAGCAAGTTCGGTTCCTACTGGTTCATTTTCAATAATATTCTTTTTGATAAATAAAATGATGCTACTTCTTTATTATTATTATAATTATTATTTGAACCTTCTGTTTTCTTCTTCTCAACATCAATTTTTTTGCGTAATTTCTGTGAAGTCATTTTTTGGTTACTCAAACCAACCCCCAACTTTCCTTAATAAATCTTTTGTCTCACTTGAACACTTTCTGACTTCCCTAACAGTTTTTTTTCTTACTTTAAAAGCCCACAAGTAGTACTGAACTTAATTTTATCCTTTATTTGGATGAAAAAAATTGAGTACAAAAACAAATTACAATATTTTGGCTTCTAAGCCAATCATATTGCTTAGGTGCCAATTTTCACCCAAAATGATAACAAAAATCTCTGGTGGTGTTAGAAAGGCTAATAGGAGTTTTAAATATGTGCAAAGATTTTGCAGATGTACAATTTTTTTTTGGAAATCCTTGCACATTATTTTCTATAGTGTTATCTTCTCTTTTCAGTGTTACAAGAGTTCCCTTTGTTTAACCAAGCTTACATATTTCTAGTCTCGTTTATCTACATCTATATCTTATCATTTCTTCTATTAATAATTATGAGTATAAATATCTCAATATCTCAATTAATAAACAGTACCTAAAGTCTACTTTATTTTTTTGTTGTAAAACTTCTTGAAAGATTCAGCTCTGCTCTTTAGCACTGACTGCACTGAGATTGAGAATCTGGAACTATACTTCAAATTCCTAGCTGTTGTCTAGACAAACACTCTTTATAGCCAAACATCATACGTCACACGTTCAACATTACAAGAACTATAGATATATAAATCATTATATCTATAAAATATATGTATGTGTGATTATCTTGTAAGGCTTTGATAAAAGGTTTTGTGTTATGGATCTCTTGCTTAATATTGTTATTGTCTAAAAGCTATAAGTTATAAATCAGTTAGTACTTTGTAAAGCCTCAAAGACTTGTCAACAATAGTAATAGTGAGAAGAAATAGAAAGAAAAAGACTTTACGAAATAAAAAACAAGTTTGCAATAAAAAAATATTAGTAGGTATGACTGTTTCTGGTATAAGCTCAGATCCAAGGTATAGAGTTCATAGGGTTTGTTTGACTCTCTAGTTGATTCTTCTTTAATCAAGCAAGCGGTTCTCTTTATTCAGCAATCAAGATGGTTTCCTGGGTTGACGACGAGACTTTCATCTTCAAAATATTTCTCTAGAGCCAAAATAAAATAGAAATATTCTAAACTTGGTAAGTGCTAGATGGTGTTCAAAAATCTGTCATTTCTTTCCAAAATTAGGCAGCTTGTTTCAAATACTCGTAGATTTTTTTCTAGTGCTACTTGCTTTCTTGTTACAACACACTCGCCCAATTTGATACTATACCAATATCCTGCATCCCAAGACGCTGGAAAGAAAAATATGTAGAAAAAGAAGGTAGTATATATGATAATGGCCATAATTATGTAATAATTCTCTCATATAATATATTATTATGTAGATCACTCGACTATCCAAAATGCAACACCAGTACCACCAAACAACAATAGAATTAGATCCCCAAACCCTAAATTTGCTTATGACTTTGAGCTTGTCTACAAACGTTTCAACAATGCGCAGAGCAAGCAAGAACAGATCACAGTCTACCAACTGATAAAAAAAACTATTAGAACAAATCAGCACCCAAAAACTTGAAAATCTTAATGGCCCAACAATAGTGAGAGCCATTAAAGGCCGACCAAAAAATATCAGACACAAGATGATTGTATTAGGGCATTGCATCAAAATCAAAAAAGAAAAAACCCCCGAAAAAGAAAAGACTTTACTTGTAAGATATTGTTTAGATTTAATTTGCTGAATTTTCGCTCTGTTTTCTATAAAAAAATATCCTCAGCTAAAGAGGAAAAATCCATAAAAATTATTCTTAACCTTGGGCCACTGTGGTATTTCAGGTACGAAACAATAGAAAAATAAAATATTTGATAATAGAGACGTATAGAAATACTTTGAGACTGTATATAAGTTGTCTTTATTCATAAATAAAAAGTGTCCCTTTTTATAAGAAAACACAATCTGCTCTTGTCATTACGTCTTAGTTTCTTAAGGCTTTCTTCCTTTACTATATTTGGTTATTAGAGTGTATTTACTGCTTAACTAGTGTCGGTGTTACAATTATGACATCAAGTCATAAATTGTACTTCTTTAGCTCTTAGCTATTCTTTTCTCTTTTATACTAGAGCTTTAGGACTTCCTACTAAATTAGCTCCATATCGATCTGACACAGTTTACCCGGCAGTATGATATAATTATCTTAACAATCTTTAAGATATTATCTACAGTACTAACTGTAATAATTATTGGGCTGATTACTTAATCGTTTATATATATTTTATACTGACAAGATGATAGCTACTACGCTATCCCAATATGAATATGTTCTTATATGTGATAAATCCAACATCCGAGTGTCTGGATCACCACAGCCACCATGTAATCCCACATTACTAAAAAACCTCACAATCGCACCAAAACATATATCTATAATCTTTTCTCCCGAAGCAGGTGGAAATTGTGTGTACAGGATGGTAGAAATTGAGGTGCACCAGGGCCAGGAGGAGTGGTTAAAAGTAAAGGACAAAATTTTAGAAACATTCTTAAAGCATCAACACAATTACTACCAAAGAAGAATGGAGCATATACATATGCCTGCATCCTCTAACCCACTTATCTGCAGTCTCCAAGACAAGCTCTCACCTCTCCCCCAGCTACATTGGTTCGATACATTCGACCATCCTCAACTTGCAGCCGATACATTTAACAGAACAGTGGCTGTATATTGTAATACTCCAATTGAAACAGGCGCTTGTTTTTTTGTTCCATTAGCTTCCTTGCCAGAAAAAGTGGAGCCGATAAGTATTATTTTAGATGTAAACCACTTTCTTCTTGCCAAGCGCAAAAACACTCGAAATTTCTGCTGGCCAAACATCAACCCCTTTCATAAAAGAATAATTCAAAAACATGGCCTTGAGGGTTATTCTTTGATGTACTAACAATCAAGGTATGGCCTTCAAAATAAAAGCATCTTGAATTATACTAACTTTTCATTTATTTTTTACTTTTTAAATCTCTATATGTATCTCTATTATCAATACTTCTTTCCTTGTCTATTCAATTTCTTCCTATATCTATATTTATATATATCTTTATATTTATCTCCTTATTATCGTGTTTATGGGATCCGTAGCAATAAAGATAAAATGGAGTATTACAAAAGGTGATTGAAGCTGATCACTCCTTTTAAAGCTCGCCAAACTGTCTGTAGATCCGATTCAGACTACATCACAGCTTCACAATCCAGAGCAGACACTATAGTTGCCAATTAACCTGGCAGGGTCACATCCCAGAAACGTAACACTCTCCGGACATACATACGCTTTACACTGCTTCGTTGATAGTCAAACATTAATTAACAGATATATTGATTTAGAAAACCAGCTATCTATATAATTAGCTGCGATATGTTTTAAATAAGAAACAGCTCGTACAGTAACTATTGTTTTCATTGCAAGTTATTCATTTTCTCGATAAAGTCAAGCTTTAAATATAAGAATTTGAATAAAGAAGTTGTAGTATTACGTACGTGCGTAAGATATGCCATCATCTATTTTATTTTTACTTCATATTTTTAGCTGTGCAGATGTCAGAATCCTGTATCTTAAGACTGAATATCAAAGGAACACATAATAGAATCCACTAATATATCACACATTGGATAAGATTGGAATACAATTTCAATATACTGTGCGTATTTTAGAAATCACATATTCTATATATTATTTGTACACCCTAGTAATATAAACGCCTAATTAACAATTACAAAATCGATTGGTCCTGATTCTGCAAGTGCCAAAAGACCTTACTAATAATTCATTTAATGAAAAGCTACAAGGGGGTACCAAATGCAAAACAATAAACATCACCTTAGTTCAGTCCTACATATTATATCGATCATCTCTCGGATGCATTAAACAGCCCAGATATAAATGCATATCCCACAAGGATTATAAGAGGTAAGAGTTGTATAAGAGAAGTCCACCAAGGATATGTCGTTTGCTGTGCAAATGTTTGTGTTGTACGTCCTCCAGCTCCACCACCCGTGTAAAATGTTTGTGTACGGAATCCTGGTCCCACAAAGGTTGCACTACTGAAGCCAGGTCCACCAAAGCTTTCCCCAAAGCCACCATTAAAGAATGTATTGAAAAGATCTTCTGGTGATATTTCTTCTCCCATTCCCCCCCGTTGAAATCCTCGCGCATTACTAAATGCAGAAGCAAAGCTAGCTCCAGCATTGCCTCTCTGTTCAGGATCACCTCCAGATGAGTCATGGATGGCTTTCTTCCGAGGATCAGACAAAACTGTAAATGCCTTTGAAATTACTATTTGGAATTAAAGTATATTAGCATACAATTATACAAAAACCAAAACCAGAGCAAAACCACTACTCCCCAACCCACACTTGAAAGCTTCGTCTGCGCCAGGAGCGCTGTTCTTGTCTGGATGAAATTGCAATGCAAGCTATAATTAACCACAACGTTAGCCAAGCCTAATGTGTGCCTTTCCTTTTCGACATACCTTACGATAAGACTTTTTGATCTCTATCTCGGTACAATCTCTTTTTAACCTCAAAACCTTGTAATAGTCCGTCCCACATGCCAGTATTTCTTTCACTGCCATTGCTTGTTCAGGTGTATATTTGTTGTCAGATGATGTCTTCACTGATTGGGATCCTGCTCTAGGTCTTTGTCGTGTCCCAGAGGTTGATGATTCATTTATTACTGTTGCTGGCTCCGCCATCTTGATTTCTTGGAGAAAGTCTTTGGCTTAATCAGAAGGAAACAGGCCAAGTGATTTCTTTGTCAGGCTTAGCGCTGCAGGAATTTTGCCATTGTAATACTCTGTCTTAGCAATCGAGAGGCAGGAAAATGCTTCTTTTTATTTTGTATCCATACGCTAGATTGATGTATTCTAATATACCTTTTACTTGAGAGTTGGAGAAAGAAGAATGGACGTTTTCATGTGTTATTGTGTCGCCTATAAGAAAACTCTATGCAATCAGCTGTTTTTGATTGGCTACAGTGGAACGGGCGTCCAAGAGAATGTGAAGTTCGGGGGAGGGAGTTTTTTTTTGTGAGATTTGATCTTCATTATTTTTGGTTGAATTTCATATTTTCTTACTAGATATTTTCACACCTCAACAATTAGACACAATGAATTGATCTAGATATATATATATAAGTTTAAACTATCGGTTTCGGTTCAGATATATCGATGTTTATAGCGATATATTTATTGGCAACTCGAATGATCACGTAAGAAAAACATGTCTATTTCGATGAGAAAATACATTATAATATAGGCATACGGCATGAGAGACAAGTGGTGATTCATACCGTGATATTTTAGTATACAATGTATTTTCGCCGTTGTAAGTAGAACATAATGTAAAAAGAAATGCTATTATTAGTACTTTTGGATGAATTATTGGCACCATGCTTTCATGGGGTTTCTTCAGCCATGCTCCAATAACTAACCACAGTCTCTTAAGAGTAACTTTCATTTTTCCAATTTGTTATTCAATTATTTGAGTATTACGGTCCTAAACGAAGATAATTCGCCAAGAAATATCTTTTTGTAAAAGTACTATCCCAAACTCAACCTATGAAAGAATGGGCGAGAGAGGGCTTGATAAACCGTTATAATATATGCTGTCAAAACGGATAATCTATTCAAAGTTTATACCCTTCTCAGTGTACTATGACATAAAGATATACATACCATTATGTTTGTACATAAAGTAAGCTATTAAGCATTTTTCAACGGTGTAAGTATAAGATAAATGTGTTACATTTGTTAATAACCATTGCTTTTTAAATGATGCCTCCGAATATAGTGGTTATAAAGCTCATCCACACCGGTAAAAATATATCTCAGATTATTATAGAAAGTGTTAGTGATCTTATTTACTATAATTTGTTTGGACACACTAAAAATTTCAAAGAATCAAACGACTCTACCTAGCTAGTCTTTTTTAATTACAAATTGAATCGAGAAGAGGGTCATGTCTTTGATGGAATAGGTGCGCCACAATGTAAAATCCCTAGAAAACTCCAGAAGAAGATGTCTTTATCTAACGGAAGATATGATATTATGAGTACTGTATTTTTAACTTTTATGCATCTGAACTAACTTGAACTATTTTTTGGAACTTTTTAGTCTTTTTAGACGAAATTTAGACACATTTTAGGCAATTGATTATAAGTAGTTATTGAAATATTTAGAAACCCCAACCTTTTAAGAAATAAAGAAGTTTAGGGTACTAAATTTTCAACTAGAGATCGAGATTATTCTCGAAAACAATTAGACAAATGAGATATAATTTTCAGACGCTACAACGGCTCTTAGATAGTCCAGATTGGTTTTTTTATACATGTCCCTTTTTTATTGGACAAATAATATCAGCGTCTAAAGTTTCTTTTAATAATACATAGCAGTTAACCCTGGAAGTCAAAATAGAAAGAGTAACAAGAATTTAATATCAATGTTATGTAAGCACTACAGAGACAATAAAGAACCGTTGGAATACGACTATACTGCGAACAATAAAAAAAAGGAGAGGGAAGGAAGACAACTCCACTGATAACATGGTGTGAAGAGAGCATGGGAAGAAATAGTAAGCATATTAGTGAATAGCGGCAGAAAATACAACAAGAAAAAAAAAGGAAGAACATAAGATACAGTAGAAGGAAGCGGAAGGAAAAGAGATACCATTAGATGAAAGATATAGGCAAGTATAAGATTAACAATCAAGGGTAATACATACATAGTATATTGATACATCTTTAGAGGCCCAATTACCGTGTTACTTCTTATTAGTGGGAGAAGGTATTGGCAACCGAAAACAAATTAGCAATATTCCATCTAAATTGCCTATCATTGCTTTTGGTACTGGCTTGAAAGGCGAAAATCCTGTCAAGTTTGAAGGTTACCGTAAAGGATCTGTAGTGTTCTTTACCGAAAAATGAAGAATAGATAAAGTGGCGAAGAGCTTCCTGTGGCCGCTGTCAGCGATCTTTGGACCTCAAAGGTAAACCCAGTAAGCTTAACACATTTTTAAAGCTCGGTTAATAATGCTTTATTTCTTTGTTCTAAAGATTTACCACTTTTGTAACCAAAACAGCCGCATGGATGCTTTAATTGATTTTACGAGCATCCTCGCTTGCTAAAGTTGCGGAACGGTATGGAATAGAAATATGAATGCTTCCAAAAATATTTAACAGATTGTAGAAGCTTAACATATCCTTCATCGATCGCTTCCTTTCTCTCGAGATGAACAGCTTTTTCTCAACCATTAATATCGGCGTATTGAACATGGTTTTCTTCAAAGATATTTAGATTTTTACAGGTAAACTGTTCTTCAATTTTTTTTTAAAAAGATAACAGTGATTTCTCTCAATCTTATTTTATTTTTGTCTAAAGCCGAATTCTCATTGGTCTAAAAAGCCCTTATTTTCTTCAATTTTAAGTAGAAACATTGTATTAAACTACTCAGAAAATCGCTATTTTTTTGCCACCTTTGCATTGTTTCTTTGATGACAGCCTTACACTGGGAGTTTATGTCTCCTGCCAACATTTCCAAAAATTATAAAGGTATATGACACCACTTATCATGAAGGACTGCTTCTAATTAATCAATGTTTTGGTTTTTTTTTAATATCTATTGATTTCAATGCGCCTTTCCAAATAATCGCAAACGTGTTTAACTGAATTGAGATGCAAGCTTTGCGTAAAGTGAAAAAAAAAACACAAAGAAAAATAGGAATAAAGAAAGAATAATAAAGAAAAACTTGGAAGTTATAGTAGTAAACAAAAAGCACGAATATATTCAAAGTAAGTTCAGGAAACATAGAAGTGGTTCCTATATTAACCTTAGCATTTCGTTAAAAGATCCAACATATACCGGAAGCCAGAGCAATTCTAGCACCATGTAAAATAGGGAGACTATTTTCTAGTTCGGATCTGAACAGTATGTCCGTAGGAGGAGACGTGGGGTTTACCTTATACTCTAAATTTTATGTAGCACCAATAGGGAGTAGGCTAAGAAAAAGGGTCTCAAACCATTCTAATAAATTCAGTTCTCTTCCCTTGTTTTGTTGTAAAGGGTATCTTGATAGATCCCTGAGCGAGAATATAGAGATAAGAGTGACACTTTGTTAAGACTTTAGTGGACAGTTCTGACCGATAACCTGGAGACTATCCCTTTAACATACAACCCATCCGTGTGAAAAATATACATAATATGGTATAAGAAGCTCTCCACCAGCTACGACCCAGTGTGCTTCATCATCCCTTACTCACGCGAAGCCACGGCTATCTATTTCTTTTTCCGTTTTTGAGCCGAGCTTCCCACATTCATCCCTCTTGAACTCCTTGATACGTCCGCTTTGCCCAATATTATACTTCTAAGTACAAATTACCCATAATATCTTTTGGTAACGGAATATTTGGAAAGGATTCTGTCAAGGTTAATCTCATAACTGGGGTTACAGAGATATTTTGGCATAAGTTTAAATCCAAACAAAAATCCGATGATTTATTACTTTCTATTGTAGACGAATGTCATACTTCAGAGGTAATGTCCTGATCTGTTTTTATTTTACAATTATATATTTAACACTTTTACTTATAGATATGCACTTCATGTAGCAAAATGTGTCTTACTGCAGCAATCACTGTTTTACATAATGTTTTCGCTTGCATAAGTTGTGGAATCGTATGGCAACGTGATGTCAATGCTTTAAAGAACATCAAGATTTCTAAAGATGTAATCAAAAATCACGGGCGCCAAAAAGCGTTTTCTCGAAATCAGTAACTTTTGTTGCCGCCTTTACTAAACATCCTCTTGAGCATGGATTATTTTTTATGAAGATTTAGATGTTTACAGGTAAAAATAAATAAAAATAAAGTGAACAATAATCTCTTCTCATTTGTTTCAAAACTTAATTTCTTTCTGCCTGAATTTTATTTTCGTTTTGTTCAAAAAAGGTGAACAAATTTTCTGAAAATCAATTTTGATTCGTTAAAGAAAAAAAGCTAACAGCGTCTGCATTTAAAGTATAAGCACTGTATTCTAAGACCGAAAACAAAAACCATCCACACCACCAGTGTGTCAATCTAAAAATTAAAATTTCGTACATTGAATGAGATGGGCAATATAACCGCTGAGGATGCTCTAAGTACTTTGAATTATATGGTCTGGATCCCTTCCCCCTTTTTTTGTGAAGTTGTTTCCGCAGAATGATACTGATGAACAGAAATTTGAAGCTGAAATTATAAGTATATCAGTCAATCGGTAAAGAATATCAAGGACCCGTTGTGGAGATAAAGCCTTTAAGAGTCATGCCTATAAAATATTTAAAGGCCTTGTGTATTATCGAGAACTTTATTAACAGTAAATCAATGCGTTTGTCCTATTTTTTTTTGGTTTGGTTTGGTTTGGTTTAAATAGCCTTAATATACTACATGTTATTAATGTTAATGTTAATATTATTTACTAGTGTTAAAAAATTACGCCCTATGATTTTTGCGAATATTTCGTTTCTTTTCATTTCAATTAATCATTAATTCAAGGTAGAAATTAAATATAGACGAAGGATGTGTTGCATATTTTCAGTCAACGAGACACTACTTCATGCGATATACTGATACGCATTGACATTTCTCATATTTGCAAACCCGAGTATGTTCCATGCAAAGAATAAAGCTAATGAACAACACAAAAATAAAAACCCTTTTTCAAGGTGTCTACTATAAATCTATGCAAGCATACATACTCTCTTTGTTTGGGTGGTAGGTCCTCCATTTATTCCCAAGATATTTACAATAGTCTAACTGATAGAAGAGAGAGAAAAAAGAGCGACAATAAAGAGATGAGAATGTAAAAAAAAAGATAATGACCCTTCGATGGCAGTGTTTACTTGTTGCGGACGTATTTTCCGACTACAACAGCGTGGTCTCTCTCATAGGGTTCCAGAGTAAGCTGTTCCTGGGGCTTAACTCTCTCCTCCTGGAGCTTCTTAACTTCACGAGCGAATACCTATTAAATTAAATTAATTAAATTGAACACGAGCTGAATATGCCCAATTCGACTTACAGTGGCAGCATCGACAGTAGAGTCGATACAGGATGCCTTGATAGAGATGACAATGTGGCCATCGTTCTTCAAGAAGTGATGGGCGTTCAAGGCTATTTTTTTTTGTTTTAAAAAATTAAACAATTATTAAACTTACTCGAACACACAAACACACACACACATATATATATATATATATATTCGACTCGTTACTTACTGATAATACGGGCCTGATCGGGCTGAGCAACATCAGCAAAGATGACATCGACCATGGGTACCAACATACGGTACTTGTGGGGGTGGCGAGCATCTTCAATGATAGGAACAACGTTGGTACGCTTCTTAGCCATGTTGATAAGATCACGGCCGGAGCGGTGAGAGAATTCAACAGCGTAGACAGCACCTTGAGGACCAACGACATCAGCAACGTGAGAGACGGAAGTACCAGAGGCAGCGCCAAGGTAAAGGACCTTCTTTCCTGGGGCAATGTGAAGATGGTCAATACCACCGAGAACGGCAGCAGCAATCTTAGATCTGAAAGGATTCCACACACGGTACTCGATCTTGGTACCCTCGGCACCTTCTACTGAAATACGCTTCTCGCCATAAACTGACTCGCCGGGAACAAGGTTCTTAGTGACCAAAAGATCTTCCTTGCCACGGGCAACAAAGATACCCTCGTGTCTGTGAGGTTCAATGATAACCTTGGCACCACCACGGGCACCACCGGAAGCACCACCGCGTCCACCACGGGCACCACCTTTGAATAGAAATTAAAAGAAAAATTAATTATGAGATCAATTGAGTAAATACAGCATTGTTTATATAAAATAAAGTAAAATAAAATAAAAAACTTACCACGGCCTCCACGAGGAGCACCACGGCCACCACCGAAACCGCCACGGCCACCGCCACGGCCTCCACGATCGCCACCGAAACCGCCACGGCCACCACCGAAGCCACCACGGCCTCCACCACGGCCTCCACCGAAGCCACCACGGCCTCCGCGATCGCCACCGAAACCGCCACGGCCTCCACCACGGCCTCCACCACGGCCTCCGCGATCACCACCGAAACCGCCACGTCCACCTCCGCGTCCACCTTCGTATCCCATAGTTGTCGTTTAGGGTTTGTTGAGTATAAAAGTTGTGATGAGATCTCAACGAAACTGTCGAGAACTGGGTTTTGTTGGGCTGTCAAGAAAGAAGGGAGAATGAAGCTGAAAAAAAAATTCGAAATTTGAGTGAGAGGTCACGCAGAGGCTTTTTTTTTCACATCTTTCATTTCAATCGAAAGTCACTTGTGACGCTCTCTTGACATAAAAGAGCGGCAAATCAACTGTTAAATAAAAAGGTACAGTGTAAAGCTTGCGCCAATAAAACTGCCAAATCAGAAACACAATGCGATCTAGTGGATTAATTTCTCGAACTTTTTGTTTAACAAGTTTTGAAAAACAAGGTTTCTATTCACCATTCGTTTGTTTCAGAAAAGTAAAAAATATATGTATATAAAGCGATTCCGATAACCAGTATAATGCAATTTCAGTATGAAGTAGATTTTATAAGCTCGTATTATAAGATAATAAAAAATAGTATATATATATATATATGTGTGTGTATGAAAATAATATCATAGATTAAGATAAATTATAAGTAACAGAAGATTCACAATCTGGAGCTGTCATGTTTGGAAACAACTCAAACAACCACATAGTTACACCGTTTGTCCAACCAAACCCAATTTGAACAGTATCTAAATGTTAAATAGTCAGTAAGATAATTATAAAGAAATTGGATTTCATTTCTTTGGGCTTACATTCACCACCAGAACCGGCGCCTCCGATGTTTGTCACATCGAATTTCTCAAACATGTGTCCATCATCTGTTGCACCTGGATACTTGCTCAACAAGCCAGGTATTTTTCCTCCAGTTTTATACCAAGAGCAGAACGCGGTTGCAACGTTACGTTCGGCCAGAGTATACATCATAGGAAGGATAGTATCATCTTTGTGATTCTGCTTATTCAACAAATTATCAACGTTCAACATGGCTTGCATTGTTATGTATTGAAGAGGAGGCCAACCGTTGGGCCAATCCCACTGCATTGTGGTGTTAAAGAGCGATGTAGTTAGAATACCCGGGTATTTCGACAATGCGTCTCGGACTTGATCAAACACATGGGTCAAGTGTTTAGGAGACTTAACGCGTTCTGGAATTGCATTTAACCTTATATATTTACATCAAATAATTAAAAGAAGAGCTTGTCAATATATTTGTGTACTTTAGAGTTGAGAATGTCATACCAGAAGGGATACATGCTTGCAGGGGAAAACTCAATGGCTTGTGTTTTGCTGGTTAAGTTGTAATCACAAAACATGTGCTCTTCATCATTCCACAGAATTTTCTCCATAGCGTCAAGTCGTTTGTTTGCTTGTTTCTTGTAGTAATTTGCTCTCTTTGCCGATCGAGAGGACCGCCCTCCATATTTAGTATGCCACTCTGCCAAATTGCTCTCCATGCTCCACAAGAGAGCGTTAAGGTCAACGGGGACAATATTGCGGGTATTCAGCGTGCGAAGGATAGCATAGCCATTTTTATCTCCAACCTCAGGGATTCTATTCTTAGACCATCTAGATGAATAATCCCAGCCCGACTCTGCACCAGCAGCAAGATCAGAAAAAAGGTCAATCACTTGGGTTGTTGTAAAATTTGTGCCATCGTAGGCTGTTTTATAGTCCTCGGCATACGACTCTGGTCTTGGAGAAGTATTTTCGACGTTGTATCTGTTCAATTGATATCTCTTTCCAGACACAGAATCCGCAATGCTTACGGTTGTATTGCCAATCCAAAATGTGTACTCCTTGTCCAAAGTAGGGAGAGCCTTCTTTACAAATGAATCGTCACCTGTTGTCTCGTAGTAAGCCCGCACCATCTCGACCAAAAATGGAGGCTGAGATCTATTGAGATAATATATGCGGGCTCCATTTGCTGTAAAAGAATACACATTAGTCAAACGCTTAAGAAGAAGAATATAAACTTACGGATGAAACCATACTCTTGGATAAAGTCCAAGAAATTCTCGATCATGCCTTTGGCCAGTTCATTTTGGTTACTCAGTAATAGACCCTTAATGACAAAGAAACTATCCCTGTTAACAAAATACAAACATTAGAGTTTGTATTTTTGTGTAGTTGCATATTTGGAAATGATTATTAAGGCTGGACTTTACCAGTAATAAAACTCTCGGAATCGACCACCGGGTACAACAAAAGGCAATTTAGCTGGCAAGGTGCTGGAAACACAACCATCGCACAAGCCAGCTGTATTAAATTCAAATATCAAATCTCCCCATGCTTGGTGCAGATATTCAATCCAATTCTTATATTCATCGTCTTGGATTTCGTTCACCCATGGAAGAGGCTTCGGGATGGTCATATTGAGCTTATTCAAATCACTTCCAGCCGACAAAAAATTTTCGTTAACAAACACTCGCAATTCATCTTTAGTGGCATTGGAACCGCCAATACTATCGAATATAGACAGAACTTTGTCAACAGGCTTTGAAGTGGGCTATACAATGGGATAAATAAATGCACAATCAAATAAAAAAATTAGGAAAAAATAATGTAAATATATGTGTGTATGTATCATATTACTTGAATAAACAAAAACTGTAATTTACCATGTCAACAAAGGTCTTTGAATCCGGAAAAAGTTCAGCGAGTTGAACTGCTCTCAAGAGAGGGCCTTCACAATAGATGGGAGAGTCGCATGAAGGGAACCCTTTGGTATTTGATTGCTGATGACTAGTAGCAGCGTTAGTTACAGCAATACCGAGCTGTAGCAAAGCAACACCAGAGATAAAAGAGAGTCTCATGTACACAAAGAGTTGAAGGTGGAATGAAGTAAAGAGGCTCAAGATGCGCAATAAACCCTTGGACAAATAAATGAGAATTTATAGAGAACAAAAGGGCCGAGAAACATGCCTTCCTGTCTCACTTTCCTTTGCTTATGTTTTGAGTCGGAAAGTACAAGCCTAGACAGTTTCTGGATTGGAGGTAATCGTGAGTAAAATTAAGTAAAGTGCAGGGGTTGTATATCATACAGATTACGCATGGTATTAGTTTGCTGACCTTGCAGAAAACCGGATTTTCCGGTGCCGGTGGGACTATAAAAATAATTATGAGTTCTTGGACAAATGGATTGCTTGAAGTTTGTTATATTTTCTTTTACTTCACAGAGATTAGTGTATTAAGTTACACATTGACGTGTCAAGTAGACGAAAATCGAGCTAACGATATTGATGAAACGCGTAGTAATTAATGATTACACATTGTTTTAAGCAAAATATAATAATTAAATCGTAGCTTGGAGTCTTCTTGACGCTAAAATAGATCGACAGTGGTGAGGTATCAGTGAATTTTGTCAAAATCTCATATTATGGTGCTTAAAGTAGTATTGGGTTGGAGTGAATATGCAATTGATCCTTTCACGCTCTTTTCGCCAATATACTAAAGCTATATATATGACGGTTAGATATCCGATGGGATTATTTGGATTTGAAGAATCATATCTTATTAAAGTGCAACTATCAGTTTGCTTTCTAGAGTATACATGATGTCATATGTTATTTTCCCGTAATTTACTGCTAAGAGGTACAGCCGATCAAGAGGATGTACTCCATAGGCGCAAAATGAATTCAAATTCGCACGAAATGACCCTTGCAGTGCTGACAGCGCCAGTTGACGGGTTTTTAAAATTGAGGACGGAAAAATATCACTACAATAAGCGGCTTTTAATTTTCCAATAGACGGCATTTTTCTTTTTCCAAAGACGGGTCGTAATTTAAACCATCATTCTGGGTTTTGCGACTGATTTCACTCCCTAATTTATTTTTTTGCGCTTTGGTGTTGACTTTTTTGTATTTATTGGACAGCTACTCTTTGATGTGTATTGAACCCGTATAATAACAGGTTTTCTAACCTAGTTTGAGCTAAATCCTTATTTACCCATAAAACACAATCCGACATAAGGTCTGCTTCTGCAGCAATCAAAAGGAGAATTGTATTAAAGTGTAAATTTAAGGTGCAAGATTGGGTCATTAACTGATTAAAAACGACAATTCACATAGCCTGAGCAACCTTAATTAGTATTTTGTAAAGCTAAAAACACCTATGGATTAGATTTTTTTTTCACTTTTCTTTTTAAGTAATATTGTATTTGAAGTTTTTAATAATACATATAAATACAGCATGTAATATCTATGGTTTTGTGCCTATGGCTAAAGTATAATACTTTTTTTCGATTTTTTTTATATCATCTAAGGGAAGCAAATCAATCCTTGTCATTCCACACCTATAAGTATCATGAATTGTGCATTTAAGAATATAAAATATTTGGCGAGAAGGAGTAACATCGCTATATGGACGAGATGTCGAATGTAAAAGTCATTTTTTGTACTGACGATATCTTGAAAGGCTATAGTTATCCTTATATATGTTAGAAGGTCCAAAGTATTTGTAACAAATTAACAAATTATTAAAGTATTTATACCAATATTTCAGCGAGAGTATATCTGTAAAGCGCGTGTTTATAATCTATAGCTTAATCATTGCAATAAATGAATGAATGAATGAATAGAGTGGACTTACATGTATTGAAATGAAAAGATATTTTATTGAATTAAACTATCACCGTCATCCAAAATTGCCTACTGAGTAATGTCTGAACAAATAGAGTCTGACAAATATAATATTAAGTGTCTTTGTAGATTGGACCTTCTGGATCATAAGATAGACCAGTTCGCAAAAGCAATATTTCCAATAGAAATTATGGAAGTGTATCTATACATAGAGACATATGGCTCACTAAGTTGAAAAGCAGGTTGTCTAAATATGGATCAAAAAATTATAACTTCAAATCCTTTATAAATAACAGGTCTTATGGCTAAAAGATTGCAATACATACTTACTTGAGAGTAATTTGCTTTTTTGGTACTTATTTCTCTTAGTCTTGTTAAGAAACTTGGTATACCTATAGTATTCCTACCAAAGTTTGCACTAATAGTTCCTCCAACTACTTAATGGTTCTGGGTTAACACGGTCTCAGGTACACATAATACTATTTAAAGGATTTTCAGAATTTTTTTATTAGAGTGTAAGGACTGCAATTAATCTAAATCATTTATCTCAAAGCTCTTATACTATTTTACTATTGCTGCATTATGAGGTATATTTTTTTTCTTGGGTCAGATAATAATATTCAACTTCCACACAAATACTTCTGTAAGGTATCCTTACACATTTACCAAGATTTACTGCATATTTTTATGCATTAAAGCTGGAATCAAGAAAAAACATATACTAATATCTCCTGACTAAAAATATTCCAAAACTTTAATAAAATCCTATCTTTCTTACATATTATGAGAGAAACGGTTGTACTCTCCTAATAGCTTTTTTTTTGCCCCATCTATCTTATACTCTTCCGAGGTAGCCTCGCACATTTTCTTTACTCAACCACCAAATACAGGCCCCTTTCTTCCAAGTTCCCAAGTCCTCGGAGCAGTATTACGTGCTGTACAACGGGCGTACTGGACTTTAATCTTTGACATGTACTTTTAGTTTCTTAAAGTTATATCGGCTGCACATGATATACTTCATACCAGTCTTGACCAAGTGCACTTCATTTAATTTTACTTTACTATTCCCCTTTTCTCTTTATCCCCTCTAGTTTTATATTTGTATTTAATCTCACATCTCATACACTGTATATATTCATAATTATATATGTGTATTTGGATATAACCAATTCATTCTGAAAGTTTTCTTTTAAGAAAAAAAATTCTAACACAATAATACTGCTTATAATTCGGTTTTTTTTGGTTTTGTTAAATACTTTTTCGCTTTATCCACACCAACTGTTTTCTAAAATAATAATAATAATACATATTATGAAAGAGAAAGAGAGAGTTCCACGGCAGTACTTCTTGTTTCTTTTTTTCTGTTGGAATAAATCCAATTGTTCTTCTCAAAACATTCCCAATGACAGCCATGATAATAATAATATTCTTATCACAATTATATATATATATATAATTGTATATAATTCTAACTATAATGTATATTTATATTTTCAAATCACTTGGAAGTATCCATAGTAATTTGTTGGCTTGTTTTCTCAAAATGAACACATAATAGGCGCACTAAAAGAAAAATGCTGGGATAATAAGAATAGACTGTTACAGTCTATTTTGTTTTCCTTTCACCAATGTTTCGAACGTTTATCCATCACATTTTTCCCTTTGTTGAGTGGGATCTAGCTGTCAAAATGCAAACTAAATAACTTAATCACACATTCTGAATCTCAAATAAAACCTAAAAACGTGATGATCGTAAAAAAACCAAAACCAAAAGTTAAATTAAATCGTATGGCTTTTGAAAAATGTGATGTAGTTTAAACTAAAAATTGAGTTGCTTGGAAAATTAAAACCCGTCAATTGTAAGGTTAACTCCCGCCTTTTCATTTTAATTTCAGTTTTCCTTTATTAGCACTATTTTGTACCTGTGAACTTTGGTTGTTTCCCAAGCACAATTGGTTTTTTTTTTCATTTAAGTAAAAAGCATAAAAATCGTACAAACATAGTAATGAATAGGTCACAAAGAGGTACATCCAAATTTGACCCTAGTATAAGCCCAACTGTGGCCACAACTGAAACTGTGGGGCCGGAAGAATTTTAACAAAGGAGAATATGCGAGGAGTATGCAACCTTTTACTATTGACATGACAGCTACATGTTTCAAATAGTAACTGTCAAATTTCGCCGGCAAATTTCCGTCGAGGTTTATAGACCCACAAGAGTCTAACAGCTGCCATACCAATCTAACTGCAGGCTAAATCTCAACGTGTTATTATAAAGCTTCTTTGAAATAAAAATATCACAATATATCATTCAAAGGTGTGTCCGACAAGACCACTCTAGACCACGGGACATAATATTCCCAATGCTCAGATAATGCACACTAAGCTCCCATTGAAAGCCCCTGTTTGTTTCATAGAATACGATATATATATATATAATTGATTACTTGTATTTAATTCATCATCATGTATTCTATTTGTTTCTATTGTTAAAGTACGTCTTTCAAAGACGCATTAGCAGATCCTCGCTTTTTGGGTTTGGGAGTATCAGGAGAGGGCTTCCATCCGATCTACAGATGAAAAAATTAACAACTCAACTCTATGGAAAAGTTTAAACATAATAATAATGTTACCATATAAATGATCTGAAAGGTTGCTGGGATTGATCCGTCTGGGTTTCCGTGAAGCTCTGTACAAACATGTTCAGTATACTGTATGTGAATCGATTCAACACAATATTGCTTTACCTTTATAAATAGATGCCGCTGCCAAGAGAGTATCTCTCTGTAGCAGAGGACGGCTATGCAAATATATAAAACAGATAATGCCATTAATGAGTGCTGACACATTTATTAATCACCTTATATTCCTTACCGAGACAAAACCGCATTACTCTCACCCATAGATCTAAGATCCTGCATCAGTTCAAAGGCTGATGGATAGTTCACCTGAATCTCATCAACATCAACGGTTGTCAATGTAAATCCTGCTCTTGTGAGAAGTCGAGAGATATCGCTAGAGTCTACCTCAAATGTATCAATGTCACTTTCCAATAACTCACAGTAGCTAGTTACTATAATTATTACCTGTCATCGGGGACACACGGGGGGACACACCACTCTCTCGTTCTGTCTCTGCCAGTTGCAAAGAAGTTCTAAGGAGGAGCGTAGTATACAATATCAGCTGTTAATATCAAGAGAAAGTAATACTCATAAACTTACCTCAGCTCAAACAATGTATCTCCTCCAAACATAGCACCAATAAACACACCATCAGGTTTCAACGCCTTTCTGATTTGAATAAGAGCACCTACAACGATAAGTGAATAATTGCAACAGAAATGTCATACTTCACTAACTAAACCTACCAGGTAAATCATTAACCCAGTTGAGAGAGAGACTACTCAACACAGCTTCAAGACTGTCCTCTTTAAATGGCAAATGTTCTTCATCCACCACATGTCGTTCGATTTCAACTTGTAATTTGTCATATTAAACTTAAATTTCTTTTATTGAATTATTTACAAATCCTTACTACTACAGGGCTGGTCTGCGTCTCTAAGTAATGCCTTTTCTGATGTATATAAATATAAACAAATACACATAGAAGCGTGTCAGTGCTTAGTTATCTTTTGTATATATATATAATCCATGCACAAAGCTTTAAAGATTTCTTCATTTCTCTCTCTCTTACCTGATAAATCACACATGATCAGTTTCTTGACCATTGTTGGATCGAGATGTTTAACAATATGTCCACATCCAGATCCCAAATCAACAACTTGACTAAAATTGCGTTTAATGTCCTAATCATATGCAAGCAATATGGTTTAAAAGGTAACTGGGCTGTCGGAATATGTTACCAATAGTCTATCAGCCACGCGAGCAGCCACTTCGTCCTTGATGTAGTCAACTTCGCGACTGGACTCCACTGAAATTGCGGCTCGGTCTTTTTGCATTTGCTTTACATGGCGATCAAACACCTGAAATGCAGGTGCACCAGGAGGTACAGTAGCATAGGCGCGAATGACATGAGGTTTAACCAGTTTTGAAATTGAAAGATTAAATCGAGTACTTCTGATTGTATGAATCATTAGGCGCAATTAAATAATAGTTGTGACAGTAATAATGATATGCAAAAAGGGATCTTGATTGTATTGTTATTGTTTTCTTAATGCGCGCATACTTTTTGCGATAGGGTCTTGGAAGTTATGAGAGGGAGAGGTGACTGTCATCTCTGACAGTAGAAAGGAGATAGGGAAAGGGCTGGTGGTGAGGTAAAGGGTGAGTAGCGATGGTGTGGAAATAGAATTAAAAAAAAAACAAAAGAAAAACAGAGGTAAATATATATATATAGGAATAAATGACATAGAAAGATGTTAGACATGGAAACGCTTATTCGCTGGGTGAAAACACAAGAGAAAGTAGTGGTTCAGGATCGATGTGTTTAAGCTTGTACGCAGACCGGAAGCCGGCCTGGACTTCCTTTCTCTTGTGAATTTGCTTCTCCTTCTTCACTTTCCGCAGCATCAATTCATCGATGTCTTTATCACCGAACATCTCAATGTTTGCATCTGGTACCCAACCCCTGAAGATAACAAAATCCAATTTTAGCTAACCTAAAAACGCGTCCATACAATACAATACTTCTTCTTATTTTCTCTTACCAAACTTCTGTTCTAATAACATCAATAAAATGAACAAGATTGTTGTGGTTTCGGCGGTGTTTGACTCTCAGGACATGTGGCGGGATATTATTTTGTGTTTTATCCACAATCTACCCACCCAAACATTTAATAAAACAGACTTCTTTACAAACTTATATTTATGAAACTATACCTTTGCCGGATGAGATGGGTATCCAGGAACCCGCGCCCATACAATATCTCCTGGCTTCAATACTGGCCTTATCCTATTACCCATTATGTCTGCTACAGTCTTTTCCCGACGCGAGACCTTTTTTGGTCGCTTTATTTCCTCATCTGTCTCATTACCACCATCATCAGCATCATCATCAACCACGTATATCCATCCGCGCGCTCCAGGATGTTTGGGATCTTCTTTGAAAACCGGCTTCTGATTCCCTGCCATACTGGATGGCCAAACCAACCGACGTGCTTCTGCTGTACTTCGTTTGGATAACTCTTCTTCGGTAGGTATTACCAACCCCTTGGTACCCATACTTCTCGTAAGCCGGCGCGGCTCCATTTTGTTAGAATCATCCTGGACTTCTGTATTAATTTCCTCAGGAGAACGACGATCTTGGATTTCCAGATGAGAAGATGACGATGATATTTCCAATACATGCAATTCATCTGATACGTGCGTTTCTTCTGAAAGGCATGACGAGGCTTCAACACTTGATAATCCTTTTTTCTCGCTTGTTTTTAACAGCTTCGGTTCTACAACATCAACACCTTCCAAGACATCGTGATCCTTTTCTGTAATGATCTGTGCTCTATCTGTCGATTGATGCTCTTCTGGCGGAGATTCTTCTGAAAGATGAGCATCTTCAGATAAAGATGATGCTTCTGAGATTAATAGGCCTTCCGACAAAGGTGATTCTTCCGATACTTGAGAAACGTCCGCAGAGGATGACTCTGGCTTCCGTAGATCTTCTACTACTTCTACTACTTCTAACAGAGGTGATCCATCTGTATTCGGAATATCCCTAGTTTCTTTGACTACTTGAATTTTTTGGATTTCTTGGGCTACCTGAGCTACCGAAATTGTATGGTTTTCATGAACACTTTCAATTGATTCTATTATCTGGGTTTCCTTGGCTTCCTGAGCTTCCTGAGCTTCCTGAGCTTCCTGAGCTTCCTGAGCTTCTTGACCTGCATTGATAGGGTCAACGACGACCTGCTTTTCTTCTTTTTGCCTGGCCAAGTCTTCGGCTAGTTCAGCTTCTTTCTTAACCTTTGCTTCATTCGCTATTCTTTCGTCTTCAAGCTTTTCAGCAGCAATCTCTTCTGGTGTTGGAGGCTCGGTGTATTTATAAGTGAAAATTTCAGGATCAATAGGTATATCCAAGATTCCAGTTTCTTTTGTAAGTTTAAGCCCATTGTAATCAACTCTAGCTTGTTCCATAAGCTCTTTAGCCAATTTTTCGAGTTTTTGGGCTATTTTGAAATACATCGTATCAGGCTTGTTGTATGTCATACTGTTCTTCCATATTAGCTTGATGTCACCCTTTAGGAAAATACTAGTGTTAAGCCATTTTCGTTATACGCGTGGCTAATTACCTACCTCGAATTGATCTAAGCTGATGTACTTGTGTGCAGACAATCGTTCTCGGATATCAAAGAAAGACATCGGGGTTTTGATAATATCATTATAATCTGGAGCGACTTCAGCTGTTACCGGATAATGAAACAGATCTTTCTTGTCAAGTCTAAACCAAAAATACATGTTTAATTAAACTTGTGTATTTCTTTGTTGGAAAATCCAACTTACTCCATTAGCTGTACCAATATAGGCTTGATAATATATTCGACAGGAAACAGTATCGTCTCAATGTAAGCTTTCTGTTTACGCATTCGTTCCAATTTCTGCTTCTCTCTTTTACGCACTTGTTCAGATAACATTCGAAGCTTCTCTAAATCACCACGTAGCTTTTGGGTAGCCTAATCGAATATGATTATTTAGTACTTTAGAGTAAAAATAATAGTAATAGACAATCTTACTTTGTTCCGACGAGCCTTCTCAACCTCAGTTTGTTTATGTTGAGAGAAAGAGGCTGTCCAAGGCTATACCAGAATTATTTGTCAGTTGTCATACTAAAAAAATATATAATTCTTTAATTTTTTTTCATTATTTACCTCTAGATGAAGGCGCTTCAATAGAGGTGCTCCTCTCCTTGATTCTCGCTTTAAAGACCAATAGCGACATATGCTTGTAATCAATTGGGGCTTTTTCCGAAGATGGCTTGCCTGTTTGACACACCTCAACTCCTCCAATTTAGATATGATTGATTCAGGTGCTATAGGTGCTCCAGCTGAATAATGATGTTGATGAGCACGTGCTGCCTTTGAGCTTGGTAAAAGCTGTGCTACCGTATTCCCCCCGCTATTCAAACGTGGGTCGCCATTTTCATCTTGTGTAAATCGCTTTCGTTTCTTATTATTTTCATTCGTAGATTCTGTTTCTTCTTCTGACGGAAGGCTAGATGAAATATTCAAAAGTCGTTCGTCTTCTAAATCTTCATCCACATGGCGTCTTCGTGGTATTCGCCTCTGACTTCCTTTCTTAAGCCGTGCATCACCATCATAAAACGATTGAGCTGCTAGTAAGTTTCGATCAACATCTACTTCTTCACGGTAGTCTCGAGGTGTGTGCCGATCACAGAATGCCTTTAATACCACTCCATCACAATGTAAGCTGTGTGATTTCATACGCATGCATAATCTTGCCCAGCGTGCACAAGTGACGTGAAAAGCTACAAAGCACTGCTTATGGTCACACTGGATACATGCACCTTCTCGCCTGCGGCATATATAGCACGTCAACTTCCATCGACTCCTCGGAACCTTATCGATATTATCGATCGGCTCCATATACACACTGTTACTCAGTCCCACCTCTGGGATCCAAATGGCACACAATAAATGTCCCCATTTGTTGGTATTGGTTTGTTTAAATGCACCTCCTTCGTTTGGACAAAAGATACACGAAACAGGATTTTCCGGTGATACCATACACTTACGGCACAACCATTGGCCTTCTGGTATATATGGAATTCCATAGCAATCTGTATACACCATTTTGAATAAGTCTTTTCGGATTTAAGCCAGTCCATCATTTGTTTCTTTACCTTGATGAACTGCAAGATTACAACCATCACAAAATACAATCGCATTACTGTTCTCACACTCGCCATCGTCGCATATAGCACATGTAGAGTCTTCAGGAAGAGTAGGTTCATCACTGGTTTGTTTTGGCAACGTTTTGATCTGCCAGGTAGTCCATCAGTTCATTTTATTAAAATTACTAGGCGACACACCAGCACGGTCACTCACCAAATCAAACCATTCTTTCTCGAGCTGGTCTACAATGCTCTCAAAGAGATCCCCTGAGACCTCACCAAGATTCTCGCTATTTCTCTCTGTATTCAGCAATTGAAGCCATGCCTCGTCTAAGAGCACCTTTTTACATTAAAGTAACCGTTGTACATATTGTACATTTTTCTTAGCTTCACTATGAGTTACCTTGCTCGTCCATATCATACTCCACTGTTTCAAATAACTCTCCTTCAGACGGCTCTATCCAGATTATATCAGTTTATTATTTTTTAATGATTTCGGTCACCCAAAATATGCTTCTATCAATTTTACCAGTGTAGCGAATATAATGTCTCTCTGGTCGACGGAACCCTCCAATCTCTCCGTCTTCATCTTCAACCTCGTCTTCATCTTCGAGCTGATCGTCTTTTTTGTCCTCTACAATCTTACTGAATAGTGGTTTTGGAAGCATGCCTAAGTTGACACCCAATTGCTCATCTATCCGTTTTCGATCCTGTGTCACTAAACCTTGAAGTTCAACAGAGTTTCGTGGTGGCTGTGACGAATTACAAATCGATGTGGTATCCAATTCCCTTTCCAAAGACTCAACCCTCTCTTCAAACTTGGGCTCACCCAGTTCTCCGGTCTCAATTTCTTCCATTGGCTCATCAGTAATATTAATAAGAGATGATTCGCTTTGGTGTTCGAACATGTCATGTGCATTGCTCTTTGGCGTAACTAGTTTGTAGGCTTCCACCTTCGGCTCTCTATCACGTGATACAGCCACTGAAAAAGAATCTTCTGAGGATGGAAGTGCGTGTGAAGGCCATGGAGTGAGACATGGAGAGAGAGGGGTATCTTTGAAGTGTATGGGAAGGGCGTCTTTAATGTTAAGGTCAGGAAAGAGGTCTTTGTAGGATCGCTCTTCCCTGGGATTTACAGAATGTGTGGTGTGTGTGATTTGGTGGATGCCCGGAAGGTCGTTTGGTGTGGTCTCGAGAATGGGATGTTCCATCATCACCGAGGTTTTCCGCGGACGACCGCGTCGGATTCCTCCTTTACGTCCTCGTGTCTTGTGTGTCATATAGCAATTCAGGGCTGATAATCAGTCGAATTGACAATTAAAAGCAAGACAACACTAGGAATCGTTTTACGAATATGCGGTGACCAAGACTGTCGACCCTGTTTGAGGTAAAAGGAGACGCAGCTTGGTGTATCGCCCTTTTTATTTTATTTTATTTTATTTTTTTATTTTTTATTTTTTCTTACAGTGTCAAGCTTGTGGACCACAGCTAACCGCACCTCACTCTGGACCACACAGCTAATTGCATCGTACTCATGCACCGCTTGTGACGTAGATAGCTCTATGTGACGTAGGTATGGGCCGTGCACTGGTTTTTAAGCACTATGTGCAGTCTGAAGGATGTCAAGAAAACTGGCCTTAATTATCAGGACACGATACTTCTTTATGGGTCACGGTTTTTTTTAGTTACCGGCTTTGTTGTACTGTCAAGCCGGACTTTTTTTTCTCTATTGCAACTTTTAGTCCGGCCTCTTACAAATTATATCTGGTAGCAGGATTTTAAAGTAAAAATGGGACCATCTCAGTCCATTCTTTTTTGTATGGTTTTTTGGACTACTTTTGAAAACATGGACTTTATGGATTTTTCTGTGATTAAATGACTCTAGCTTTTGCCTTTTTCTTCTTCTTTCAAGTTAGAGATTTTCAGAAATATTCATGCTAGATCATCCCAAGTCTGGGGCAATTTCAACCACAAGAACTCGTGTATGAAGTTCTACTGTTGAGCAAGATCATGGATCAGCTCTTCTTCAAACAGAGAATGGATCTTAGGATTCAAATCACCATCTTTGTTTTCGGTATTTAAATAATACACCCGGAGTACGAAATGGAACGAGAAAAAAAGAGTGGTGTAGACGAGTGAAGAGAGATAAAGATATAGTGGAGGCCATAAAAGAAGAATTTATCATCCCTTGTTATGGCGCATCTATTAAGAAGAGAAGGGTCTTGTTAGTTATTAGCCAAACTGTAAACACTTTACAGCTTGAAGGTCTTTCCTCACAATAGTATCGTAATCAGTTATACTGCCTTTTACAAGTACCCTACTTGTCCCATTTTTTTTATCAATTACTGTATTGAATGTGGTTCCATCTTTGATATATATATATTTACTAGTGCTATATATATATATATATATATATTTATTTCCTCTATATTTTCAAGTAACTAGTAAGAGTGTAGCAATAAATTTTGTGCAAGAGAATAATAACATGTGCATATATATATATATATATTTATATATATGGATATATATAGTTTGGTTGTTATTTTGTTAATTGAAGATGTAGTCTGAAAAGATGATTTATATAATCAAAAAAAATTATGCCTTTCTACCCTTGCGACTTGGCATCATTCTGGAGGCTGCGCTTGTGGTTGGAGTTGGCCGACCGGTGCTTGTAGAAGGACGAGCAGCATTGGGTCCCGAAATAGTACCGTTGGATCCGCCTGAACCTCCTATACTTATTCTTCTGAATCCCATAGTAATATCTTCTCTAATACTACCTTGGCGAGAAGGCCCGGTAGGGGCTATACTGCTTGAGCCAGATGCAATTCCGGAACGTAACTTGCGTGATCTGAATGCATTGGTATTCGAAATAGAGTGTAGTGCTAAGTATTTTGATATTAGTATTATAACCAAAATTTTCAATCACATTAAAGTCATTTTAACAAGATAACAAATAGTAAAATCACATACCCTGACGTCTTTGCCTTTCGTGTCTTGCCTGTACGTTTTTGAAATGTTGTAAGAGCTCTTGATATTTAATTACAGGCTCTTCGCTCTGTTTAGAGCTTGCACTGCTACTGGCTTTAATGTTTTGTCTTTTTGGGACTTCAGTAGAAACAGTCGGGGGACTATATATATATATACAGACAAGCTTATATTAAGTAAAAATTCGTAAAGATATTTGAAAGCTGGAGGTTAGCACGAAAAAAGTCTTACTTCTTTGGCATTCCATGCAAAAACCCAAGTGATGATACACTACTCAATCTGTTACGAAGAGTAGAGAATGCTGATGACTGTGGAAGCAGCATTAAAATTCCGTAGAGACATTTGTACAAATACGGATGTTTTTCTGGCTCCAGTAATTGGAGACGTAAATCTATAAAGAAAAAGGAGTGTAAGTTTGTTTGATTTTATGATCTGCAATATTTTTTATACACACAGGTAAACACTGGAGACTCAAGGAGTTGAACAAGCTTATCAACTTGTACAAGCATGCTTACAGTAATATCCATCTCTGCACTAAAAATCCCAATAAGAAAAATAAGTACAATTATTGAAAACTATGAGCAAAGCACCTACAAGACCTGGAGCATGATAGCAGCATGTTCATATGCTTGTGCCAAAAGACAAAGAGAAAATGTGGCTACAGCATTGTGGCACCACGATTTGTACAAAGCAATAAAAAGCCTTTGATTATCCTATATATTATATATATGTATGTGTGTATTGTATCATTAATACTTATTCATTGTAGATATTTCCTAAAGACCCTATTTACCTTGTTATCCAGATTTCGCAATCTTTTTCTAAGATCCGATAACTCTGATGAAGTTATTAAAATTATATTGAGCTGTTGAATCATAATACTAGCAAACTCCAGGTCCTTTTGTTAAATAGTAAAACATTAAGTCATGAAATGAGCACTTAAATAATCATATCATAGCTCTCTTTACCTCATCATTTTCTAATATGTCCGCAATTGTACAATAAATTCGTTCGGGATCAAGACTCATGCACAGCTGACGAATAATTAAACTTCCTCTTGATTCAAGTAGGCGGCGGTCAGTACTGAATAGTAGAAGCAAATTGACCATAAAGCTTCTAAAGTACTCATGGTCCGAATGAAACGAAATTTGTGCAAGTAGCTGCAAGTCACGTCTAACAACCTAAATAATAACACAATTAAGTAAGAGTAAATCATGCCTATTCTTTGTCAATAGATTCGGTATAGTATAGATATTAAATAAATAGATAGGTAGGTAGATAATTTACTTCTTCTGATGAATCTGATAGTGTTTTTAGCAATGCTGGGAAGATACCATCATCTGAAGGCAAGATCTATAAGAGGTAGTGAATTAGATAAGCTGTTTTCAATCATTCGATTGTGAAAATGCAATTATCTTACCTTGCTAGGTGCTTTCTTATGAAGCATTAGTAGCCACTCAAGACTGGCCACACGGGTCTCTTCATGCTCATTAAGAAATTGAAGGCATAGATTGGAAACTGTTGCTTGGTAATCGAATGGATCACCCGAGATACTATGAATTCCATATCCAAAGTCAAGTCGATTTGTACGACGCAAGATGGACAGATTGTTTCCACTATTGTGGGAGAAGTCATCCAAGTCTGTGGCTGCCATACTATGTGGACTTCCGGAAGGATCACTCATACTTGCGGAGGGTTCTGGATATGACATAGTTGTCTCAAGGACAAGCTTCTGAAGGTTTTGGTTGGTTTCCAGCGCGTACATTCTGATTACACTGACAGGATGGGCAAGTGACGGTAAGACAGCCTTAATAATCTTTGGAGTATACTGAATCACGATATCCTTGGCAATTACAATGAACTCATTGATCCACTGAAGAGCTGTACGTTGAATATCTTCTTCTTCTGAAGACAAATGAGGTAGAAGAATTTCGATGATCTTGCCGTACTGTACAATAACACCTTGCCCAGGTACATAGCTTCCTTTTCCGTGACCATCACTTTCTACGTCTGTAGCTTCATTATCGTCGTCGTCATTCTCAACAGCATCATTTTCCGAGGGGACTGGATGATCTTCAACCTTTTCTTCCTTCTTAACTTCCTTATCCCCTTCATCTCCTTCCTTAGCTTCAGATACGGAATCATTATGTTGCTGTTTCTCTAAGCGCGAGCTCTGTTCCTGTTTTTGCTTTTGCTTCAATCTCTGTTCCTCTTGGCGTTTCTTTCGGTTGGCTTCCAAAGTACGTCTGTATTCCGATTGCTGCTGCTGTTCACGTACTGTAGAAGCCTGTTTAATTTCATCCAAGAAGTCTGTCAATAGAGCGCTGACACCCACTCGGATGTCATTGCTTGGATCACTTAAACATTTAATAAGACCATCTAGAAACTCGGGTAAGAATGATACCAGCTCAAGATCTGGTATAGAATCAAGAGCAGAAATCCACGACACAAGGTAATTACGTGAACTAGAGTTCAGTACGTAGATACGTTGACTGAGAAGTGGAATAAACCGAGGAAGAGAAAATGCTGTGTTTCTGGGTAAAGATGAAGGGATGACAAGCGCTTCTTGACCCTCTTCTGCGGGGTTGAGAGGTACTTGATGAGGTGAGACATAAGTCGTAGAAAGTTCAGCCACAATGTCTTTGATGAGACGATCAAGGAGCTCTGCTCCATTCTTTACGGTAAGCTCAGAATCTGCCGATAGCTAATAAGACAAAACAAGTTTGTGTGTATTGAAAAAAAAAAGATATTTGCTACTATAAATTTTTTTATCCAGGACAAATCAAGATAGAAATATAGGAACCTTGCCTTGCACAATGCGTCAAAAATACTGTTGAAAAAACGCAAAACTTCTCCTTTGGCTACTTTCGCAATGTTGTACATGCTCTCACATGCGTAATAACGCACTTTCTGGTCCTGATTATTGAAGCAGGACAGGATGGGTGGGACGATGATATCAAGGTATTGAGCGATGGCCTAGAGATCATTGAGCTATGAATAACACAACACCTTGGCATCACAACCTTACTGGTCCAAGGGCAATGGCAGTTGCTGCTAATCCAATCAAGCCGCCGTAGCGAGCATTTGGATTGTTTGAATAAACAAAGTCTTGCACAAGCTCATTAACGATTTGCTTGATTCTCTCTGGTGCTTTGGCATTGTCCTTGACGAGTCTATAGTAAGATGGATCAAGTGACAAATTCTCAGGATTGGTTCTCAATCTTTTCTTCTTCTTCTTCTTGTACTTTTATACGTTTAGTACCTTTCGATCTCAAGTGCGGCTGATTTTCTCTTATCATATATTTTGTCGGTCAGTCCTTTGACTAGAGCGGCAGAGAAAATGGAAGGCTCCATAGCAATTAGATAAAGGAATGGAGAATCCTGACTTGAGCTGTAGTACTTTTTTGTCTGTTTATTTTTAACGCACACACGCACACACACACACAGACACACACAAGCAAAAAGTTCAAATGGACAAAAGAGTTATTGGATTAAATAATGATTGGTTGAAGGCTGTGGATCTATTGTCACACCCAAGTTTATAAGTATGGAGATCAACTATTTTTTACTTTCTTGGTTTCATACATATTTTATTTCTTGCCTTGTTAGACGATTGTCCATGCTAACTCTATAGAGCCTCTATTTAGACTACAAAGAAAGTGTTGGATTTTGACTAAACGTTTGGCGCAATTCAGAATACTCTAGAGGTTATTAAGAAACATTTGCACTAAAAGAGCTAATATAATATTAGTTGAGAATAATGAATGACTTTGGTAGTTTAGTTTTGTAAGGATACAATCCAGACTGCTAAAAATTATACATATAATAAAGTAAGGGTCCAAGTAATAATATAACTTTATGTGATTTGTACTTTAGCGACATTAAACCTTTATGTATCAATGAATGTATGCATCATTAAAGGCAGGAGAAGGCAGTATATTTCTGGCATGTTCATTGTTTGTGTATTGTGTGCCCAAAATATAAAAACAATCAATAAAGTCTAGCATTGATAATAATCAATCCGCATTTACCAAAGCGGGAGGGAGAAAAATCACGGGTCTAGGAATATGTTTATTACTGTTTCTGAAGGTCTGTATTTTTTTATGTGTATACCAGCTATCCATTTTTTCTTGCCCTATATTTTCATTAGATAGCCTGCTTATTATATCAAAGAATTTAATAAAGAAACACAACTATTCTATGAATTCGATATATCTTCAAAAGTAACATACATAATCCTTTGATCCCCAGACATAGTTGTATCCCAATATATATTTTTTTAGCTTATTTTATGCCTTGCAAAGGGGTTTTCCTTATAAATCATTTCAAGCCAAACCTCAAGTGTTTACAAGATTTTAACTGCTATGCAATACTCGACTTTTGGTCCAATATACTATACACTACAATGGAGCGCTTGGGAATAACATTACTTACCCATAACTTTGGTTCAATGATCTGAAATAGATATAGAATCGAGTCCTTACCGAGTAATTACACAGATATATAATACATAACGGAGAGTGTAAAAAGCACTTGGTTAATTCTAAGTAGATTTGTTAGCAAATATTAAGATCTTACTATTTTTCTTCTTTACATGCTTCTTCTATTCTTTTCGCGTCAGCCAAAACTGAGTTTTCGGAATGGATAAAAAAAAAGAAATTTATAGAATCCCAACCAAGTATTGTAAACTTACATAACCACTAATATCTTGTCTGCACAAATTAACAAAGGAATATAACCATGACTTTAGCTTTATTACACATCTACTTTTACTATATACTCTGTATTAACACACGCAGATATATATGCGTACTTTTGTGTATATATTACACGCAAAATTTTAAAACTTGAAGCCAAACAGCGAATATAGAAACGGTGTATGGATATAGATCATTACAAGCAGTTTGAATACATTGTGGTATAATTATTAGAGGAGTTCAATGTCCTCTATACTAAAACAGAAAGAGCATAAATGCGTTGCTTCCTTCTATTCGTTCCTGAGTAAGTTGCCTGATTCTCAAGGCAAAGATGATGCCAGAACCACTTACTCATACACACATATATATATATCTTACGCCGCTTTAAAATTGAATACAGCTCAGGTACCTTTTTCCAAAGCTGTAATGAGAAAAGCAGTAAATGACGTAGGGATGATAGCCGAAAACACTACTTCTTTTGTATGAGACAGAAAAATGAAATTAAAAAAATGGTAAAGTTACTGCATCTATCAAAGACTTCAAGGCACAAAACTCAATAATTCTGTTAATGACAGGGGGGCTGTGCACACTCGTACAATGTCTATTCACGGCTAAATAATGCGTGTCAGAATCACGCGTCTTTTGCTCACATCAAAGTGATACAGAGTCGAGATATGGAGGTTTTTGGCCTATAGTGTAGATATTTATCCTATGACGCAGCGACATGTGTTTGCTAGTGAGCAAATTAAAATTTAAAATCTTATATAAAGACTCGAATTAATGGATTACTTATCTTTATCTTTATAAAAAAATGTTTGCTAAATCTGCCCTTCGTATCTCTTCCCGTTCCATTGTTGCCCGTCGTGGTATTCAGACCACTCGCGTTGCCAAGACCGAGGGTGCTATCAACACCTCCCGTGGTGGTTTCAGTGACAAGGAGAAGGCTGTCGAGAACCAGTGGGCCTACACTCACGTAAGTTATATATATACATACATCTTTCAGTAGCTTATTCTAATACCCCAAAACAGGATGCCGAGAAGCTCAAGAAGTTGCGTGAGACCTTGGCTTTGACCGAAAAGCATACCGCTGAATTGAAGAAGCATCTCGATGAGTTCGAGCAGTCTATTGTTAAGAAGTAAATCCCTTGCACACCGCATTTCTTGTACATTATACTCTCTATATCTCTATCTCTTTCTCCCAAAAACAAAAAAGACTTTATACTACATAAAACCGAAGACAACCGATTTGTTATAATTTATCATTTATAATTTTTGGCTTTTTATTTATTTATTTATTGTATTTTGATCTTCAGGGTAACCCCTTATCGGATACATTAATTTGTTGTTGTTGTTGTTGTTGTTATTGTTGTTGTTATTATTGGTGGTGTTGTTTGACGAGATTACTTTCCAGAAGCTCAATATGACCTCGAAGTAGTACAGTGACTGACTAAGACTAAAATAGTTGATTATTTAGAGCTTGGAGAGAAGGCCAGTCTTGTCGTTCAAAAGCTTTACAACTAATGCGCTAGAACCCCAGCTAGATTGATAGCCTAGTATATTATCAAATATTCAAGTAAGTTGTGTGGATCAAAGAGCGTAAGTAAAAATAAGTAGCCAATAATACGTACCGTGAGAACTGTGGCCATAGTTGTGGCAAACTGTGTACTTTTTACCATTGGGAAGGTCTATGATTGATGATATAAGTACATGTAGAGGACAAACAAGGGATATACTTACAGCGAGACTCCTTCTCAATACGAATTCCACCCTTGCGTCCAGGTCTGAAACCAACGTTAACAGAGACAATATCAAATGCTTCGGGTCCCTTGCCATGGGTGATGTCAGGATAAAGGTTGCAGCAGTTCTTGAGTATTGTCTTGGTCAATTCAGCATCAGGCTTAGGATCTTTGTTTACCAAGTCCATGGTACCACCACAGATAACGTTTCCATCAGCACGAGGGATGATATAAGTGAAATATCCATCACCTAAAAAAAACAAAGCGAAACAAAAAATGGATTCAGAATGCAAAAAATATATGGGATTATATAGAGTATATGCTTTTGAATTTTACCATCACGATAGAACTGTTGCTTAACGTGGGGAGCGCGAACGAGGACAGTCTGACCACGAAGAGTGTACATATTATCATCCAAAACATCCTTCAGGTCGCGGGCACCCATAGCAGTACAGTTGATCAGAGTATCTGCATCCTTGTATTTTTCCATTACTTCTTGGAGACTTTCAAAGCTACCTCTTTCGAGGCGACCTCCAAGACTCTCAAGAGTGCGAACCAACCATGCGAGATAGGTAGGAACACTTGTAGTGACTATGAAGAATAAAATGAGTCACTTTGTTAAAACAAAAAATTCTATCGCCGATAAAAACAATACTCACACGATACAAAACGGAAACCAAATGCTGTTCCCTCAGGCAGTAAATCCTTAGGAATCTCTTTGAACTATAAAAAGATGAATTAAAGTTGGCCCTATTGATTTCCCACAAGAAAAAAAATAGTACACAAACTTACCTCTGCATAGTGATCACGAACCCACAGGCTGTCCTGTCCGGGCATATCTGGTAGGTCATTGTACTGAAGACCGGGGCAATACATCACACCGGCAGAGAAATCTTCGTTTGCCAACCGTTTGAATTCTTTGAGTGTGTATCTGTCGATTGCTAAAAGAAAAGAAAAAAATCAGAAATCGAAATTAAGATCAAAATCAAGATCGAAATCAAAATCAAGTCAATGAAAGTCTATGTATGGCATTTTTTTTTTTTTTTACTTTTAAATATTCTACATTACCTTGAAGGCGCTTATCAGTGCTGGTAGCAAAGCTGAGAACGGAAGCACCAGCCCAAGGCGAAGTGTATTCGTGAGACATGTCACCGGGAATATGCTTGCCAACGACTACAACATTTTTGTGACCATTGCGCAAAAGCATGATGGCTGTAGTGAGACCACTAACACCAGCACCTAAATCGATTGATTAATTAATTAATATTAATTAATATGTGGCTGTATTATTATTTGTTGACTTATAGAATCTTACCGAGAACAACAACACCAGGCATGATTTAGGTAGGTAGAAAGAAGAAAGAAAATAAATGTAAGGCGCCAACCAAATTTGATATTTTTTTCAGCATTTTTATACAGCACAAGCCTAGTTTCCAGGAGAGAACTGTTACACCAGATTGTCCGGTATGATTTTACCGCACAGCATACGTCCGATCCATGCCTATCCATTTGAGATAAATAAAAAATAAACTGCTACCCATACAAATGGTGATCTTTTATCCATTCTGGGGTTGAGGAACATTAACCAAAACGGGGAGCAAGTGACTGCTGTTCTGACAGCTGGTACAAATCAAAAAGTCAATCTATTGTTGTGTTTCAAGCAAACATCTTGGAGAAACCAAGAGATGCTACACATACAAGAGCATGTATAATAAAGTTGGTTTAAGGAGCCAATTGAGATACAGGATAAAAACTACTCATGAGCTAAACCTTTTAAATGATAACGGATGATAAAAAAAGGTGTATTGAGTAACCAAGACTTGTTTTTTGAAATTTAAACACGACTTTGTGGGTAAAGATAAGTCGGATACAGGATTAATACCCTCTTTCTTGTTTAGATAGCAAGTCTATCAGCTCGCTCCGAGAAAATCCATTATTTCAAACCGCCAGTCAGTAAATAAAGTAATTCAGATCCTCAGATAACATTTAATACTAGGCTGTCCTGGCAAGAAATCATGATTTATTAACATTACATATTGCATGTTTCTTTGAATATAATCCCACTGTAATTATAGATATAGCACTAGCACAATAGTCATTTCACGCCAAACATTCTGTAAATATTGTGATTTAAAGTGTTTAAAAGGAACCAAAAGGATCTAAAGGTGGCGTTCTTGTGGAACATCTAGGCTGCCTTTTAACACAGTACGCAAACTGGTAATTAGCCAAAGATAATAAAGAGGATTTATTATAATTTGCCTATAAAAAAACACCCCTTCTCCCACATTTATCTCTAGTCCAAGCGCTGTCATTATTGGTTCATAGTAAATTTTTGCTGCTTTTTATACTGATCTATTGAGAATCGAATGTTAATTCTTTTGCTTTATATATTTCCCACTTTCTTTCTAGCTCAATTGTCTTCTTCTAGTCAGTGTATAAAACAGACACATTTTATAAATGCTTAGAATTGAAATTCTAAAATGCAGTAAAACGACTGGGCAATGGTCAGTTAAAGTACCGCCTCTTTTCTTTTTACGTCAGAGGCATAGAATGACGCAGTGAATGAATGAATTCATCTGTTCACCTTTCTCTTCCTCTTGTTCTTGTACCGCCCACTTGCCCTTGAGAAAGGTAAATTTCGTTTCTCGTCCTATGAAAGAGTCGTCTTCCTCTCTTTTCCCGTATATACCTGCTACTTCTGGTTCCTGTCTATCGTCAGACGTCCCATCCTCTGTCTGAGTCCTTCATACGCGAAAATATTGGTGTGATCGCAACTGATGAACAAAAAAAAAGAACCTGTGTTTCTTGGTCATCATTACTTTCTGACGTGTCATTGCTTGTTTTATTGCCACGGTGTTGATCCTTTCCCTTTTTACTTTTCTATACTCTCCCTATTGATCTATAATTCCAAAGATGTGCTACGCCTCATAGAATCTTCCTTTTTCTTCTTCTTTTTCCTTCTTTTTATTATCATTTCATCATTCACTTCATCACTTTCTTAACAATCATCTTGTGTGAGGAGGATTCTGGATACACGGAGGAAAAGGAATACCAAAAATACGTGCATGTCATTCGGGACCAGAGAGAGAATGAGAAACTTTCATTGTGGTCGCGCCTACGTCCTTACTAAACTTTCGGTGATATCCCTTCTTTTACCCCTCTCCAGTTCTTATATACAACAATGTCTGCTGCCGACCACACCGACGATCTTATCGATTACGATGAAGAAGAGGAACATATTGTTCAACCCAAGACAACCCACAACGAGCCGGAAACAACCGGTGCAGATGACGAGTCAAAGAAGGACAAGAAAGGTTCCTATGTTGGTATTCATTCTACTGGTTTCCGTGATTTCTTGCTGAAGCCTGAATTGTTGAGAAGTATTGTTGACTGTGGTTTCGAGCATCCATCTGAAGGTAAAAAAAAACTATCCGCCAAATACTCGGTTTCAATCGACAATCGACAATTCAAAATCTACGAACACGTTGAACTAACACAAGACAAATCACCAATTCATAGTTCAGCAAGAGTGCATTCCTCAGTCTATCCTCGGCATGGATGTAATTTGCCAGGCTAAGTCTGGTATGGGTAAGACTGCTGTGTTTGTGCTGGCCACCCTCCAGCAGATTGAACCCGTCGACGGTGACGTATCTGTTGTTGTCCTCTGCCACACCCGTGAGTTGGCTTTCCAGATCAAGAACGAGTACGCACGTTTCTCAAAGTATCTCCCCGAGATCCGCACCGAAGTGTTTTACGGAGGTGTACCTATGACCAAGGATGTAGAAACCCTGAAAGATAAGACCAAGTGCCCTCACATCCTCGTCGGTACTCCTGGCCGTGTACTTGCCCTTGTGCGTGACAAGTATCTCAAGCTGGGAAATGTTAAGCATTTCGTCCTCGATGAATGTGACAAAATGCTTGAGCAGTTGGGTATGTACAAACAACGTGTATTACAAAAACAACGTTGATCATTAATACAATACAAACGTAGATATGCGTAGAGATGTTCAGGATATCTTCAGATCTACCCCCCACCACAAGCAAGTCATGATGTTCTCTGCTACTCTTGCAAAAGAGATGCGCCCAGTGTGCAAGAAGTTTATGCAGAACCCTCTTGAGATTTATGTCGATGACGAAGCCAAGTTGACTCTCCACGGTCTCCAGCAGTTTTATATCAAAATGGATGAGCGTGAGAAAAACCGAAAACTCAATGAGCTTCTTGATACTCTCGAGTTCAACCAGGTCTGCATCTTTGTGCGGTCCGTTCCTCGCGCCAATGAACTTAACCGTATTTTGACTGACTGCAACTTCCCCAGTATCTGTATTCATTCCCAGATGAGCCAAGACGAGCGTATCAAGCGTTACAAGTCATTCAAGGACTTTGAGAAGCGTATTATGGTAGCTACTGATATCTTCGGTCGTGGTATTGATATCGAACGTGTCAATATTGTTATAAACTATGACATGCCCGACAGCGCCGATACTTACCTTCATCGCGTGGGTCGTGCTGGTCGTTTTGGTACCAAGGGTCTTGGCATCACCTTTGTATCGGATGACAAGGATTCAGAGATCCTCAATGCTGTCCAGAGTCGCTTCGAGATCAACATTGTGCCATTGCCCGAAGACATCGACATCAATACCTACATGACTTCTTAAACAAAGTGCAATCGTCTTTCAAATAAATAAGTTTGGTCCATCTTTGTGTTCTATTTGATTACAGCTTTCAAATAATTTTTGATTATAAAAATAGAAATAAAACTACTTGTACATGTCGACCGAAAGTGTCTGCTGTATTTTGAATAACCACAATTAGGGTACTGATAGTATGTTGTTATTATAGAGAAAAAAAAACTCATTAAAAAGGTATGAAATACACTTAGAATGAATAAAAGTCTTGTGGATATTCGTAGCTCTATGTGTATGTATGTATATATATATGTGTGCTACAAACATGGTTTTGGTTGGTTTTAATGTTGGATATGTATAGTATTTTATAAATATAATCTTTTCAAATGACTATTTGATTAAAATTCAATAACACCTTGTTAATACTCAATTTTTTTTGATTCTTATATCTATATCAAAAGATACTCAAAGTACTATTTTTTTTTTGAAAATAAAATATCATTTGCAGTAGTGTTTGGATCTTAGCTCAACACTTGTTCAGTTTAACATAATTGCTCTCACACAGTCATAATACCAGAAAGTGTGGTAAGCTAATCTATCTAATCAAATTGAAATTATTAAGAGCTATTAACGTTTAAATGATGCCATTAATTGAAACCCCAAGACATATGCTCTTTCCGAGTAAATATCAGCTCTACCTTTGATTTCTCATACGGGGAGAAAATATGAATTTTGCGTCAGGTCTTTAAACAAGCCATATTGAAAGAGTTTTTTAATGAGCCCTTTGAGCAATATCTTTCTTTATATTAAATTTAGGATCCAAAATTTAAAGCTATACTTTATAGAAATTATTCTCTTGATATACAGTAAAACACACTATACAAGTCGGACAATTCGAGAATACAAGGCGTATTTCAATATTGTTTAAATAATAATAGAAAATAACAAGTCAGTACACCTAATGCGTAGAACATTTGAGATAAAATTTACACTATAAGGATGTAGGAAGGAGTTATATCAATCATACAGAAGAAGGCTGGTGGCCAGGGTTGGTTTCAGTTTGGCGCACAGAAACATCAGGACGTTGGTTGTTGTTTCGTGAAGAAAATAAGAAAATGTCTAAAATATTGTGTACAGCCATAATGTCGCGATTCCATACAATATTGCAAGTGGTTTCTTGGAGCTGCAATATTGCGTGCACTCTTCGCTTCGACTTGCTGTTAACTAAGTTTTCTACATTTCTCTTCTTGAACTCATTGCATACTTGGCTGGTCAGGTATTCATATAACATGTACATCTCCATGTTCATGCTACAAAATGTTTTAAAGTCTTCTTAACAAGATGGGTAGGTGCCGCTTTATTTCCCCTGAGGGCATGGTTGAACACACCATCCCCAAAAGCAATGCTTGTTTTTACGGGAGCCTCAGTATGGTCAGTGGAGGCAGGAAGAAAGAATTTATTCTTGTACTTGTGTGGTGCCTATATCCCTGTGGATGTGTTCTTATTCTATTTGGTGCTGTTGTATACCAAACGCTTGCAAATCTCATTCAGTCCTTTCTGCTTCCGCATATAGCATTTAAATTTTAATTTGGATGACCCAGAGGTGTATTAGTATAAAAGAAATTAACTAAATGACATATTTTACACTGAACAATTATTTTGACTATAATATTTTGTAATGGTATCATACAAATCAAGTCGTTCTTTACATACTTTTAGGAGATCTGCTTCGTTCGTGGTTTTGAGCGAGCTCAAATCAGATATATTTAAATAGTTATCCAGATGTTCCTTCTTATATACTGTACATCATTAAATCCACGAAGATGATAATATTCATTCACGCTTGTCGTTCTTTGTCTCCCAGATGTATCGATAGCGGTGATGATATCACAAACACCAGGGTCAACAGCCCAAATCTGGCAACCTTTATCAATATCGTTGATAAAATCTGCAGGTTGTTTTTGAGCAGGCGCTTCCTTTTTCTTCTGGGCGACACGGGAAACCAGAGAATAGATACAATAACCGTCAGTAATTATTAAGTTGCTAAATACGAATTTATTAAAGTTAAACATTCTTCTAAATAAATAAATAAATAAAAATCTATACCTGAATTGTTTTTTCCAGTTGAAAGACTGTTTCTTGTACGGAATCCTAACTCTGAAAAGTTGCAAATCTGATGATAAGAATTTGTGAGGACAGGCTTGCTTTTTTCCCATTTACAGTTATTACAGCAAAAACAGAAGCGAATAGACTCTGGTCGATGGTTGGGATTAAAAGACCATCAGCAGGCATTTTTATGAATAAAAAGTTGACAAAAAGAGCACCAACATATACAACTTTGTTGGTATAGTCTACCTTGCGAACCAGTTCTTGAACAAACTCCTAATTATTGTAAATATTTTTCAATGATGTCTTGATAACGAACTGTTCAGTTCTTTCGTCTGGTTCACATGAAGAATCCTTAACCTTTCTGTTGGGACATAGCTTGATTGCTGCCCGCGCACGAGTGCTTAAATTTTAAGAAAGGCACCGTTTTTCTATATCGCTTTTACTGTTTTAAATTCTAAATTATAGCAAAGCATCCTTCTTATATATTTTCTTTTGAATTTTTTAAGATGTTTCTGGCCTTGATGAAGAAGCTTCCTCTGGATCTGTAGAATCAAAAGATAAAAAAAGTAGTTAAATAACTGAATATTATAAAAATGTATATTATATCTTATCTTCATCCACTTTAGTTTCCTTACTTGTCTGCTCCGTATGTTGGGATTCTAATTCTTCATAAATAAAATACACATAAATTCTCAGCTCAAAGTTGTTCTTTATTGGTTTTTAAAAGGCTTTAATGCTGATATACATACATATACGTCTTATAGAATATAGTTTTGGCGAGCAGAACATCGACAGGAAAGGACGAAAAGAGGAAACAATCGACAATGCGAGCGCATTTCTTAGAGTTTGAGTCAACAACTAGAATTTTTTTAACATAAGAGACAGTCTTATTTTATGCTCTCTTCTTAAAGACTTATGCCCTTTTTAATAAGATCCCAATGGCATTATCTTCATTTCAGTAACATCCACAAAAATATAGTGAAAATATTAGATAAGTTCAATTTATCTGAATTTATTTCTTTTTTTGTCTGATTTTTTATTTTGCTTTTCCAAAATAGGTATGCTGTACGTCTAGAAATACAGAAAAACACATTTGTACGTCGCACAATTCGAAAAAATAAGGCGCATTTTTGGGATAAATATTTTTCAAAGCTTTTTATATTTAAGCAAAAATTTGAGTATACATTATAAAAATCGAGTGTCAGAATGTTTATTATGATCCTTAATAGCCTAAGAATGCCTCTCTATGCGGTTTATTTGAGAGGAAAAAAGATCCATTCATAACGGTTAGGAACTCTTAAAAATACGCCTTGTATTCTCGAATTATGCGACTTACAAATGTGTTTTAGTTTATTTTTGTCAAATTTAAACTTCACTTTTTTGTATTTATTGGTCGGCTACAGTGCAAAGCACAGCGATTAGCTTAATATGCCTGAATTTTTATATTACAAAATTTATATGAGAGGGAAAATGTAAAAGGAGATTAAAAGAAAAAAACTATTCCAAGGGACTCCTTATCACCACAAGCGCCTCGGTTGCTATCATACCAGGAAGGAAGGACTGTTCGTCCATGACTGAGGCCCAGTGAGCTCGCCAAATGGCATTTTAAACTTCACTTTGGTTTGCTACCTTTTATAAAATTAGATTTAAAACACCGAACATAAATTTTGTGAAAAGAGAAAGAAAAAAAAGGGGAAGACTGTAAAAGATCAAAGGCTTTTTTCAGAAGCAGCCTGATATAATCACACGAATCTCTTTTAACTTTGCCGTTTGTTGACCGTGGTAATGAGAGAGAGAATTATCTCATAATTTTGATGACCTTGTTTTTGGAGTTCCATAGAAATTCCAGAAGTTAACGATGTCCATGAACATTGGGTCATTAGGCCAAATGACCTGACCTGACCTGACCTGACCTGGCCTGGCCTGGCCTGGCCTGGCCTGGCCTGACTTGCTTTGCCTTGCTTTGCCTTGCTTCGCCTTGCTTTGCCTTGGCTTTTCAAAGGTTGAGTCGGGTTGGGTTGGGTTTGGTTGGAGTCGGGGTTGAGGTGAGAGTGAGAGTGAGAGTGAAATGGGGTGGAGTTGGTTTTAAGACGAGTTATTTTTTTTGGACGCGTGTTATACATCCAATCCTTCCCTTGCTATTCATCATGGCTTGTATTAACGCTGGAGTGTAAGAACGAAAGCCAGCCTTTTGAAGATGCTTTATAATTATGCTTATATCCACGGCCTCGTCGTCTGTTTTCGAGTTTGTTTTACTGGTATTGGAACTTGTAGTGGAGGTTGTATCGGAAGAAGACGACCCGATAATGTTTTTCTTGATACGCAATCCTGGGCGACTCTGATACTTTTCAACAATTTTCTTTGGTCTGCCCGTCCTTGGTTTCAGCTCAGTAGTTCCAGTTTTCTCCATTCGTTTGATTACATCGCGAACAGTTGACTTTGGAATCTTCATTAGATTGGAGATTTGGGGAACTTTCATTCCAGAGCGATTAAGCCAGATGATGCCACCACAATCAAATTGAGTTTTTGGAGTACAGCCAACTCGAGACTTTGGATTTCCGTCGGTCGATGACATTGACGGCTTCTGTAATAAGGCGAGTGTCGAATAAAGTAAGAATAAAATAAAAGGACCAAGAAAAAAAAACACACGCACACACACAGAGAGAAAGAGATAGATAATAGAAGAGAGAAGTAGACCCATTTTTGGAAAGATGCGACGACTTTTTCCTAGTGTGACTGTAGTGCTGTTGTAAATTATGTACACTTTCCAGATTTTTTTTACGTATACTCTGTGTTTACGTTTACCGTAGCTTGTTACGCTAGACGTAGCTCTAAGTTACTCGTCCAATCAGCTCTTGTTACGCAGGGCGTAACTCTCGGTTACGTTTACCGTAACTTTGTTACATTGAACATAACTCTCAGTCACGTCCTGTTTCTTTCTTGCTGTATTTTTTTGCATCGTTTCCATGAATAAAAAGATCAGTAATATTTGATTTTTTAATGTTTATTTATTCAGACTGTTGTCTTCTAATTCTTTTTTATCACTGCTGTTGTATTTGACATATTTTGAGTAACCATCGTGATACAAGAATACGAACAAGTCACTATAGTCTGTTTACCCAATGGAACGCTCATCCCGCATAATAGTCATTAAGAATATAGATACTCAATGTGACCGGGTAAATCCCGTTACATATAAAGACTCAATTAAATCACTCTTTTTTCAGTCAGTTCGATTCGACTTATATGCCTCTTAATAAACTCTCCTGTGTCTCAAAGTACTTATCAAGTCTTCCCTTCCATACCTAAGTGCAACAACTATCCCCCCCCCCCCCCTTTTTTTTTTTAAGAAAAATAATCCCATCCAGAGGATTTGTTGATTTTCAAGTTACCTAAAATTTTTCGCCCTGAATCTGTCATACTATCAAAAAAAACCATGTGGCAATATTAGTATACTATTGATATCTCAGCTTCTTTTTTCCATCTTGGCAATAATGCCTATGTAAATGAATCTTCTGAATTACCGAAAAATACGCACTGCGATACTTTATTCATACCAAAACCAATCACGCAGAGCAGCCTACCCCCAATTGAAGAGCATACAGATATCTCATCACGCTTTACCTACACTGTAGATATGTTGGCTACAATTTCTGGGAACATATCTTCAAAAAAAATGGCAAGGCTATGGGCTGAAAACGTCTCTTAAATGTAGCCGCAGAGCAATCCTTTATTAAGGTCTATGCAACCAAAGAAATCTTACGTGAGATGTATTCTAGTTATAGAAAACGGAAGAAATAAATTATACTTGCTTTCTCTACTTCTACTCCTCTCCTCCTTTCTTTGCATACCCCTATATTTTTGGAAACTCGTGAAGATTACATAAGAAAAGGAGTTGTATCAGTTCTGAAAAAAGCGATAATCAGTGATCATCTCTGCAGAAGACAAATGAATATCGCTTTTTATTATAATGATATATTCTTCACCTTTATAAAGCATATTTTCGGTCTATCTTCTTGGGCAAATGGTGCTTTTTTTAGTACTGAAAAAAAAAAAGGTGTCGCGATCTATGATCGCGGTATAGGAAAATTATAAAATGTTTGGCTACGCCAAACCCTTTTTGATCACTGGGCAAAGTTTATTTTTAATAATAGGCATATAAACACCTGCACTTAACGCAAAATTTTAAACAGAGTATACGAAAAAAAATCAGAAAAAATGTATACGCTGAAAGGTACAATATTCGGGACGACGCGAGACGTGTTTTATATTCTACTTTAATTGTTCGAACCAACTGTTACATTATATATATATCATAAGCAAAATATGGGGTATATTAGACATTAAGTAGAGACGATGTTTTATTCTGTGATAAAGAATAGCGCCGTTATTGTATACTTTTTTTTGGGAATAACTATTTACTGGGTATGTCTTGACGTTTTGAGTTAATAAAGAGAATATGGTAAATTATAGTATATTATGAAATAGCTCACACAAAAGGTAATTAGCCGAGTGGTTTATTCTATAAACCATGTCACACTGTTTTATACTATTATATGATATGTCATACTACACTATAATACACTATACCACGCTATATTATGTTATACTATGTTGTATTATACTATACTACTATACACTGTTCTCTTCTATCGATTTATTTTATAATTGAGTAATTGGGCTATATTTTGTACTAAACTACAGTTAGCTAAGGAAAAGACGAAACTTCCTGTATATCCAAGAGTAGCAAGTATTCAAAATATAAAGCAGGTTGTGTCCCTAAATTATATATTTTGAAGTCAAGCTGCTTCTGAGGCTATTTAAGAACGAAAGCGCATGGGTTCTTGTCAAGATCATTGAGAGGCTTTTATTGTGTAACTACAAGTGTGTTTGGTCGTACGTGAGGTCTTGACAAGCCTTCCTGTTTTTCTTATTCGTCACATGCGACACAAAAGAATTATACTCTATTATATGAAAATAATTTATCTTCCACGATTTTATGTAAAATATAGTAACTACACGTAGAGTGTACACTTCTTTAAACATGTATATAATTATATATATATATATATATATGCGTGTGTGTGTGTGTATGTCTGTATGTGTATATTTGGCTTCTCGGCATACTAATAAACTATTTCCCCGAGCATTACTCAGATTATCAACATTTATCTTCTTTCACAACTAGTCAACACACATTTACATATACATCTACAGCATTAATGATTATTATGTAAAGGAAATGTTCAGTGCTTTAAAGCGAAAATCTTGTGATTTAAGCTTTACCAACTTGAAAGACGAATGGGGATTTCTCCGTTTATCAAAGAACATTTGCTGCATACAACTATCCCTTACAGCGGAGTAGGCTTCCAATCTTACTCAGAACATCTATTTTAGCCAATTGCAACTCTATAATAAAAGAGTAATAGAAACAGTAAAAGACAAGGGGATAAAGAAACTCCTTAAGGAACAGGGTCTTATTTATACTTGTTTATTTCTGTGGTTGATATTGTGCATATTTTTTTTGAATGAGAGACTAGGTAAAGATGGTCAGTATGGAGACCACTGCCAAGAATATACATAATGCATACATGTACCCAAGTATTTAGAAATGATTTATTCAAAACCTTTAGTACATTATGGGATAAGAATAGTATATTATATTATTGTTTTCTCATTTCTCCAGATTTAAGCAGTTTAATAAGTATTTGTTAAGTTTTGTAGCATCTGTGGCCCAAGAAATAAATAAATATAGATACAAATATAAATACAAATACAAATGATTTAAAAGTCACTTTTTTCTATGCCACAAGAATCACTCCTATAGTTTTTTTTTGACACATACGCGCACGCACACGCATATAGAAAAGAGCATAGTCAATAGTATAGTAGTTACTTTGGCTTACCTATGAAAGTATTTGTGAGGCGTGTGGACATTGTAGTTGCTTTCTTTGTTCTTTATTGATTTCTGTGGTTATGGTTTGATTGGTTTGATTGACAAGTAGTTCCTCTGATTTCTATCTATCAGGTATTTTCCATTCTCCCTTTTTTTATGTGTATGCATATATATATATATATATCCGGCAGGAAAAGAAACCAAGATGATATTCACTCGTTGCAATGAGGTTAATTATTCTTTGGCTTGAAGCTTTCATTCAAGTCTTGAGTACTGTTACTACTATTTGGTACAAATGTTGATGAGGTGGATGCTTCTGGTGATGGGTGACCTAGAATAGAAGTATAAGTAAAAGTAAAAGTGAAAGTATAAACGTTTATATATGGACATAATTTAATAGAAGAAGAATAAAGAAATAAAGCAAAACTCACTATAATTGTTTAAAAACTCATCCATATTCACATAGTTCAGAGCATCATCTTTGGGCGAAAACTTATTTGGATCAAACCCAAGATGCTGTGTCAGAGCATCAAGGCTGTTTCCTAGTGCGTCTGTGTCCCGATTGATCAAGTGGGTAGCTTCTCCTAGATGATTTGGTCCCATATGGCCTTGGAGTAGAGGCATGATATCTGGAATGCTGGTAGAAATGTGAGGGGTGTTTGATGGTGTGATATTATGGATTTTTGTGGATGTGGTGGATGCAGGGCTTTGTGAGATTTCTGGAGAAGAAGATGAGGAGGAAGGAGATTGGGCTGGATGATGATATAATTTTGAATGATCTATTGTGTTTAGTCCTGATCCACTCATATTACTGTAGTCTACGTTTTGAGGTAGGCCGGCACTATAGAATGCATCATTTGTCAATTGACTGAAAAGAGAAGGGTTTGTCTGTGCCAGACTAAATAGGCTCTGAAGCCCTTGTAGCTGTTGAACATTGAGAAGAGCAGCAATATCTGATGGTGATGGTGATGGTGATGGTGATGGCTGAGAAGGTTGAGATGGGAGATAGCCTGAATAGAGAAAGAAAAAGAAAGAGAAAAGAACAATTATAAGAATCCCATTTCTAATACCTTTAACTTTTTTTTCTATAAAATAAGAAGCTCATCACTATCACAACAACTAAGCACCAACCTTGAACTGTGCGCTGTTGCTGTTGCTTTGTCTGATTGTTCAAGGCTATTGCTTCTGCAAGGTCCGCAACAGGACTATCCGAAGGTGGTACAGGCGGAGATAGACTTTCCGGAAGTGTGTGTCCAGACGCACTGGACAAAAGTGTCTCTGCATCATACTCAGAGTCCTCTGCTATACACTCTTTAATTTTGTTTTTTGTCGATTGGCGTCGGATTTTTGCCCGGGATCTTTCTTCTTCTTCGTAATCATCCTCTTTACTATTGTTCGTATTCATATTTGTGTTTGTGTTTGTGTTTGAATTGTTCTTGTTCATATTCTTGCTCCTATCATTTCCACTATTATCACTATCGTCATTGCTGTATTCTGTATTCGTATCACCAATCAAATAACGTCTTTTACGTGGAATGGAAACTCTTTTCTTTTCACTTGAAAACACAGACGCAAGAAACCTAAGAATCTTGTCAATTGTCTCTTGATGTCTTTGGTGCTTTTCTCTTGTCGCTAAATTCTCTTGCCAGAGAATCTGATTGTCGTTCTGGACACTCTTTAGATGAGAACTGATGCTCATTTGATGTTTTTTGATGGCAGATATCTCGTCCAGAATGTGATTCAAGTCATAGTTTCCATGTTCCTTTTCGTCTGAATCACGTCCTTTCTTTCGGGTTACAAGAAGCAATAAGTCTGGTTGGTTGCGTTGAAAGTGTGGATTACTAAATTCCCATTGCTCCGACTCGTCGTCTGCCTGCAGGACGCCTTGCTGGAGATGAGGCACCTTGTGAAATCCATACATATTGAGCTGTCTGACAAATGATGAAAAGTTGCTATGCTTGAAGAATCGAGGTAAGACTCGCTTAGCAAAATCTACGTGCCGAGCAACAATAAAAGACGTTCCATCAGTGGCCCATCTTATCAAGTCGTCTGAGCCTGGGTCTTCAACCATACTAGGGAATGACACGGTTAATTTTTTGCATATATACTTCATTCTTTTATAATGAAATATTTATGTATTATAGTTCTCTTACTTGTATAGCTTATTTAAGAACGCTGGTACGTTCTGCATCTTGGCTCGTTGAGTCTGGTGCGGATTGCTGATAACTTGAGTTGTAGAAGACGGTAAAGCCTGTGATTCTAATAGGGTCTCCATTGATTTCGTTTCAGATGGAGTTAAGTTGGCAGCAAATGAATTATTTGCATTGCTTGTAGAAGACTGGAGGGAATTCAATATTGCACTGGGCAAAGGAGCAATGTGAGCCGGAGGGTGACTCATTAAACAATCGAAGGATTATACGGTTATGAAAAGGTTTCTAACAATGAGTAGGTTTTTTTTGTCCTTTCTTCTTATTTCTTTCTTTCTTTCTTTTTATGTATATATATTAATAAGAAAGGCAATTAAAGAAAACACAGTACAATGCAATGTAATGCGATACAATATATATATAAAAGAATGAGTTGAATTATTGATCGTTCAAGATCAACAAGGCTTACTTTACTTTCGTATACTTGTGGCTTGCAAGATCTGACCGGTTTTGGGAAGGTTGTTTTTTTTTATTGGTGGAAGGAAAAATATTTGTTTCTGGCTTTACACCTGTCATAATCAAATAACGTTTAACAAATCGTCCTCTATCATATTCTTGTGGTTAAGACACACCGAAGAAACAGATACTAACTCCTAAATGAATTCTAGGCATAAACACTGAATTACTAGAGTCAAGGTTGTTTATACATATAATATATACTCACACTCTCAAATACACTCAGGTATGAAACTAAGGTGTATAATTAGAAAGCTAGATTCTTGCTTTTCTTATTTATTTTTTTACGTATATGGAATGGTTTAGCCAAGTACCATTATATTGTATAAGAATATGAGTGCGTGCGTTTCGACATCAGTGTGTTGACTAATAAATTCACAAAAGAAAGGGGATTATATATATATATCTCAAGAGGATGTTCTACTAATAAGCAAGCATATGATATAATGGTTCTTATTTTTGTCTTCCTTATAATTCGTGAAACGCAGATCTGATTTTGGGGTAAAAAAGAAACAATATCCATTCAAATTACGGTTGAGGCCTTTCCCCCCCCTTTTTTTTGTTAACCCCACTAAGGGAAAATGAAGATATGAATTCGTAAGAGTTACGTATATCTTGTATATTAATACACAACAAGAAGGTAATATCGATGATAAAACAAAGGTGGCACGATCTTTAAGAAAGTACACACACATATATACATGTATATTTTAAAGATCAAGAAGAACATATTCAACAAATCGCCATGTGAATATCATGAATCTTTTTTTGGCAATCTTCGTAACCAACTTATTCGATATTTCTAAAGCTATCCTTAATCTCTTTATTAGCATCAATTAATAATAAAACACTTGACAGCCAGCTCACATTTCACTGCCCATTCAATTTCTTTAAATCCTTTTCTGACGGTTAATTCAACCAAGAAATTCGTACAAATATAGATATACATGTGTGCGTGGGTATAGTATTTATATTAATATTTCTATCTCTTGTGCTGTTTATTTGGAATATTCTCAAAATTACTTAAAGTACTTGGGGAATAATCAAGGTTAAAAGTTTACCAATGACAATGATAATAATAATAATAAAAAAGATAAAAAGAGTAAACCATGAATTCGGGATCAATTTCTTTTTCAAGGTTAATTTGGACGACTTCTCAATAGAATTACCATTACACAGTATATATTCATTTTAAAAAATAAATAAATATTTTGTAATGAATCTAAGTCTGGTAAAAGTTATTGGTTAGTAAAAATGTTGTGTGTGTATATATATATTTACTATGTATATACTTAATCTTGGTTCAATTATTACCAAAAAAAAAAAACAGGGTAGAAATCTCTTGAAAGAAAAAAAAAAGGCTATTTACGTTCAATTGAGCTTAAACCCATACTATCTCTTAGCAACAAATCTAATATTTTTGTAGTTAAAGATATAAACTGACAAACGATAATGGGGTCGGTAATTGCAAAATAAAGAATAAAACAGACAAATTAAAAGAAACTTTCATTGTAGAATATATAAATTATGTATATACCAAAAAAAAGAGAGAAATCTATGCAGAATTTTATTCAATAAAAAAAATGGGTGGTACTCGGTCCAAAGTAGGAAATTTTATCTATACACAATCACAGTGTAAGATCCAGAAACGCTTACCAAAAGATTTTATTTATTTATGCTTTATATTATATACAGTTATATATATATATATATATATATATATATTTAAAGTGACTCTTCGTGGAATTCATGGAATATGAAGTCAATATCAAAAATTGGTTAATACAATTCTGTTGTCAAACTTTAACCTTGTACGATAACCAAGGTGTTAAAGAAAAGAGAAGAACACATATATACACACAGTAGTATATACATCTACGTGTGTGTATGTGTATGTACATTTGTGGAATATAAAAACAAGGTGCTGGTACTTGTTATAAAATAAAAATAAAGCTGAAGATCCACAAGATTTTATGTGTTACCAAAGAGAACATTAAGGACCCCGATACTCGGTGATTTTTCTCCCCCCCTCCTCCCCCAAAAAAAGTAATTCGAATTTCTTGAGAGTAAGTTTCCAGGTTATAATAGCATGTTTTTGTACACACTATAAGTTAGTGTTTGTACAAGTATGCAAGGGCGCAAGGATTTAAGGGCGCAGGGATGTGTGTGCATGTTATAGCTGATAGTTACTCAAATGACTAATCTTGCTAGTGAGATCTGTCTACTGAGAAAAAAAAATAAGAGCTATAGAATAATTGATGACAATATCATTTCACTACCAGAATAAACAATATTATTTGGTTGAATATATTTGAAATAGGAGATTTTATTTTTATTGTTTTCAATATACGAGGGGCGCACATAATGTAGCAAGAAGGCAAACGATTTTTTTTGGGTTTGTTTTGCCTTCTTGCAATGTCATCTTTTTTATATTCTTTCGATGACAAGCGCCTTCCGCCCCACGATGGTGATACGCAGTATATAACATTAAATACAGCGTATATGTTCATCGCAGAGGCGCGTTATATACTGCCGGTTACTCCAATCTCAGATGCTATTTCGCGAAATCAATTGCATTAGTTAAGATATATTCTTGGCGTCGTTAATACTCTAGTTTTTTTTTAAGAAAAAAGAAAATATTGAGGGAGGAAAAAAGGGGGGAGATAGACGAGCTTTACCGATCAAAGAGTGCATTACTACAGCATCGTCATGCATCAGGAATCATGCATGACTGGTTGACCAGGGATAGATGAGATTGACTCGACTATCTGATTTTCTTTGCAAGAAAGAAAGATACAAAGGCGAGTTTCTATATAAAGAGAAACATAGAGCGAAATATAAATCCAAATATTTAGTTAGGCCTTTTTTAAAAAAAAAAGTATTCCCTTTTTTTGTGCTAGTGTTGTTGAATTTCTTATTGAGATTATATACAAGAAAGGTAAAATAAATTATAGATATATCTGTGCGTATATTTGTGTGCATTTTATAGCAATAAAAGTGTCAAAAATGACGAGTATATCAGCGTAAAGAGCAAGTAATATACCTTGGTTTTGATAGAGTGAAATGAATGGAATGGGCTGAAGAGAACAGAGGATGGAAAAAAAAAGTAGGGAGCAGAGAGATTCTTTGAAGAGGGAAAGATTGATTAATTTAGGCTATGCATTTATACTGTTTATTTGGAACTTGACGTATGGCTTGTCTGAACATCACACACATATACACGCTCACACGCACGCATAGTAGGTGACATTTTCTGTGGCTAATTATGAAATACCATAAATAACTTACGCCCTTAATATTTATTATATCCGCGCTAAATACTCGTGATTGCATAGTCTTCAAATGACATGTGTACCTTTTTCATCTCCTATTTCAGTTTGATAAGGTAGCACTTGCTGTTTAATCGTATTTTTTTTTGTTTAACACACGTATATATGTATGTATATGTATATATTTAAGTATATAAAAATTCAATAAAGATATCGATTTTTCTTTAAAAAAAACGAGAATAAAATAAAAGTATTTCTCATTCAAGGTCACAATCTGTATATATAAAGTATAAACCTTAGTTAGAAGAATCACAAACCTCCAAAAGGAGATAGTTTATATGGCATTTATATATATATAAAGATGTTGAACGGAGATAACGTTTTATAGTCTAGAGCGTCGCAGAAGGTACCATTAAAGAAACAAAGTGACTTTTGAGGTGGTGTACAGAACCAGACTTCGAGTTTGTGTACAATCAGGCTTGTGGGTTTTGTCGATTTGAAAAAAAAAAAAAAAAATTGCACTATGGGAAATGACAGGGTTTACAACTCCGGGCTAGTAAAAATAAAAATAAAATAGAAAAATACACGCGTATATATTTTATTTAGCCAATAATATGCAGGATTCTGGCACATTAGTCTCACTTTATTAGCAAATGGAAGCTATAGTATTCTGAATCATTTTACATTTTAGCCAATTTATCTTCTTAAAACGGTTAATCTAAGCCTTTTTTTACTTATTTAGGTACTTCTAAAAACCCTCACATTCATTCAATTAATATATGGTGTTTTATATAGCGAAATACCTTCAATTTGGATTTTATTATTGTTCAAAATAGTAGAAGAACAATAGAAGAAAGCCAATTACTTTATACTCAATAGTAAGTCTAGTTAAAGTATGATATATTTACAACCATATGCCTTTATAATCTACTAGATGTTGGTTTTTTCCCTCGAAAGTCAGACATAGGGGTTTTGTTCAATAATTATAAGAACTATAGATTACACACTAGTTTACTCATTAGACATGTGTAGTGTGCATATATACTAAAGGTTTGATATAATTTAGTGTATAGTAGGATATTGCAATAAGTTCCTGGTTCAATATTTTCATCTTCCAAAAGTTATAAATTGTATATCGTTTAGTGTTCTATAAAGTCTCAAAGTGGTGTTGACAAGAATCATTGAAAGATAAAGACTCTACAGAATCAAAAAATCAAGCTCGCATTTTTGAGAATACATACTATTAACAGATATTGTTGTTCCTAATATAAAAGGCAGGTATACGTTTAGAGTGAAGATATTTCGGCTCATAAAATCTATTACTATAGAGCATTTTGGTTTTGATCTTTCATTATTTTCATTCAGTAGAAAGATCTTCCTTCAATACTGCATAATAATTTTTGTATATTTCATGCCCTGCGTTACAAATAATATATACACACTAATCTTATAGCTATTTTCCTACGCAAATGGTGTAGAGGGGTACAACAAAAGAAAGGGAGTCAAAGGAGATGGAGAGAAACCATAAAGTCATTAAGCAGGAATGGGCTCTTTCTTTTTGCAAAAGGATTTCAGTATTATTTGATGTTATACTGTATAGCCTTTGAGCCCAATATGTTTGTCATGGAAAACAAGTTAGTAATCTTCTGTAAATTAAAGAGTGTTGTACTGGTGAATGAAGAGATGTAATAGAAGCAGAAATTCCAAATGATAAAAGTAAAGCGTAGTTGTACAGTCATCCTTTAGGCGTGATGAACGAACAAAGTTATGCCAGAATTTGGGACATTAAATTGGCCAATTTCTAACATGGTATGGAAACAACGGTCATATTCTTGATTCACAAATAAAATCAGGCGAAACCCTGTAGCTAATAATCAAATTTAACGTTTAAGGACCCCCCTTCTACAAAAACTATCCTCTTTGTTGAGCCTTACCATTAACTCGGGAAGAAAATATTGGATGGTTGTCTTTTTTTCTAGGGAAATTTACTTGGTAGGACAATAGGCCTCATTGTGTCGATACAAAACAGTCGATCGGTTATACTGCCGTTCCTAGACTTCACTTCATCATGGTACAAGGGCGGACGAGTCTAACTTGAACTGAACGATAATGAACACGATATCGTCAGGTCGTATTTGACGCACTGTTTCTTTCATTTTATTTGCCCAGCACAGCAGAAAGTTCTTGGTGACCCACAGATATTGGGATAAACAAAGTGTCATAGAACCATGTTTGCAAGTCAACCTCTTCAAACCTTCCCTGATCTGCGATAGTGCTTTGTAGCATATTAATGAGCCTATATTTGCAGAGTAAGAATATAACAGAAGAAAAAGTGAACCAATAAAAGCTGAACAAATGTCATCAGAAAACTTGCATATCAACAATAGCTCCTTATTATATTTTCACGGGAGACTTTTCTGTTGGATTTTAGGGTAAAAAGTCCAGGCTTGGCTTAAATTGGGCTCATGGTTTTTGTATCGATTGCAGAAACAACGTCAACAACGCTCATGAATACGTTTAGAGTAAACCAAGGGTAACGAGACAGCCTTTTTTTTTTCAAGTAGCAATTTTTCTGATGTAATATTCCTTCGTTAAGAAACCCTTGGCAAAAAAATACCGCCTTTATATCGCTGTAGCTGTGTTTGGGATATTATAATATTAGATATCGTATATGAACTTAGGAAAAATGCTTTGTAAAAAAGAACAATATAAACTATTATAGTGTATTTTTCTTATAATCGACAAAAACAATTGTACTCCGATCGTTTTTTTCAAGACCTAAAAAGTGTTGTCGGAAATGACAAAACTGAATATCTTTTCTGTTTACTTTGTTAAGAAACAGTTTCTCTACAAAGTAAACAGAAAACATGGTTAGTTTTGTCATTTGCGACAGCACTTTTTAGGTCTTGAAATAACGCAGTATTTGAATTTAATAGCAGAGAAAGAGAAATATTGACACTATATTTTCCATTTATAATGGCAGACGACGAGAATCGATCCCCTAAAATAGTAATATTATGAATTAGTCGGTGTTTAAAAGATCTTTTGTTGTGAATATATGAAGTTGTGACTGCATAAAGTTCAATATTTAGGATTTTTTAAAAAACTGGCGGACATTTAATACCATTTTCATATATCGGCATTTGAAATAAAAAATTGACACAAATCTTGAAATTTGCGATTATTAAGAAAATACACTATATTCAACGTGAGACTCTTATCTGAAATATAATAGAAGTATGTCTGATTCATCATTATTGGGAATGTCTTTAGAAGTACTTAAACTAATATTACAAGAGAGTTTACAACAACTAATATCCGGGGTGAATGTATGTATCTCAATAACTACAAATATTGCTGGTAAAATAGTCTTTAACAACTAAATTTGATTTTGACTTGGTCTCTCCTCAAATACAATAAAAGAGCCTTAAAATAATTATAGCCCCAAATTTTCCTAGCCACAAATGTCCCAGCTATGTTGCTCTAAAGTCAAAAGGTAATAATGATTTCTAAAGCTAAGATTTCTTGGATGTTGGACTTTAATGAACAAGGCTTTAAAATGTTGACTGCCATGTACTACTACTGTCAGAATTTCTTGGTGATGGGTCAATAATCTAATAACTATGTATGTTTGCTATTGAAATAATTACTGATACTGGTGCTAATGAATCAAACTCGTCTTTGTTTGGTGTTAAAACAAGTCTGTCTGGAATTAATGGTAATTGTGATTGTAAGATAGATATGCTTATGGCTGCTGAGACTAGTGGTACAGAAGTGCCTGTGAGGCCAATTGGTGAGGCAGGTGGTGGTTCAGACAAATGATAGTTCGCCATGGATAACTTGATCCCTTGTGTGTTGGAAATAAAAAGACTGTTCAAAGCCTCTGAGTAGCTGTCATTTTTTTCTGCTAAACCTTGGGTGCATCTTTAGTTGCCCCATAATTCAGTACAGTCTATATTTTTTCGTCATGCTTCAGAATCGTCTTCAAGTCAATTTGTGTACTTTTCTGGTATATGAGGCTCTAAAATTATAGCATAACGCGAATGACAATGCTTATGACCATAGTGATTGGACGTGATTGCAATTTTTTGGAAAGACAGATTAATTACATTGTTGATGCACAAATAGACATCATCATCTTTTAATGCGTGATCGCTTTCTGGCTAATGTTGATAATGACGTCTTATGTCTAACGTTGCTTTCTTTGGCTAGTTTTGTTTTTGTCTCCAATTCTTTGTCCATTTTTAAAAGGTAGTTTTATTTGTCCTTACTCAGTAACACATTACACTGATTGACGATTCTTGGAATATCCTCATGACCTCAAAATTATGAGAAAATTAAATAAATTGAAGTATAAATATATACAGTGTATGAGGGGCAAAAATAACTACAGGTAAAAAGAGGAGGAAGAGGAGGAGAAAATAAAAAAGAATACAACAAAATCGCGCCAAGTAGGTTTGCTCAAGACAGTTATCGAATAAAGAATATAGAGCTGAAGTAATATTATAAGGAATTAAAAGCACATAATCAGATATATACGCCTAGTGTGCATGTCATACTATAGCCTTTATCAATTGTTGAGCAAAGCAAAATGATTGATCAGTCATTTTCCAGCACTTTTTTATTTGTTGCCTGGGCATACTATTTGTATCAAGCAGACGGAGTGTGACTGCCAAAGTTAAACGGAAAAATAAGACTGTTTTCTGTTTTCGTTCATCTTTTGTAATTATTTGGTGTGGACAGATCAATCAAAGATGAAATAAAGGCCAAAATTTGAAGCTATATTATTGGACTAGGCTATCTTCTTTTTAAAAATAAAATAAAATAAAAAATAAAAAAAAGTTCAAACAACTCTGAATGGCCAGTCTTCTTCCATTGCTAACTAGGTTGAAAGAAAACATAATACTTGATGGAAGGAAAAGTATTATAAGTATTTAACTTTTCTATCTTTTATGCAGTTGAACTAAATTTGCGCTTTTTTTTAAAAAAAAACGGTGCAAACAGATATAAATTAATTCTATTGGATAAGTTTATTATGACCTTTATTTCAGTTTTTATTAATCTTTTTGATATGTTCACACCAATTGTTTTAATATCTTGTAGACATTAAGATTTTTGAGTCAGTATGCTGCTCATTTCACCAGCTGAGCATCTTTCTATACCAGCACTTTGGGCTGCATCACAGAGCCTGTCTCTTAGAATTGAGTTATCTTCCTTTACAAAGGGTTTATTTTGGAGTTCTGTTCGTTGATTTAGCGCTAATTTTGTATTTATTTACATGGAGTGGCACCAATACAAGTTACAACCATAAAATTTAAAAGCCAAGAACATCATATAAGCTACAAAACCCTACAAACAAGCACACTTGGATATAGAGCCAACTACACAGTATATATTATTTGCAAAAAAAAATGCCACTACGACTGTTTTAGCCGTGGGATTTTAGAAGTTTAATGCAAACAAAGAAAATAAAATAAGGTCCTTTCGCACAAACGCAGAAGTATTTTGTAAATAAGACATAGTAATATGTGTAACTTTCCTAAAAAAAATCGTATATGTTTATCTAGCTCTTTGGTGAGCACTTTTATCACTGTTGATTTTTTTTTTAAATAAAAATACAATATTTTGATGATTGCTGCAAGATTGTTCTCATTGGCAATGTCACCTCTAAAATGCCTTTGCGCGTCCTACGCTTTGGTCTTTGGCCTTTGGTAATATATTCTTTTATAGCGTTTTTTTTGAAGATGCTTCTTTTAGGTATATCAACAACACATTCTATAACAGTCTTCTAATATATATATATACATTTATATGGTTTACGAAAATGTAAACTTCCGGAGAGATTTGGGGGAGGGTACAAGCTAATCTTTGGGAAGTACAGTTGTTCAATGTTTATGTCAGACGTAAATAATGACTCAGTTAAGCAATATATTCTCTAAAATGGTATTGTTGTGGTCCCTTAAGAATATATACTTATAAGGTTGATTCTAATGAAAGGTATGACAGGGGAATTGTCTCTTTTTCTTTTTACATTTCTTTAAAACTAAGCGGTCTTGGTAAGCATAAAGCATGATATTTACTGTACAATACAAACAAAGAAGAATTTAGTCGGCCAAATGAATCTTCAATTTAATAGTCGCATATACTCACAGAAAGTTTCTTATTCTTTATTAGGTTGCTTTTGCTGTTTTACCCGTAAAGATAATGAGTAGTTTGTTTTGTAACACATGTAATTAGTGGGCTTATATCTCAATGACACAAGGCTGAATAATCCCTTGGCTATCTTTTTTTTCCCAAGGAAGTTTAGCTAGCCATTTTTATGGATATCTCCTTGTTATTCTGCCAGATAAATATTCGCTTAAAGTTACTGGATTTAGTCACAAAGAAAGTGTATTTTACAATGCATCATTTATTATTATTGTATATTGTATATTGTGTCGTATTGTATTGTATTTTTAATATTGTAGACCAAGGCTAATTTCTCTGTTTTTTATTCACATGTAAGAATTTTGATTTCAAAAGTCAGAAATAAATAAATCAGTCGTGTGGGTCAATTCTCCTTTATATTATTTGGTTGTTGTTAAGAATATTATTGTTATTTTTTCTTGCTTTTTTCTTTAAAAAAATAGCATGTCTCCAAAGAGGTCTTGCCTGTATTTTCTGTAGAGACAAAAGGTTAGACATATTGATAGGTTTTATAATGCCTGTCTGTGTGTTGGTTTTGAAGTAAGAATAATGCAAGTGTCCTAGTTTGGAATAGGTCCGTACTTTTGTTCCAGAGCTTTTAATGCATATCTGTTTATCTATATTATATAAATGTGTGTGTGCGTGTGTGTATTATCATACTTATACAAGTTTCGATAAATAAAAGGTCTAATTTTTATATTAGAAAGCTAAAGAAAAATACACGCGTATTATTTTTGTGTATTTTAAATAACCTTATGAAATTATAATGTATATATATATAATAGGTAAAAAAAAATTGCATAAAATAAAAAAGTATGGAATAGAGGGAATTTAGATGTATCTCCTCTGATAAATAAGCCAAAACATATTTCACAGAGGCTTACAAGTAACTAGCTATAAGTGTAGCTTTGCTATTATCGATGGTAATATATATCATTTAGACTTAAGCTCTGGATTACCAGATTTATTTTTATTTTTAACGCAATTATAGGTTTGGTTTGTTTTGCATTGTATTGCCAAGATATGTCTTCGAACCTACAGATAATTTGCAATAGTCAAATAATATAAAGCCAAAATAATAAATAGCGTGTGCTACATCATTAGCAATAAGAAATAAAGTCTTTATAAACTTAACCCCTTTTTCGTCTTGCCAAACCGATTTTCTTCTTTTATTATTTCACACTTTTAACGCCTTAAATAATTTGACCTTTACATTAAATTCTCATAAAAAAGCAATAATATACATATATACAATATCCTTTACTACGTTCGAATGATATGTGATTTAACGCAATAAAAGTAAATCTTCCATTTTAGGCTTGTACATTAAGATAACAAAGTATTTTTTTTTTGGTTTTTGGTTTTTGATTTTTTAATTACATGCTTCTTTTGATTGAATTCAAGAAACTTGTAGCAGCCCTTAAGCTTTACTATTTGTTAAGTAAAAATGCTGTATATATATATATATATATATATATATATTATGGATTTAGTAATAATGCTATCATACGTATCTGTACTTAACTAGAATGAGTATATAATCTTGTTAACACCCACACATATATATAGACTTGCATTTATAATCATCAAGGAAACTTCAATCAGACTCTAAATTTCAAGTACATATTATTTCTCTGATATTTTTGGAGGGATGTCAAGAACTTGAACTATCTGAATCCTGTTATTTAAAGAGCTCTTTATATTTGAGTGGATGCAATAAAATTATGCAAGATATACATGAAAATTGTTCACGGGTTTTAGTTCGTTCGTTCGTTCGTTCGTTCTTCTTTAAACTTATTATTTTTTGCTTTACCCAGAATACATCTGACAATAGGCAGTATTACTCTAAAAATATTTAATATATTATAAATATTCATACACACAATGGCCGAGAGTTCCATATACTCATAGGTACTATTGCGCATTGGAAAGTGGTTTTTTTTTTGCTTTTAGATAGATTAAATTAGACCAATCATATCTGTTACATTAAACTCAGGCGTACAAATCTAAAAAGTCTACAATTGTTGAACCCCCCTATTGTGTTTGTCACAGCGTAAGCTACACAAGTTTGGAAACTAGTTTTTGTTTAAGTCCTTATAGTAGTACTATTATACACAATATGCAAATGTTATTTACTATGGTAAGTATGCAAATATCAGTCATAAAGGAATAATAGTAAAAGACTTCATCTATATATATATTCTTTTCTCTGCCACTCATTCATATTATGCAATATTACTAGCCGAAAACACTCTGAGTATAACCTCATGTTATCCCTACTTCTTGAACTTTATGATATGTTCCTGATTAACGAGGGAAAGTTATGCTAGTATTTTTAACCAAGGTATATAAAAGAAAAATTAAGTAAAAATAGAAATAAAGAGAGAATGAGAGGATATGTATGTATGACTGTGTTTGTGTATGGTTGCCTCACAAATAAATTCACATATTTTGGGTTATCAAATGTCTACTCCAAGAATCTATAGATTAACTAATTAATCGATAAATAAGAATGGTTTATTGGATCAGATAATTAAAGATATAAACTCGACTTTTATCTAAAACCAAGCCTTTTTTTCTCCCTTTCACAGTACAGTTTTTATAGATATAGAGATATTATACACCTTTTCTGTATGTGATTTAATTA